CAGGGCCTCGGATCTCTCCATTTGTATTATTTGAGGTGCAACCGCAACCTCCTCCATTATCTTCTGCACTTGCCCAATCAATACAGGTTCCTGAGTTGGTCCCTGAATGGTTTCTGTATCAATATTCCCTGTTTGTCCACAGTTATTGACCACAACAGTCATCAAATCCATTTTCTCATTCATCAAATCCATCTTCTCATGCATCTGTTCCAACAAAGCACTTGTCTTGCATAAAGCAAGCACCAAAACTTCCTCCCAGCTCATATTTAGTCAAGGTCAAAAGGACTGGTCCCACGATCTTAATCTCACAGCTGTAGAGTCCTCAAGTAGACTGCAGCAACAATTTAGCAAGCTCCCTCTAGAGGAGACAATTTCTATTTGTATCCATCTTTTTAAGGCAAGTCCAACAAAGAAAAATTACTTTCATTTTTCAGATATTTTGTTTCTTTAGAATGCAAAAGGCAACATTGGAATCAGTTTATTTCTCTTCTTTAGCTATCTGTCAAAGTATTCCATTCACAGTCAATGAACCTCTCCAACAATTTCTGTCTCTGACACCCTGTTCCCAGGTTAGAGACAGTGGAAACTTATCTTTCTTCACTCCCTCTCCTGCAGGCATTAAACAAAGTCCCCCTTTTCTCCTGCTTCCAAGGGGTTTCAGTAGTTATAAATGAAGGAAATTTAGACTTTTTAACGACTTTCCAGGCTTTAGCTTACAAGGTTTTTGCTTCAGTCTATATACAAAAAGCGGAAGGCGGACTTCCTGTTTTGAACCTTCCCGCTTCAGTGCCAAATTAAGATATTTCTTGATCCAATTTTCCGTTTCTACTCACGGGTACTTGTTTTAAATCCAATTGTCCACAAGAAAAAGTCAGCACTCTCCGGCAATGGCTGTGCGGCTTCACTCCGTGAAAGTAGCAATCAGTTCGCAGCACCGCGCCGCTCACCCCACTTCACTCCGGAACCCCAAAATGGGGTTCCCTGTGAGTAGGGGAGGCGCTCCTGGTGCCCTGCCGAACCCCACGTTCCCAGGCTTCCTCCGCCTGGGATTTCTAGCGGGTCCCCACCTTCGCCGCGGCGGGAAGACCCAGTTTCCACGGAGCCAGTTCCTCCGGTCGGAGGAACTCCGCCATTTGCCGATGGCGCTAACCCGGAAGTCCCCCCACAATGTATTTCAATGACCATTCTGCGTCACACATTTCATGTTGTCCCTTGAAAGTGATTAGTCTCAAGACAAAGTGTGGCAAACTTGTAAGTTTCAAAATCACTCCCCACCCCTGCAGCCAGACTTTAGGCTTCACTTTCCGGAAGTGGGGCTGAACTCACAAGACCAGATAAGCCCTACCACTTGCAGTTTTCAGATGACCTTTTTATCATGGCCAGGGGGTGGGGGGTGAAATCATGATTTGTAGAAAGGTTATTGTGATTTTTATTGCTAGTCTGGACATGACAGAGCTACAATTCCCAGAATGCTTAACAAACTATAGTTCCCAGGATTCTTTGGGCGAAGTCAAGTGCTTTAAATCCAGTCAAAGGTGACTGTGGGGTTGCGGCACTCATATCGCTTTCAGGCCAAGAGAGCCGGTGTTTGTCCACAGACAGCTTTCTGGGTCATGTGGCCAGCATGACTAAACCACTTTTGGCACAACGGAACACCGTGACGGAAACCAGAGCGCACGGAAACGCCGTTTACATTCCTGCCGCAGCGGTACCTATTAACTTGCACTTTGACGTGCTTTCGAACTGCTAGGTTGGCAGGAGCAGGGACCGAGCAACGGGAGCTCACACCACATCATGGGGATTCAAACCACCAACCTTCTGATCAGCAAGCCCAGGAGGCTCAGTGGTTTAGACCACAGCACCACCCATCTCTATGCTTAATGTATGATGTGGACATCACCCCAATAAATCCTTCAAAAACTCCTAGGAGGAGTTTTTCAGCTATTCTCTGGAGTAGCTCAACATGATTCTTAAATTGTTTTTATAGTACTTCTAACATAGGAGAAATTGGTCAGTTCCTAGTGGTCTGACTGGAAAAATGAACCAGAAAGAACTTATCAATTCATATCCAATACCCCTCCTACAAATATTTCGGTTGGCAATAAAAAAGTCAAGCACGATACTACAGATTGTAGTATCAGAGCTTTATCAGAAAGCTCTTAAGTGCTGTACAGTAGAAAATCAGCAGAACTTTTAAGAACAAATCTATGTAACTAAATTATAAGTATTAAATAATAATAGGCTTTCTGAAATTAAAAAGTTTTCAGCAAGCATGTAAATCATGATAGCGAGAGCGCCTGCCTAATGTCTAGAATATCTGGGGGGGGGGTTAACTGCTTAGGATACGGTTCTCAAATGCTTACTTCTATTTCTAAAAAGCTATTTGCCCAGCAAATCTGGTTGAAGACGTGCCACATTACCGAGATGTATGAGATGTCAAGATGTATGAGATGAAACTGGGGAGTGAAAGATGAACAGTTTTGCAGATATCAGCCACAGTGATGACTCCCCTTTTAAGTTTTGCTGTGCTTGAATGATTTAGGAACATAGGAAGCCATCTTCTACTGAGCCAGACCAGTGGTATCTAGTACAGTATTGTCCACACTGACTGGCAGCAAAACTTTAGGATTGCGGGCAGGATTCAATCCATGAAATCCGAAGGTGTGCAAATGTTTCTCCAGTGACGCTGCGCCACATGACATACAGGGACACTGTGTTGCAAGAGTTCTTCATCCCCAAGGTATCTAGAGCTGGTTGAGATTTGAGGGCATTCTGAACAGAAGCAGGCAGACAGCTTCTCTATTTTGTAGAGTGTTTAATCAAATCAGAATGGATAAATTATTCCAGAGGGTTTTTCTTCTTCAATGAACCTGATCCTCAGATCTCTCAGTTGCCTTGAACCTGAGGAGTTAAAAGCAATAATAATAATAATAATTACAGGTTCAAAGCAAATGGTTTAAATTATCAGTGAAAATGCCTCTGTCCTTCACCCCTACGGAGGGAGGCAAGAGGTAAAGTAGTAGAGAGAACAGGAGAGAGGTTTCTGGGATTGGAAGTTTCCTACATTTCTACCTCTCTAAAATGAAGGTATCAAAGACAGCGGGGCTGAATGATCAATAGGAACTGTAGAAAAGTGGGATTAGATAGAGGTGATGCTGTTGACACTGTGTACTCAGACTTTGACAAAGCTTTTGACAAAGTACCTATCTCACTAGGGACTCTTCATTCAGCTTAGTAGCTGGAAAATAAGAGAAGAGGTCCTCTTGTGGATTAGTATTTGGTTAAGAAACAGGAAGCAGGAATAAATGGACAGTTCTCCCAATGCACGAATGTTAGGGGTGAGCAATTAAGGTAGTTAAGTTAGCTGAAGGTGCCAAATCATTCAGGGTGGTTAAAATTGAAGAAGATTGTGAAGGATATCTCCAAACAAGGTAAAAGGGCAGTTAGATGGCAAATGAAATTCTATGTAAACAAGTGCAAAGCGATTAACCTTGGGGCATCCCCCCCTTAATTTCACAGATACACTTGTGGCATCTGAACTAGTGGAGGCTGATCAAGAACAAGACCTCTGCTAGAGGATAGCTTGATGTGGTGGATAGCTTGCATTGACACAGTGTGCAACAGCTGTAAAAACAGAGAATTCCATGCTAGGGATCACTAGAAAAGGCATTGAAAATACACTTCCACTATCAGAATGCTGTCACATGTCTATTTTGTGAATAAACTTTGAACATTGTGTATATTTCTGGGCACCTTATCTCAAAAGGACTATCACAGAGTTGGAAAAGGTTCAGAAAAATGATCAAGGGGATGGAGCAACTTTCCCATAAGAAAAGGTTACCATATTCTAAGCCTTTTCATTTAGAGAAAAAGCAAGTAATTTATACTGTTATGAGAGAGGGAGAAAAACTTTTACTATCCACTTCCTTAATGCCATGCATAATGTTATGACATTATCTCATGTTATCTCTTCCTCACCTTTCCTCTAAATTAAAAAAATCCCACTTGCTGAAACCTTTCCTCTTCAAGGAAGTGAAGATGTACTGCTGGTATGGTGGCATTCCTGTAAGCACTTTGCTTTTGGGAGTTGGAACTGGCCTGATTACTTTATTTCATACTTGAGAAAACTTAAGGTCTAATAATATTGCATTTTTCAAGGAGTGAATCTGAATAGACAATAAACAATTTGCATTAAGATTCTGTAAAACATAAACTGCTTTGCTTTTGCCTTCATACATATTCATTGGTGCTATTATTTTTCTAGGTTCTTTTAGAATTAGGTACAGAATAAAAAGGCATAGTATGTTCTTTTCTGGGGGAGTTTTATCACCCCCAACTTTCATACAAAATGCATTTATATTAGGGAAAATTACCTTGCAAATAGCATTTATTAGGCAAAATTGCATACAAAAACATGTGTATTAGGAGAAATGAAATGCTAAAATGCAGATGAACATTTATGAGGACTTCTTAAAAAAAAAATCACAGATGGAAATGTGAAGAGCTGAGGACTGGAAATATGATATACTGACACTAAATTGACATATTTGCTCATCCCCTTTTTCCAGGGGACACTCTTCATGGAACTGTGAAGGTATTTCTTTATTAAACTCCACTAATATTGACATTATTCAGTTACTTCACCTTGCTAGACAAATAAAGGTATGACAAACTCCCTCAAGAAAGATGAGAGCTAGGTAATATTATTTTGCTTTGGGTGTTTTAAAACATAGACACTCCCTGTTGGCAATGCCTGAGAGATTTGAGAATATATAGCAATAATAATAATAATAATAATAATAATGTACCCCGGCCATCTGATTGGGTCTTTTCCTTCCCCTCAGGGAAATAATCTGGGTTGCCCTGCCTAGTCAACACCCAGCTAATCTCCCTCATCCCTATTCAGGCTCTAACCAAGTCTTATCTGACAGTTTAACTGTCAGGTACCAACTTTTAACTCGCTGCCCCCTCCTGATTGGTTGACACTCCTCCCAGCCCTGATTGGCTTCTGGGTCTCCGGGAAGATGATCCAAGGTCCATTAGTCACAAAAGGCTGTGTACCGAAATACATTTCTGGAGTGGCGCACCTCCTGTGGATCTGCATTCACTCTTTCCAAGCTGAATCAAGTTAAGAGGAAAACAAATATCCCCATTTCCAGCAACTGCCAGCTGAATGGCTGGCTGGTGTGGCAGTCATGAAGACTGCCTACTTTTCCATTCCCATTCTCCAGCTATCTGTGCAGAATGCTGACTGGGCCTTGTGGCAATCATGAATTCACTTCTATCTCATCTCCTCTTCAAGCAGTCTTCCAAGTTTAAGGAAAAACTAACTGGCCTTTAAATAAAAAAAAAGTTCCTGTACAAACATCTAACTGAATCAACAAATGTTTTTTAAAAGATGATAACCTGCCTAAAACATGACAGAAGATGTGAACATCTGCACAGGAACTGGAAGAAGATACAAGCATCAGTTGAGGAGCAAAGGTAATGTGGAAGTCCTGTCCAGGGCCTAGACGAGGGTCACCATCAACTGGTCCAAGTCCAGTTTGAGCCCAGTCACTCCGCCAGCTCCAGACTGACACAACAACCTGCCCACTCCCCCAACACCTACCCGGGCTGGCATGCTTGGTAGGACTGCAGCTGTGGTATTGGTGCCTATGCTCCATTAAGCCCTAACAGGTCACAGCCAAAATTAGGACTGCATGGAATGGGGAAATGTGGGCTACAGTCAAGCAAGATTCTAGTTATGTGAACCCTGTAGTTAAAGACCTGATTTTTATCACAGATTCAGATCTGGCCTTAGGCCAACTTGAAATCTCTCTCAATATTTCTTGTTGAGCCTGCTTTTCACAATCTGTTCTATGTTTCCCAAAAAATGATCAATATAAGATAACCTTCTCCTCACATTGCATATGAAGTCACAGCAACCCCTCCCCCTGGGAGCCAGACTGCAACAAACATTTTGAGATTAAAATTGGGCACAACTTTATTTATTTATTTCAGCCGTAGGTAAACCTTGGCATAGGCATTGGGAGTGTATCCCTCTCAGCCCCCTGCTGGCTTCTCTTCAGGGGTCTGAGGCATGACAGGGTCAGCTGTGGGGGGGAATGAGGCCATTGCAAAACATGGCGGTTTACACAGATGTTAGCTCCCCCAAGGCACTGAGGCGGCACTAGGGACCAAGTTGTTGAGCCTGACCTGCATCTACAGCCAGAATAGCGCAAGGTGCCAAGTCAAATGGGAGCTAGCAGTAGCACAAAGTCAATGGTGGATTTGCTCAAAAGAAAAAAATAAACAGAAGGAATAATACTATTGACAGTATCAAGGCATCATATACTATTCTATCAACAGTTTTAATTGTTAATGTGCAAACTCTGGAATATTCTTACAGAAGAAAATGACAACCTCCCTTCTGCATTGTGTTTTGCTATATGCATTGAAGCATTTGCAATTATGATTAAGTCTAATGAACAAATCTAGAAGTAGGTCCTTCTACAGTATTTCCAAACTAAGTCTTTATGCTGATGGAGTAATAACATTATCAAGTCCTCTAATGCCAGCTCAATATATTCTCCAAAAGCTTCAGAGATTTTGAAGAAGGATGAAGGTACAGTATGAACATATATTAGGATAAATATGTATCCTAATATTTTGTAACTGATTTGTCTGAAAAAATATTACATGCACATGTGAATGTAATATGAAAAAAGTATTTTAGATCTGTATTGGCACAATATACAGGGTGGCCCAAAAGTAGGTATACAGCTGAATCAATGAAATTAATCACAACTGATTATATGGATACACATAGTTGGCACACTACAAAGTGGCAGTAAATTTCAGGCTGGCAGTTGGAAAGAATAGTGGAGTAGATAAAAGGGTTATTTTTCTTTACTGATATTGTGAATAATGACAGTGAACTTGAGTCAAGAACAAAGAAAGCGGATTCTAAAGCGGTATATCTACTTTTGGGCCACCCTGTAAGCAGTGCTCCCCCCCCCCCCAAAAAAAATGTTTAGGGATACTCTCATTTTGACTCAAGAAAATATAGTTAAAATCGGGGAAAATAAATACAGTAAATGGACCAAAGTACAAAGATTCACAAAATGTTGAGGGGTATGCGTCCCCCCCCCAGAAAAAAAGCACTGCCTGTAAGTTTGTTAAGTGTTGGTTACAGAACCGATCAACCAAATAAAAAAGAGCAAATGATCTAATTTTGGATAGTTTACTATCTGACATAAAAAAAGATCTATTTCAGCTCTATTATATAGCTCTTATAAACAAGACGGTTGATTAAAAACAAGGATGATGTAAATAGGCAGAATCTCAACATGTAAGTCAGGACATTTTGTCTATTACAAAACATGAATATTATGATTTTCCTTTCAATTCTGAAGACATAGCAACATGTGTGTTTGCTTCATATACTCAGTTGCGGGAGAAGTAAATTGGAAGTTTCTGCTCAGAAAGTGGGGCATTGTTCATCTTATAGCTTTTTTACCAGGAAGAACTCTGAGCTTCTTACCAGAAGCAGGACACAGAAAAAACAGCTCATCCCTCTTAACAGATTCATTCTATTCTTCATTGGCCCTCCCACAATTTTTCCAGGAGTTACTTAAAAGCAGAGGGAGGGAGGGAGCACAGGGATGTGTTAAGGAAGTAATTCTGACTTCAGTTTAGTATCATTTCTCTCTCTCTTCGGAACACAATACACATAGGAGGAACTTTTCAGACAAAAGGAAGTAAAAGCAGAAGGAGACTGAATCAGTGCAGGGAGAAATCATGGAGCCATTCCATTGGGTGTTCTCCATGCTCATGGCCATATGGAATAACCTCATGTTGCTGGTTATACTATTCTTTTTGTTAACTCTATCCTTTGATTTTATGAAGCGTAGGAAGCCTTGGAGCAACTACCCGCCAGGGCCTATTTCCTTGCCCTTTATCGGCACCCTTTTGCAGATTGATATGAGGAAGCCTCATCTTTCTTTCACTCAGGTAAGTACCAAGGGAAAAAAGAGACCTGGATCATAGAATTGTAGTGTTGGGAGCAGTGGCGTAGCGTGGGGGGTGCAGGGGGGCCGGCCGCACCAGGCGCAACATCTGGGGGTTAGGGTTAGGGGGCGCAAATCATGGGTTAGGGGGCGCAAATCCATGGGTTAGGGGGCGCAAATTACATGCCTTGCCCCGGGTGCTGACAACCCACGCTACGCCACTGGTTGGGAGGGATCCCAAGGGTCATCTAATCCAACCCCCTGCAATGCAGGAATCTAAAGGATCCGTGACAGATGGCCATCCAACATCTGATTAAATGCTCCGATGAAGGAGAGTCCGCCACCTTCTGAGGGAGTCCGTTCTATAGCTGAACCCCACCTCCCTCAGACTTCTTCCTCTGGTGACCAGCAAAGAGTGCTGTGTTTGGGGAACAGAAGTGAAGAAGGTTAACCTGCCATTGAGCTGCTGCAGTGAGTGTTTGAGGGGGGGGGGAACTTGTCTGTTTCCCACAGTTCCTTTGTGGCTTGTAATATTGGCTCATGCATGCTGATGGGGTGTTATGCTTATGTGTTATTCTGTTGCACCCTTGGAATTATATTTTAGTTTCACCTGCCTTGCACCACGCTAGTCATTGCAGTTAGCCTCTTGGACATTTTAGCTCTGAATGGGCAAAATAGAAGTATGTTAAGTGTTGGTTACAGAACTGATTGACCAAATAAGAAACAGCAAATTTGAACTAATTTGGGATAGTTCACAATTTTCAGTTCACAGAAATCAACTGTCACATTGTTTTCTATTAGATGATATTGCTTTTAAACATATGGGTGGGTACATTGAGTTTAGCGGGGAGCTGCAACAAGATGCTTTGAGGGCTGGCTCCAACCTTTAACAGGAAGGCACTCATTCAGGGTTCCAGACAGCCTGTAACAGGACCCTATCAGTGGTTTGGGTGGGTGTGTAGAAGGACAGGCAGCAAGGATGGGAAGAAAAATAACTACTTTCCTCTTCCTTAGTACAGTGGTACCTCGGGTTACATACGCTTCAGGTTACACACGCTTCAGGTTACACACTCCACTAACCCAGAAATAGTGCTTCAGGTTAAGAACTTTGCTTCAGGATAAGAACAGAAATCATGCTCCGGCGGCGTGGCAGCAGCAGGAGGCCCCATTAGCTAAAGTGGTGCTTCAGGTTAAGAACAGTTTCAGGTTAAGAACGGACCTCCAGAACGAATTAAGTACTTAACCCGAGGTACCACTGTATATTAAAGAGTTGGAGCTCAGGGCTGACTGCTGGCCCTGAATCTGAACACTATTGCTATATTAGGAAGTTTTAATGTTTGATGTTTTATTACGTTTTTATATGTGCTGGAAGCTGCCCAGAGTGGTTGGGGAAACACAGCCAAATGGGTGGGGTATTTTTATTTTTATTTTTATTTTTATTTTTATGCAGAGAGAGGAAGAGATTTTTTGCTACTGAGAATGAAAATATTTTTTTTTTTCATTTCCTCCATCCTGAAACCTCCCCATATAGTGGACGGAGGAGAGATTTGTAACCTTTTAGTGCACATTCTTCCAACTCTAATCACAACTCTAGAATACAATAACCCATGAAAAGCAGTGGTGGTGGGGGAGGCTTAATCCTTCCCCTCTCCCCCAAAATGATCACCTCAACATTCTTCTAAGACAATGAGCACAGGTCCCTGTGCTGTAGGGCTGTTCCTAATAGCACTTGCTTTTATTTTCACTGAATGGTTGTGTGAGGGAGCAACCTTCTTTAATTGTGAATGGTGGGTATACATCTACAGAAGACTATATATAAAGTTAGGTGCATAGTAGTAGGAAGGTTTAATAACTGGAATTGGTGCATGTTTTATAAGAATGATTAACAACAATCGACCCACCAATTCAAGCATTCATTAGTTTCCTTATTAGAATTAAAGATGCTTGAGTAAAGAGTAGAATTCTTTCTTCTGTCTTGAGAGTACAATAAAAAGAGGACTGTTTTGATTTAGAGAAATGTCATATAAAACCACTATTAGCAGTTCAACCCTGTTGTGTTCAATTGGATGTAAGTTTATGGTTGGAGTCTCATTTTCATAATTTTAAAACTGATTTAGAGAAACACTAGACATACTAAGTAGGGGAGTGCATGTGCCCAACATTACAAGGAGAGTCCACTATTGGAAGGGTTAGCCATCTTCCACCTGCTGAAAGGAAAAGGAACCCATAAGATGAAAGAGGGGTACCTTGAAGTTGGCCGCCAGCATTTAGCACCTGGGCAACTGACGTAGCAGACACACAGGTAATCTGGTCACAGCCTTCATCACTAGGTTGTCATTTGTTGTATTTCTGGTCAAATAATTATTATTCCAAAACTTGCATGCAGGGCCATCTTTAGCAGATGTAGTGCCAGGGTGCAAATATCCACCCAGCGCCCCCAAATTACCATGGATAGTGTGTAGGGGGGGGGAGGAAGCTGTGCACTGCCAGCCAAATCTCCCCCATGCCACTGCGGGAGAGCAATCCCTGCAGAGGCTTGGGAGGAAAGCTGTGCACCCGCCAGACATATAGTTGGCGGGGCGCTGCTTCCAGCCTAAGTCTCTGTGGGGATCGCTCTCCTCCCATGGAGGCAAGCTGCACCATATGGCTGGCAGGGTGCAGCTGGCGGGTGTGCAGGGAAAGGGGAGGCCACAGCTCCCCCACTCACTGGGGCGCCCCTGAGAGTCCGGCGCCCTGGCACGAGGCACCACTAAGCCCTATGGGTAAGATGGCTCTGCTTGCATACCTAGATATATAGTAGCATATGGACATTTTATGCTGTCATATATTTACAGCTGTCTAAGAAGTACGGGAACATTTACAGCCTGCAAGCCTTCTATACCAATGTCGTGGTGGTGAATGGATTCAAGCTAATGAAAGAAGCTTTAGTCCACAAGTCAGAGGATTTTGCTGATCGTCCTGATATGCCTGTCCAGAGTTATTTGGCAGGATACAAGCAAGGTATGTCCGGCTTTGTCAGTCCACGGTGCTGAAGGAGATGGGAAGAAGGCAAACCAGTGAGCATCCCTCCCGTCTGTTGGCAATAAAGCAATTCAAATAGGAAGAGTGGGAATTAAATCATGATCTGTTAATGCTTCCAACCCATAAGAAAGGAGCATTTTGGTTCTCACTGTTTTTCTTGAGGTTCAAAAGCTCATTGAGTGTGAATGATAAGAGCTGTTCGGCAGCGAAACAAACTCTCGCAGAAGGTGGCGGACTCTCCCTCATTGAGGATGGATGTCAAAGATTCTTTAGCTGTGATTCCTGAATGGCAGGGGGATGGACTGTTTCTCTGATTGAGGAGCTTCATGACTGATTCGGATTTGAGTCTCTCCCAGATCCTAGTCCAGCACCAAACTGACTCTCATTTAAGAGAGAATGAAAATAATTTTTAGACATTAAAGCAATAGTGCCTTGATACAGAGTATGAGCAAACTTTGTCCATCAGCCATGTAATACATTTTCCCTTTCTTTTTGTTTGTTTACCGAGTCTGATCCGGTTCAGTGTCTGATGATTGATCTCCAGATGTAATAATTTTAGTCAGTAAGAGCTGACTCATATGAAGTAATATTATGTCAGCATTTTAACTGCTTCAATTTTATGCCCTCTTAGGACTGGTATTTGCAAAGTATAACCATGCCTGGAAGGAGCAGAGGAGGTTTCTTCTCTCAAACTTGAGAGATTTCGGAATGGGAAAGAAATCCCTGGAATGGCAAATGATTGAGGAAGCTGACCATCTGTGTTCTGCATTCCGTGCTGAGGGAGGTTGGTTAAACCTAGGAATGAGGGACGTGGGAAATATGCTTAATTCAAAATGTTTACATTCTTATTTATTTATTTAATAAAAAGCATACACTGTTTGATTGTTTAAAAAACCCTTGAAAACAATAACATGATCAACAAGAATAAATAATAATAATCGAAGACTTTAAAAAAGTTAATATTATGTTGCATGCCATCCCAATCTCTGAGCGGTGTGAGATTCCAGGGGTTCTGAGCGCTTACCCAGGCTTGTGTTTCCTTCAGGAATAAGGCACATGTCTTTATGATATATGGTTTATTTACGTATATCTATAACCTGAGCCTATGATGGAGGGGCTCACAGCATTAACACCCCAAGAAGGTCTTGCTTCTCCCATAGCTACAGCCTTGGATCCCAGCAGAAATCAGGCCTGGCTGTGACTCTCTGCCTTCCCAGCCTGCCCCTCTTGCACCCAGCTCCTAGCTCCCTGTCTTTCTAACTAACAGACTGTTGAGGGAGGGAAGCCTACCCCTTTGGTTTCTGGCACTGAGCCACTTCCTTTGTTCCCTTAATGGCCCATACTTAGCAGGCTATTACTAGGCTGGCCTGCTTATTCCAGCAATTGAATCCATGCTGGATCCAGGAATTAGATGGAGGATCAGGCATACAGTCTAATCCCCCCCCCAACACATAACAATAACAATACACTAAAAGCAGATTAAAACTCGCATGAACTTTCAAAATATCTGGGTGGGCTTGCCTAAACAAAAATGCTTTAGTAGGTGCTGAAAAGAGTGCAGTGAAGGTGCATGCCTAAAATCAATAGCTAAAATGTATTTCTCCCATCTCTGTCAATGAACTCCAGTAAAAGTCCAGAGTGTTGTGCTTCAAACCTTAGGTTTGATTTCCAGAGAGTTTTGAATTTGGAACATTTATAAGTGTACATTAAAGAGAGCAAAGCAAATGGAGCCATGGTGGTTAGGGCAGGGCAGGGGGGATGAATCACCAACCCACTTTCTTTCTCTTTCAGAGCATCCATTTGACCCTCAGTTTATTATAAACAATGCAGTTAGCAATGTGATTGCCTCTATGACTTTTGGCTATCGCTTTGACTACAAGGATCAGAAATTCCAGGAGCTGCTGCATTTGTTTGAAGAATGCATTCAAGTTGCATCAGGATTGTGTACTCAGGTGTGAAAAACTGCTGCTTCATCAGAAATATTGTTCTTTAGTGACTGTATCTCTGTACCAGGTGTAATGGATTTTCTTTTCCATTCTCCATCAGCTCATTAATATGATACCTTGCTTGCTGCACATCCCACCACTGGAACAGATAGTCTCTAAACACCACATGGGTATGTACAACTACATAGAAAACATTCTGAAGGTGCACGTGAAAACCTGGGATTCATCCTGCAGGAGGGACATCATTGATGCTTTTCTGGAAGAAATAGAAAAGGTAGGAAGTTGGTATTTTGTAGTTCCAGCGCAAGGTATATACAATTCTATACAGTGGTACCTTGGTTTACAACCATAATCCATTCCAGAGGTCTGGTTGTAAACCAAAACAGGTTGCAACCCAAGGTGTGCTTTCGCCAATGGGGCCTCCCCCCCAAAATTGGTTGTAATCCAAAAAAAAATTGGATGTAATCCAAAAAAAGGGACACAAACTTCCGGGTTTGACATGGTTGTAATCCAAAACGGTTGTAATCCAAAGCGGTTGCAAATCAAGATACCACTGTAATTGGTTCTAACTATTAATTTAAAACCTTGGTTAAATCAGCAACTCACTGTTCAGTGCATTTCTGCATGGGCATAGCCAAGGGGGGGCAGCTGCCCCCCCAATCAATAAAATTCAATAAAAATACATAGCAAACTGAGGTTCTGCCCCTCTCTAACAAAAATCCTGGCTACGCCCATGCATCTCTTTGTGTGCCATACCTGACTTGTGGAGCAGTGGGGTTGCAGCCCTGACCCAGGAGAGGACCCAATACCTCTTGGGATCTCATGAGGTGTTATGGCTTGGTCTCTCCCACAAATGCGAGACAACTCTGGCTGTTAATTATTTCAGATTTATTGCTAAAACAACAAACTAGGACGGAGCTCCTCTACTCATTGTCCTCCCCAGAAGATGGAGTTGCCCAGACTGAGCTCCTCCCCCTTCCCCAGCACGGAAGCCCCCACCTTCTTTTCCAGTATCCTTCTCACTGTCTAGATCCTACAAGAGGATTTGGGAGAGAATGCTTCCTGCATTCCAACATCTGACTCACTATTGGAGCTCTCACACAGCAGCCTGTCACTCTGGCCCTGTCTTTCGTCTCCCCTTTGTTCAGAGCTCAGATCACAGCTGCTCTCCTCCTCCTCTCTGCCTTCCGCTGTTAACTGTTCTCTCTCTATGCCTGCTTCTTCTTCTCCTGTCAGCATCTGAGCTTCGCTGACATGAGGCCTCAGAATCTCCTTGGAGAAAAAGTGGGATGTAAATGTAATCAATTAATAAATATGCCACCACTCCACGGACCTCAGAGGGTGGCAGCACTGCTAACAGCGCCTTCCTCGCCCAACTGGGCAGGTCTGTAACTGATATGACTCTTATACTGGAAAGTCCAGTCTCTTTGACACTTTCTGCACGCTATATAGCTACCATAAGATTTATTTATTTTTTGAGATGCATATCGTTTGTCTTCTCAGAGGAAGGAAGATGTGAAGACAAGTTTCAATCGTGACATCCTTCGTCTAATAATTACTGAACTTTTTGCTGCTGGCACTGAAACTGTCGCCACCACTCTGCGCTGGGGCCTGCTGTACATGATCCAAAATCCAGAAGTCCAGAGTAAGTACTACTGCAGCTGCTATATGCTAGAGAGAGAGAGAGAGAGAGAGAGAGAGAGAGAGAGAGATTTTAGTGCCAGTTTCTGAAAGAGCAGCTATATTAGGATGGGAATTTAAGTTTTGACAGAGATGTACAATATGCAAGAAGCCATTGGGCTTCCTGTTTTCACTGAATTAAGGGCACATCTGTAGCTGCTGTTAGTCTTTGGTAGCAAAGATGAAACTGGCATTCTAAAACAATTTATTGTGGCAAACTTTTTCATAGGGTACAATCATAGTCCAATTCCTGTCCACAGAATGCTCCTCTTCCTCTTCCTCTAATTGGGCCTTCTTGTGTGCCAGTCTCTAGCCTGAGCTCTCCTTGAGATGGTCTCTTGCCTAGACAGGGCCTCCTGCTGGAATTCCAGCTCAGGTTTGAACCACCATCCAGCTGTGACCACTTGGAACAGAACATGTCCTTGTTCATAAAAGCATTTTAACAGGAAATAAGGTATTTTCCTATCTGCAGGTTGCTGATTCCACAGGAAAGATCAGTGTGATCAAATGTAGCTCCCAGCAGCATGGGATCTGCACACACATTTATAGGTTTCCCATCAACAGCATAGAACATCTCCCCTTAAGGATCTGCACAGGCTTCTTACATCCTAACTGAGCCAAATTCAAGTTTTTGTTATAGAAGGCTCCAAATTGCTTGGGGACCAACTTACTTGGACTGCTCCCCCCCCCCCCCATAGTTGCTTGATTTTTACATTCAGCTAGAAAGGCACTATCAAAGGTAGCACATGATATTCACCTTGCTTCTACAAGTAATAAGCTGTTTTGTTTGTGCACCTAAGTTGTAGAATTCCTTGCCTATGTGAAGGAAGTACCATCAATACACCAAGTTTCAGACACCTGCTGAAGACCTTTCTGTTTGTACCCATCTTTTCTGATGTATAGCTCAACCTATCAGATACTGTGTGTCTGGATGATAAGTACTTTTATGCTGTTCTGTGGGTGCATTATGTTCACTGCCTATATAGTTTGCTTATTGTGTGGTATATATGTCTGTAAAATAAATAAATGGGAGAACAATGAAAGTGTGCTTCCTTTCTAGGTAAAGTCCAAAAAGAAATTGATGATGTGATTGGCAAGAACAGGTCAGCCACCATGGGGGACCAGGCATCCATGCCTTACACTCATGCTGTGATAAATGAAATTCAGCGATTTGCTGATGTTTCTCCGTTGATGCTGCCTCATATGGCATACCGGGACACGACATTACAAGGCTTCTTCATCCCAAAGGTATAAGTTTTGCTAACAGAGTAAAGGTATTCTGAACAGAAGCAGGCAGACTGTTTTTCTCTTTTGCACGGAGTTGAACCAAATTTAAACTACTTTATTTATTCACTGATCCCAAACTTAAGATTTCTCAAATGCCTTGAATCTGCATGGGAAATGAGCTCCTAAACTGCTTGGCCATATGCCCAGAAAGCAGGAGTCAAGCGGAAAACTGCTCAGACCTGTGTTTTCTAGGCACAGCACAAGCGGAAGGGCGGACGAGCCCATTGTCTCCAGAAGCCTAAGATATTTCAAAATAGAGACAGGATATAAGGAAAATACAGTGCTTCTGATTGTAATCCTTTTACCACATCCTCTTTCTTTGGACACACTTAGGGTACCACGGTCATCTTCAACCTGTCATCTGTACTGAAGGATGAAACTGTGTGGGAGAAGCCTTATGAGTTTTACCCAGAGCATTTCCTTAATAAAAAAGGGGAATTTGTGAAACGAGAGGGCTTCCTGCCTTTCTCAGCAGGTAAATCCAGAGGACTAAAAGCTGGGATATTTACTGTTTCATAATCACACATTTTAATATTGCAAGTGTTTTTTTCATGGTCACATTATGAGGGCTTCTTCAGATACAGTCCTTTGGGGGTGTGGACAGTGCCAGATTTACGTGTAAGCTAAACAAGCTTAGGGCCCCACTCTCTTGGGGGCCCCAAAAAAATTTAAAGGGAAAAAAACCTGGATGTACATTCTCCAAAATATAAGATAAAAAACAAATAAACATTGATAAAATACATATTTTGTTATGTGCAAATGGCTTTAGATACCTATTAGGTCCATAAATTACCATATAGCATATATTCAACACAAAAAAGTGACAATTTGTTGTTGACAAAGGACAGCTGGACATATAAGGGGCCCCATTACCTTTAGTAACTTAGGGCTTCATCAAACCTAAATCCGGTCCTGGGTGTGGAGAGAGAGATCTACCCATAAATCTTTGTTGTGGAGATACAAATGTTTGTGCTCACAATTATGCTCCCACTGAAGAGAAGTCACATTTGTGCAGCACTCAGAACAGCTATTTCCTTCTGGTAGTTTTCCCTTGTCCCATTCCTTTCCAAGGGGAAACCTGCTCTTTAGCGATAGATCGGAAGAAATGTTGATCCAGGAAAACCCAAATTGCTGTTTGCTCCAATTGAGTGTTAAAGGGTGTTTTGCCCAGGGGGAAGCAGCAGGACAAGGGGAAGTGTACATAAGCCTAAACCACAACCTCCTTTTTTAATTTTCAGAGGGAGGATAGCCCCATTCAGCATGGGTTGAATCCCTATCCACTGATCTGCCTTTCAAACCCTTGTCTGGATTAAGCTTCAATTTATGTGGCTCTTGGAGGAGTGCCAACCCTCAATGCAGCACCCCCCCCCCTGCAGTTTGCCAGCCCTTGTTTATAAGACTTTGCTATAACAAAACAACAACAACAACTTATTACTTGTACCCCGCCCATTTGACTGGGTTTCCCCAGCCATCCTGAGTGGATCTCAACAGAATATTAAACAAAACAAAATATGATACATCAGATTGTGATAGATGGTTCATCAAATTATGGTGTGGAGAAATATGGGAGACAAATTTGTATCTCCTTCTCATAGAATAAGAATGCAAGTCAGGCAAAAAAATTGATTGGCATTCAGGATAGACACAACAAAATAATTCATCACACAGTGCAATTCACTTCCTGAAGACATGGGGATGGCCTGGTCTGCGGTTGCTGCAGAATTAGGTCAGGAATCAGAATATGGTGACCGAATTCTATGGTAGAATAGATTGAATAATTTCAAAATTGTAAGTCACCTTTTATGAGACATTAGTATCACCATTGCTGTGACTGTGTCACTGCCTCTGAGACTTAATCGGAAATGCTCATAAAAGCAACTGGTGGCAAAAGATAGGGAAAGGGCCAAAGTCCAGTGGCAGAGCCTCTGCTTTGCATGCAGAAGGTTCTAGGTTCAGTCCTCAGAATCTCCAGGTGCTGGAGAGATCCCTGTCTGAAACTCTGGTGAGCCAGTCAGTACTGAACTAGATGGAGCAATGGTCTGACTCAGTATAAGGCAGCTTCCTGTGTTCTTGTTCCACTTCCCTCTCCCCAATCCCCATGCAGTTTGGGTGTCTTCAAAATGATTTTCTTCTTAATTGGTGGTTTTACTCATTCGGCCCCTCATACCAGTGCCGTATGTTTTTTTCTTTCTTCAAAGGGCGCTGTGCACACCACCAACCACCTGTGAATTAACCTTCTCCAAAGCATCTGTCTGGGGCCTTTCTGTGTAGGGTCTTGCAGTCTGCATGCCCACTGGAAGAGTCACTTAGGAACTGACACTTAGCCTGATGTCCTCTTTCTTTTTCAGGTTTGCGTGTATGTCCAGGAGAACAGCTAGCCAGGACAGAGCTCTTCCTCTTCCTCACCAGCCTCCTTCAGCATTTCACCTTCTGCTTCCCAGAAAACCAGTCTAAACCTCAACAAGAATCTCGCTGTGGCTTGACAGTAGCGCCGCCCCCCTTGCAGATCCGGGCTATTCCAAGATAACTATAGATACATGCAACGCACTTGTGCGGCACTCAAACTTTTACCCTATCATGTGGTTACTGAAATCTCACAGGGTGACCCAGATATTCACTTTCTCTCCTAGTTCATTGGAATTTAAATCTCACTTTGAACAATGACTCTTCTTGTTCAGAATTTCTAAAAGCATGCACAGTGGTACCTTGGGATGCGAACGGGATCCGTTCTAGAGCCCCGTTCGCATCCTGAATGGAACGTAAGACGCGACGGCATGTCTGCGCGTGTGCGGGTCGTGTTTTGCCGCTTCCGCACATGCGTGTGACATCATTTAGAGCATCTGCGCACTTCCAGTTTTCAAGCATTTGGGAGCCGGAACGTTTGACTCCCAAGTATGACTGTATTTACAAAGCTGTCTTCTAGGGGAGGGGAAAAACATCACTCAAGACAAAATGACACAAAGCAATAATTATATTTAAAAATAAATAAATACAATTAGTAAATCACAATGACTTTGAAGACTCCCTTCAGACATCTCCCTGGTGATGAATTTGCTGTCTTCCCCTGCCACTTCAAAGGGAGGGAGGGAGTTGTTCAAATCTGTAAAAATTCATTTCAAAATCATAGACTTCTGGGACATTGGGATGCATTCTGTTATTTGGTTATTTCGAGGATGGGGAACCTGTGAACTTCCACCTTCCCCAGCCAGCATGGTCAGTGGTGATGAGAACCTTAGTATTGCAACCAGAGCTTTTTCTTCAGCTGGAACTCACTGGAACTCAGTTCCGGCCCCTCTCGGGTAGGTGCCATTCTAAGAGAACAAGGGAGGCGTTCATGGTGAGTTCTGCACCTCTTTTTCTAGAAAAATAGCAGATTGCAACAATGTCTGGAGGGCCACAAGAGATAACAGGATGCCTCTATTTAGAAGAAACATTCCCTCCTGGGAAAGGGGAGGCCTCTTACTTTGTATAACCCTGCCTCCTTTGGGATGCCATTGGGGACTGAACCCGGGAGATTTCGCATGTAAGGCAGGAGCTCCATTGCTGAGCCACAGCCTGGCCGTCACACAGGATGGAAGGCATCTTCAAAAATGGTTCTTGCTGCAACATAGGCACACCTCAGCTATGTTAGGGCCAATAATTTCAATAGGTATACTCTGAGTAACAGTCAGGTGCAGATTCATAATTTTATTAAAACTAAACTTGTTTTTTTTTAATTCATTTCTGTTCCATTTGTATACTGCCTTTCTACACTGCTATGCACAGGTCAGTTCTACAAAGAAATGACAAAATCTACAACTAAGTTCCCACCCTAGACTAAGTCAATCCAATGCAAATATGTTATAATGAAAACTATATATATATAATTGTAAAAATAAATGACTTAAGTCAATTATAATATTTCATGGTAAAATCAACCTCCAGAATACCAGCAAAGAAATGCCAAATCACTCCCAACAATTGCAACAATTAATTAATTAATTAATTAATTAATTGCTGCCATTATTGTTTATAATCAATCAAAGTCACAATATGTAAAATATAGAAATATTGGGTACGTTCCTCCTCTTACGTCTTGCCACCCCACCTACAATTCCTATACCTGCTTCAATTTACAACAATCATCTAATATTAGCTGGAAAAAACATGTTTATCCACTTGATGTGTGTCTTTTTTAAGACAGGAGGGGGTGAGATTTTTGCTTAGAAATAGTGACATCTAGTGGAGCAGGATCACAAGGAGCAGGACCACATCCACATCCACACTCACACCATACATTATAAAGCACTTTATAAACAGCCATAGCTTCCTCTAAAGATGTTAAAGCTGTCAAGAGTTGCTAGAAGTCCCCCATTCTCCTCCTAGAGCTACCATTCCCAGAGTTCCCTGTGAAGAGGGATAGATTATTAAACTATTCTGGGAATGCAGGAAAGCCAGAAAGCAAGGAGAATGAACCAGAGAAAGAAAATGGAAGTGAGGGTGGGAGAGGGAAGGCTTTCCTGAATATATTGCCCCGGGGAGGAGAAGGCATTGCTGCCATGAGCAAGTGGGCAGGAAGCAGGAAGGGAGGGAGGATGTCACCCAGAGGCAAATCTGCCATCCCTCCCAGAGAAGGGGCCCAGACTCCAAGTTTTCATTTTTTTAAAAAAGTAAGTCTCTAGGCCTTCTGGAAAGAAAGTTATAAAACAAAATGTGCAGGCACATTTCTAAGCATTATCTCTGAGACAGGCCAGTCTGGCTGCTCCTGATTTTCAGTGTTTTTAGCTAATGAGTGAAGTTGGAACTGTGATTGATGAATGAGTTGTTTGGACACCAGGATACTGGAATCCCTTAAGTCCAAAAGAGCAGCTATCTCCTCGACATGATTTTCCCAAAACACATTAAGTGCAAATAGATGTTAAAGAATCCTCTCACCCCCTGCTGTGGCAAATACAGAAAGGAAAAACTTTGCAAAGCAACTTAGGCAGGTCTCCTGCTGTTCAGGAGCTAAAGACCAGGCACTCATCCAGATTGTTCTCCTGTAGGAGACACAACTACAAGCCCCTGGCTTAGGAAAAGCCAGAGGTGTGGCTGTCCTGATAAGCAAACTCTGCCCTCTGAGTGTTGAGGAAAGTTTGGCAGGCCCAGCAGGCAGTTACCTCTTTGTTCGTGGTGTCATAGACAGCCATCCAATCACCACACTGGTTTATATGAACCCAACTCAGCACAACAAGACTTTATTTGGGAGACATTAACAGAATTAGACCATTTTAAGAGGACAGACTATAATAGGAGACTTAAATTGCTGCAGTCGTGACTCTAAGGACTGAAGTAAGTATCAATATATGAACAAATTCTACAACCTCTGCCTGGAAGAAGTATTAACTGAATGGGACCTGGTGGACACTTGGCAGCACTGCAACCAGAAGGCAGGGAATCCTCATAAATGTCACATATAGACCTAATATTAATACCAAAAGGTGATCTTCATCAGGTGGTGAGTGCAGAAACTGGGTCTATAACAGTCTCTGATCATGCACCAGTCTCCATTAACTTAAACTTTGGTGCACTTCCCCCCAGGACCCAAAACTGGTACTTTGACCTTGGTCTTCTCACTTGTGCAGTGTCCAAAGAATGCTTAGCTAAACCTTTGGACCTTTACTTTAAAGAGAATGACTTGCATATTGAAATAAAACAAAATGGGAATATGAAGGAAGTCCGGGGAGGAGGGGAGTAAATATGGAAAATTGTTAGAGAAATATTGTTAGAGGGTGTATACATGGAAAAACCAATTTATTTATTTTTAAAGAGAATGACTTGCCAGACAGACACCCCAAAATTGTGGAACGCACTTAAGGCTGTTCAAAGGGTTAACTGCATGTGTGAGGTGATCAGAAGGAAGATAATGTACGAACATGAGGTTAAAATCTCACTGCAGAAATTTAAAAGCTTGAGGTGATATACTCTGGGAGTGCAAGCCAAATATCTTGTAACACATGCTTGCATTTTCCATGGCTGGGTTTGTTTGTTTTTTGCCCTGACTCTACAACTTTAACAGTTGGTTGATCTTCAATTTTAATTTTTATATGGTTTTATTGTATGGTGTTATGGTTGTAAACTGTGCTGATATTACTTATTGGTATGTTTATTAATACATAAAATGAATAAATGCTTCATGTTCCTGGCTTCTGTAGTTGCTTTTGAGGTTAATGGTTAAACTGTAAGATACACTAAGCTTAGAAATATTATCTAGGAATGGCACAAATCTGGAAAGGGGATGGATTAGCGATTAGGATAAATACTCTTTCTATCTTGGGCCTGGGAAAGTTTCCGGGAAAGCAAAAGGTGAAATGCTGCAGAAGGCTGGTGAAGAAGAGGAAGAGCTCCATTTTGGACAGGGGTTCTCCAGGGCATGCATGGCGACCTGTAGGAAAAGGAGACATAGTATTTTGTGCATGAGATCAGGAGGAAGGAGTGGATCGGACTGCACCTATAGGCTCCACTCTGGCCTGCATCTCATTTATTTAAAACTTGGTCAGTATCCACCTCCCCACCTGGTCCCTCATCGGATCTCCGTCCCCCTCTCTCTCCCTCCCTCTTTTCTAGGCTTTTTGGCTATGCTTGACCTTGCTTGCTATGGACAAATTGCTGGTCGCCATATTCAGAGCTGGGCAGGAATGTGTCCATCAGACTAACCTCATCGCAATACCTCTTCCCCCCTCCTTTTACACTGTAACAATAACTGATGAAATTGCTGCCTCTAGTCTAGCTTTGTTTTACTGTAACTTTGTCAAAGGTCTTGTTATTTACTCTACACAAAACTGCCTTACCACACTACCCACTACAGACAGCTGACTGGATCAATAAATAGGTTCCAGAGGTTAAAAGGCTGTTCATCAGTAGGAACAAAGATCTCCATCTGGTGTCAACAGAGAGAACCAAACTGTGGGAGGCAGCAGTGGGGAGGGGCTGGTTCACTCGCCGCCCTTTGCTCTTGCAGTCCAGGCTACAGGGAGGCGCAAAATTTAGCTTCCTACGCACACTGCTTCTCGCAATTCTTTTAAAATTTAAAGAGTGAGCTGAGCCTACCTAGCTATTATTATCTTGGAGTCTCTGGATTTAATTATTAGTCCCAAGTGGCCAAAAGATTAATATACTCATATTAACCCCTTGAATTTGGATCAGTAGCAAATGAGCAACCAGCGCAGGTCTGTTTCGTGTTGGAATGCCAGCTGTGGCAGTCCACCTGAATACAGCTCAAGACTACAAGTTTCTGGCATGACTCCATACCCTTTCTCACCTGAAAGAGGGGTGTGTGTGTGTGTGTGTTGACTGATATATAGCCAGCTGCATCCAGCAGCCATGTGTGAGCCTCCCTCTAGTTTAAGTCTCTTTTACTATTTTGACTACAGCCTCCTAAGACAAGGTTACTATACTTAGTAGGGTGCAGTTTATGGTGTACCAGCATCTCCTAACTTCATGTATATGGTGTGAATAATAATGGTCTTATGGCTATAAAGCACTTTATTTCTAACGGTGTGGCCAAAGAATTTTCTTCACCATCAACTCTGAAATGGCTGACAACGGTAAAGGACAAAGATCCTGAAGCTCTGCTGTGCTACCCTGCTGGTTACCCGGGTAGAGGTGTGATCTTAAAGCATGACCACTATTTTCTTAACATGAGTTGGAATGCCACTACGGCCTATATTCCCTGCAGCCACAGAACTGCTTGTCACTGTAAAACACACTTAAAATGTGCCCAAAGCTGAATTCAACACAGTCACAGACTGCAGTGGTTCTGAAAATTGGCTTATATATTTCAAATAACCACACACAAATACAAACCACTTGTGAAGTACAATCTGAAATGTCTATGTCTTCTCAATATTTTCTCCTTGGAAGGTAGCCAGGAAATAGGGGGAGTTGGTTGTAAAGTATGATCCTGATGGTTGTTGTTTTTTTATTAAAAAAACACAAGTTTGAGTCAAAAGTACATACTCTCTCTTCTCAAGGAGCTGACTATGGAAACCTGTTACTCTTGCTTTCCCATCAGGCGGGAAAGAGAAAGGAAGATAACAGGACAGCTTGTAATCTTTCCCCTTATACCTCAGCCATTCCTCTCTTGGATTTACCTAGAGAGAAAGGTAGGAAGGCCTCTTGCTTGACAAACTGCCCATTTGCATCCAGGAAGTGCTCTGGGTAGAATTCATGTGGCTTCTCCCACATTGTCTCATCCTTTAGCACAGAGGACAGATGATTAAAGACAGCAGTCTCCTAAAATGGCAAGAAAAACCAAGAGATTAGAATCCACTGCTGGTAAGGTAAGCTTGTGGGTGGCTGGAGCACACATCAGCAGCGGGGGGCCAAGTCCAAGGATACCCAGTGCTGAGTCCAGGCCTGCATGGAGGAGAGAGAGAGGAGGAAAGAGCTTATCAGGACAAATGTGTGTTAACACATTTGGTAAATTTTCAGGAAGTTCTTAAAGACAATTTGCAGAAATGTGGAGAATTGAATGTAAGATTTGAAAAATTAGACACTACGGGAAAGACAGATTGAGAAATTCTTCCATTCCCATTACGAAGTCACCCCTCTGATTCAAGGCAATTGTAGAAGAAGGTATGTCATTTAAATCTGCAAGTAATGGGTCTTATGAAGTACCTGTCTGAAATGTGCTTATTTACATTTATTTACTTATTGCCTCTACATCCCATCATCATGGCAGCATGCATACCGGTAGTTCTTCCTCCATTTCATCCTCATAACAGGGCGACTGAGGTATGTTAGGCTGAGAAAAGGTGATTGGCTCAGCATCCCCCAGTGGCCTTCATGGGCCTGAGTAGGTGCTGGATTCCCTACTCATCTGTGAAAAAACAGAAAGTTCCTTTTGCTACGGTTCCTGGTATTTCCAGCACTACTCTTAAAAGGGTTTTATACTAGACATTTAGGCCTACCAAGTTCTCTCTCCTTGCAATTCTTGACTATGTGACCATGTTGTGTGATCGTTCCAGGCTGCATTTTACACTAATGGCTGCTGGCAGCATAGAAATTTAACACAAGCTGTTTCTCCGGCATAACATTTGGGGTTGGTTTGCAGTGCTGGTTTACGGTAACAGAAGAGGCAACACATTGTGCCTGCTGTGCGGTCATAATTGCTCCCTATTTAAAGCATGCACTAGCCAGCTTTGAGTTAGTCTGTCTCTTGTTCAATGGATGTGTAAGTAGTTAGTATGAATTCCTGCAACTTTTTTTACTTTGCAGCCATGAGTTCCAGTTCAATCGACTTTTGCTACTGTTAGCATAAAGATCTCTCACGTGTGACCACCCTGGTTCTGATTTACCTTAGGAATGACAAACTTGCCAACCTCAGTATCTCTGTGGACCATATATGGCGTTGCAACAGGTAAAACATCAGCACATCGTTGAATTTCATGTATCACAGCGCAAGTATAAGGCAGCTTCAACTGGTCTTCCATCACAGGTGATCGTACCCTGCCTATCTCTTCATCAATTTCTTCTTGGACCCTTTCTGGAAATATTCATTTAGAAGTATTATTGCATTGCATATGTGTCTTAATCCTTCCAGTTCTCCAAGCCTGTTATGGTAGCATGTTGTTGTTGTTTGCATAGAAAGTTTCAGCAGCCCTGGACACTCTGCGAGCTTTAAGGCTGAGCACAGATTTGAATCTGGGGCTCCAAGTAGGGGTCTGCTGAATATCCTCCACATAACCCAAATAGTGATTCAATCTTTGGTGGGTGGTGGTTTAGTTTATCATTTGTTTATATAATCTATGCAGTTCTTCTCCATTGTAGACATGTACATTTCCCACATCGTCTCAGCTGTTTCAAATTCTTTTATCTTCATTAATCTGCACTGTAACTAATAGCTCAGTTGAGAGAGCATAGATTTGAGCCCCACATTGGGCAAAAGATTCCTGCATTATAGGGGGTTGAATTAGATGACCCTCAGAGTACCTTCCATCTCGACAATTCTATGAAGTAACATCAGACTTAGGTGTTCAAAGGCCTATTCGTTTGAAGGCATACATACTTAAGGGGCACTCAGCTATTCAGAAGTGGATATATTTGTGAATAAATAAAAAACCACCTTTTTGAAAAATACCCAGATGAGAGCCTATGAGCATCAACATTTAAGGACACAGATTAAAAAAATTCTCCAGAGTTAGTGCAGAGTTGTTACAAAGTTATACATAGTTAGGACAAAGAAACAGCTTCCAAAATACAAATAAAGTTTTATTAGGCAAAGCAGCTTTGTTTTCCAAGTGCTTGGTTCCAACTGCCTTGTTTCTATTTTGAGCCATTTCATAATTGTAATTTATTTATTGAATTGTTATCCTGGCCTTCCTCCTGATGTGGAAGTTTTGAATCCAAATCAGATCTAAAGCAATTGCACAGCTAACTTGCCCATGAGTAAGCCTTTCAATTGGAAAACCCCATGAGGGATCAGTCTATCTTCCCCAATACTGATCACTTACTCTGAACCTCAGGATGATTGACCATGTTCAACAGTCCCCAGAGTACGGTGGAAGAACTTGTTTCAGTGCCAGCCATAAACAGGTCAACAAGGATATTAATAAGGTTTTGCTCATTAAAACTGCTATCTGGTTTCCCTTTAGCCTGAAGGAAATGGAACAAGTTAGTAACTCACATGGAAATAGCACAATATCATGTCATATTTGTTAGAGAATAGTGTGTACTAATGATCTTTCCCCTTGCTATCAATAGTATATATCTGACCAAAGCAAAGTAAATAATAAAGGAAAAGCTGCTCAGTTTCTTGAGAAATACTGCATTTCATAAAGCACATGGGTGTTGAAAAAAATGGCAGCCTCATCCCACAGTAATATCTAATACAGCCTAGCTCTTTCTTTGGCATAATTGCACTGAGCAATAAACTCACCAGTTTCAGAGCATAGGTTGTCATTGTCTGGGCATATGAAACAACTGCTTAATGACTGCTTGTTTGTTTATTTAATTTGTCTCCCATCTTTTTCTCCAAGGTATTCAGGAGGTGAACTCAAATGCACAAGCTGATGTCAGGGTAAAGAGTTAGAGATGTTTACCCACCAGGTCTTGTAATTTTACTGGCATGGTTTAGATGGCAGAAATTCTAAATAAATCAATCCTAATGAAGACGCTACAAAAGAAGTCCCAGTGGTTCTGTGTCTATAAATGTCTTCCTACCTTATCTATCTCCTCCAGAAATGCATCAATCAAATCTCTTGGGAAGGTAGGATCTCTGGTTTTCTTATGTTCACTCACAATCTCTTTTAGAATTATACTAATATCTCCATAGCGTTTCTGCAGTTTACGATGAGGTCCAGGAAAATAGGACAACCAGGATCCTGCAGCAATAAGCTGGCAGGGCAGAAATCAGAGAAAGAAGAGATATCACAACCTTTTCAGATACAAAAGACATTTAATAAATATTTCACTAGAAGTGAAAGTGCATTCTGATAGGTAGTTCCTAACCAGTCAGTTCTTCATACTGATGGGGAGATTATTCCTTGCCAGCTTCACTCCCATTCCCTCCCTCACATCCACCCTGTGGTACAGAGTTCCAGAGACTGAGCATATCCATTGATAATTAACTTTTCTTAGCCATAATCTGTGGGGATGTTAGGAGATACAAGGGTCTCTGAATAGGCTGGTAGGCTCACATTAGTGGGAGAAGCCAGCTCCTTCAGATATCCTAGTCCTAAAACATAAAGAGCTTTCAATGTCATTACCAGTTATCCGCCAACTTTTAAACCGTATATTATATATCTTTTTAATACCACTTAGAGGTTTTATGAAATAAAATAAAGGGTGGTCTTCTGTTAAGGTTTACTCAGAGTAAACCTACTGAGTTCAATAGACCAGTTTTACTCATGTTCTTTAAGTGAGTCAATTCTGAGTAAAACATAGCTGAATTTTGCACCAAACCCATATTTCTTCATCACACGAAAATGGTAATGCACTTCATCCTATCAAAAGCTTTTCCAACATCTGTCCAAATACTAGTGGATGCTAATTCCTACCATTTACTGTAATCTGATACCTTTATTATTTTGTTCATTATCATTTTGCACCCCTGCTTTAATTAATGCTTGTTAGTAGCATATTGACAATTATCTTTTTTAATGAATGGAATTGTCCTTCTAATTTCTTTCTGAAGTTATTTGTAATAGGTTTTTCTGCCTCTAATAATTTTTCATAAATCACTTTTAACTTTTGATTACCTATGTTCGTGTTTTAATCTTGCTGTCTTGGTTTTTAGCTTGTGTTCCTCTTCTTTTTTCTTTAAGAATACCAGGATTTAAAGATATGCTGAAGTGATTGATTCAGATAAGCACCTTAGTGGGGATGCTCCATAACTCGGATGTGGTAGTCACACAAAACATACACTTCAAATGGCTGTTTCCTTTTAATGCCCAGACAAACTCATGAAGGTACCTGGGGCAAATTTCTGATTGTTTCCTTCATGAATTCCTCAGTCACATGCATTAGCTTCAGGAATGTATTGTCACTGTATTCAAAGCGGTCACCAAATGCTAGAGTGCAGAAGATATTACTAACAGCCCTGTAGATGAGGATTTGTGGGTCAAAAGGAGAACCTGGATGAGATGTAAGAACAAGGAGCAGATCAGAAGTATGTTGTCATATATTGCCCATTCTTCATTAAACAGCCATTGTTGAGGTTGGCCTTCCATAACTTGCTATCCTCCAGGTATTTTTGGCTTCAATTCCCATTAGCCATAGCCAGGATATGGGAATGTTGGAAGCTGTACTCCACCACCTATAAATTATTTACCCTTTCAATAAATGGGACTGTAAATTCCTGAGATCCTTTGCTACATAACATGGATGTTGTTGTTGGCATTGTCTGTCTCGAGAGAGAATGGAGTGTGCCTCCAGGGGTGAAGTCAAACCACTGTGTTCCCTGGAGCAGAATCCTGAGCAGTTTGCATGGAGATCCTGGGCTGCCCAGACGACAAAACTCGCCTCTTGGCGTCACTGATGTGAAGGAAAGCAGAGCAATACATTTGGCACCAGCCGGCCTGCAGTAGTTGCCAGAAGGAGGCGTATAAAGCACCATCCAGCCATCTTAGCGGCTCCACAGGAAAAAGCAAGGGAATGAGACAGAAATCCAATATCTCTATAAAGAAACAGACTTGAAAGAGAAGTTGCTGAATTACAACCTATCATTAAACTGAAAACTATGGCGAGGCCTGGTCTTAATAGAGATATTGGATTCCTGTCTCATTACATATGCTAATCATCTGCATACTATCCCTTGCTTTTTCCTGTAGGACTAATTGCAGTCGTTAACAGTTGTCCAAAGGTGTACCATACCCATTGAGTCAATCATCCATCTCCTACTACCCTCCTGAGAAAAACCCCACCCTCCCACTATATATAAGGGTCTGGTGACTTCTGCTTCAGTGTATCAGAAGAAGTGTGCATGCACATGAAAGCTTATACCAAGAACAATTTAGTTGGTCTCTAAGGTGCTACTGGACATCATACACACACACACACACACACACACACACACACACATATATACATACACACACACACACCCCTTCTTGACTGTTGGATCCACTATTGGTCTCATCCATTCAGTCTGCCAGAGCCTATCTTTGCATGCAATGAAAGCCCCTAACTCACCAAGAGTGAAAGACCCATTGGCTACCCTCACCTTGCTTAGCCACCCATTTGAAGCCATTCCTGGGCTGCGGCTGCTATCGCATGCTGACAGCTTCTAGGAGCCACACACGGCAGCTGAGCTTTCCCCAGCAGAGGCACTACTCCTCTTAAAGTTGAATAATAGAAGTAGGACATTGCGGGGGGGATTGGGACAGAGGGGCTGACTGGCTAAAATGAGCAACTTCATATCTCTCAACCACCAACCTCTCCCACTTTCTTCCAGTCCTTTCTCATGACAGCAAGATCTGAGGAGGACCTGAAAGGGAATCAGCTGCGCTGCTGCCAGTACTGCTACATGGAAAATAATTTGAGGTCCCTCAGATTCTGGACTCCAGAACACCTGGTTATAGTGCTTACATTATTTTGCATACTGGATGAGCTAAAGGGTTGCAGAGATGTCCTGAAATGTCCACACTTCATGCTTGGAGCACCAATTCCTTTGCTACCACACAAGTAATTTAGGTTTTCACTCAGTACATCTCATAAAGAGAATTCTAGTCCATGAAAGCTTATGCCATAATAATTTTTGCATTCTTTATAGTGCCACAAGATTATTAGTAATCATTTTACATGCTTCAAAAATTAAATACAGTGGAACCTCGGGTTATGTACCATCCTCCTTACAAACACTTTGGGTAATGAGCGCTGCTAACCCAGAAGTAGGTGTTCTGGGTAGTGAACTTTGCCCCGGAATGCGAGCGGAAGTTGCATGCTGGCAGTGCTGCGGCAGCAGGAGGCCCCATTAGCAAAAGTGCGCCTCAGGTTAAGAACAGTTTCGGGTTAAGAATGGACCTCCGGAACAAATTAAGTTCGTAACGGAGGTACCACTGTATGAGAAGCTTTGGAGATGGGAGTTAGTTTCTGTATAAAGTATAGAGTGCTCCTCATGCTTTGCATCAAGTGAGATCCCATAGCAGGGAAAAAGTCCCCAGGAATGAGATGTACCTTCTTTGGATTTGAACTCAGAACACAAATATCCAGCTTCTTCAGACACTCTTTTTTCAAGCGTTTTCTTCCCCATCCCAAAATTCTTGAGGGTGGAGACAATGAATCGCCTCTGCTCCCTCCAGCCATTGTCGCATGTTGCAAATCCTATTCCTGGAGGATATAAAATAATATAAAATAATATAAAATAATATAAAATAATATAAAATAATATAAAATAATATAAAATAATATAAAATATAATAACATGACAAGTTGCCCAAAGAAACATTCCAAAGTTAATTCTTTGCTTTGCTTAATTTGTTGTTGTTTTTACAAGTGAAGAATGGTAGAGTCCCCATTAAACTGCTGGCCCATTTTTCTGGCCTTCGGACTCGATTGACAACTGCAGAGACTAAACAATGTCTGTGAACATTCCACTGGGCTGCCTTCCATCTTATGCTGACACACAACCAGCAGATGATAGCTGTCCTGTAGAACAGTCTGGCTGACTTTGCAAATAAACCCACAAACACCTCTAGTCTACCTTCCTGACCCTACTTAGTTGTTTACAGGCAAGTTTAAGAAGAAGAAGTTTCTCAAAAACCTCCTGCCACGTCACATGAATATGCATCTTCTCCCAGGCAACAGAGTCTTTCACTTACCACCTGAGGTGCCATCCTGGCCCACTTGCATGCCTGGTCACTTCCTGCCTGTTTCTCCAACTCTACTGCTTCTTATCCAGTCCATCAGGGTATCAGCTATACAGTGGTGCCCCGCAAGACGAATGCCTCGCAAGACGAAAAACTCGCTAGACGAAAGGGTTTTGCGGTTTTTGAGCTGCTTCGCAAGACGAATTTCCCTATGGGCTTGCTTCGCAAGACGAAAACGTCTTGCAAATTTGTTTCCTTTTTCGTAAAACCGTTAATACCCAAGGTGCATTGCTTGAAGAGGTGCAGTTGCGACTTGACTTCGAGGAGCAACTCATAGCACGCGGTGTGGTAGCCTTTTTTTGAGGTTTTTGAAGACTTTGGCGATTTTTGAAGCTTTTCCAAAACTTCTTTTGCAGCCATTTGGTAAGTTAAACTTTTAAAACTTTTTTGGGGGGTTTTGGATTTTGGGTTGGGGTGTTTGGAATTCAAGGACTTGGTGTTGGGGAGGGGTTTGCAAGAATCTGGAAGCTTGTGTGTTTTTTTTCTGCATTTTTCTGATTTTTTGTGACCATTGGGCCACTCTGCTGTTTTTTAAAAAAAATTCTGGGTTTTAATTTCTGTGTGGTGGGTGGCTGGGGGAACAGTTGAGGAGGGGTTTGCAAGAATCTGGGAGCTTGTGTGGTTTTTTTTGAATTTTTATGATTTTCTGTGACCATTGGGCCATGTTGGTTTTTTTAAAAAAATAATTCTGGGTTTGAATTTCTGTGTGATGGGTGGCTGGGGGAACAGTTGAGGAGGGGTTTGCAAGAATCTGGAAGCTTGTGTGTTTTTTTCTGCATTTTTATGATTTTCTGTGACCATTGGGCCACTCTGCTGTTTTTTAAAAAAATTCTGGATTTGAATTTCTGTGTGGTGGGTGGCTGGGGGAACAGTTGAGGAGGGGTTTGCAAGAATCTGGAAGCTTGTGTGGTTTTTTTCTGAATTTTTATGATTTTTATTGTTCCTTCAATTTTTGAATTTATTGTTCCTTCAGTTTTTGAAATGCTCTTTACAGTATGTGTGACTTTAAAGAGCACTTAATAAACTCTTGTTGTACCAAATTTGGCTTTGTTTGGACTTTTTTTGACCATAGGAACGCATTAATTGAATTTCAATGCATTCCTATGGGATTTCGTGCTTCGCAAGACGAAAAATTCGCTAGACGAAAAAACTCGTGGAACGAATTAATTTCGTCTTGCAAGGCACCACTGTACTCACCTCCACAATTCTTTCCACGGTTTAGTAGACTGAACAGTGGAACTTCTGGTCGGTCAACAAAGTTCTCAGGGTTTTGTCCCAGGGCCTCCTTTATCGTCTTGAACCCACTCAGGATGACCATATTTCGCCATCCAAACTGCAGAGAGATGACTGGTCCAAACTTTTTTTCCAGCTTTGATCAATAGGAAGGAAAGGGAGAAAATTATCCAGGGGGAAAGGACAATAAAAGTAGGGAAGGTATAATGTTGCAGCACAATATATATGGGAAATTCCAGAAAGCACAGACATATTTTAGGCTTGAGGTGTTTAATCATTTCGCCAGAATATATATACAGAAAGACTAGTTTTCTCAGGGTAGAGAGAGAGGGGGGGAGAGAGGAGCACCCAAGCAAAAATGAACATTTCAATGAGAATTAGAGATACCAAACTACAAAACCATTTAGCGCAAGCTGAGGTATATACCACACTTTGGACAAACAAAATGGCCCTAGCACTTCCCAATTATTTGTCAAACTTGGTCACCCCCAAATTTAGAAAGGCATTTACGCAAGCCAAATTCAATGTCTTGACATCCGCACTATTGGAAGGCAGATACAAAAAGATTCCCCACGGCAAGAAGTTCTGCCCATGTAAGAGCGGTCACGTTGAAACTGTGTGCCAAGTTCTTTTCCACTGCAGACTTCCTTGTGCAATAGCCATAAGTCAACAAAAGCAAAAGATTATACAGCTCCACAAACAGTCATATATTGACACAGCTCACAGTCAAATTCTTTTATTTATTTTAAAAAAAAAACTTGTAATGGAGTTTATATTTCCTCGGATACATATTTTAAATCTATTTAATTAGTATATGGATTGTTAAATTCCACTTAGATTGTTTTAATGTTTATGTAAAAATGATGCTGAAATTTTGGTTTTACTACGCTGGCTGTTTAGCCGTAATAATAAACATTCACTTCTCCATAGAAGAAGAGATGGTGTGGGAAGGGATCAGGGCCTCCACAAACTCTGATGAAAGATCAGCCCTATCAGGTTGTTCTACTCATGAACTTTCACCTGACAACAGCAGACTAGCACCTCCTCTCCTGAATCTTATTCTGTTCCAGGTGGGGCTTGCGTCTGCCAGGCAGACTCCGTGGGCAGCTCACCGCACCACCACCCTGGGCGGATGGCCGTGCCGACCCCGTGCATGGATGACCGCGGTGCCCCCATGGAAGGCTCACCCAGCCCATGCTGCTTCGGGTGCCGGAGTAGCTAGCTACGCCCCTGGCGCTAGCAAAGCCCTTCCCTTCCATCTCTGCCCTCTTTGCATTGCTCTGGGCAGGGAGGAGGTGGAGAGCCTCACTTGGTGGCTGGGAGGCGGCAGGGGTGATCAGACACTGGGGTTGCTGTTGTGCACACTACAGACTGCTTCCTTTTGGTTGAGGAGGAGTGAAAATGCATCATGTAAACTAAGAAACCCTTGGGGACTTTTAAAAATGGTTCATAAAAAGACCAATGTAACAACGCAAAGCCAAATTTAAATGAAAGCTCTCCTTATTACCGTAATCCTAATTCTCTCAGACTAAAGCCACCACTGTATGGTATTAGTGTCTTGGGCAGGCCATTGAACATTGGTAGCAGGGCTGTGTCAAAAATAAATTCTCTCTCTCTCTCTCTCTCTCTCTGTGTGTGTGTGTGTGTGTGTTTGCCAATCTGCATCAAAAAATTTTTTTGCACATAATTTATTTATTTTAATGTTGCAATACATATATGCAATCTTTACATATCGATACATATACATTATATTTGTAAATTCACATTTTCACATTTCATTATGTACCAACATTTATCCATTTCTTATTTCTTGCCCTGTGTCTTCCCTCCACCCGTGCGTGACTTCCGTGTTATTATTATTATTGAGATTGTAATTTTGTATCTTAATAATTAAACATTCAATCTTATATATCTGCTTAGCTTAACTTAACTTTGTGAAATCAGTCTATACATATCAGTTAATGCTTGTTGAAGCATCTTTTGGTCATGCATTCTTCTACACATTTCCATTCCTGTTTGAGATTTTGATTAGATTGCATTCTAATTGTTGCCAGCATTTTTGCTAATTCAATCATTTCAAAAAATTTATATTGCCAATCTTTCAATGTTGGTACTTCTTCTGATTTCCAATTTTTTGCAATCAATAATCTTGCGACAGCTGTTGCATATAAAAAGTTTCTCTTCATGTCGTTTGGGATGTCATTTGTTATAATTCCTAAAAGGAATGTTTCTGTCTTCTTACCAATTGTTGTTTTAAACATTTTTTTCAGTTCCTCGTGTATATTTCCCCAATTTTTAAAAATTTTATCACATCCCCACCATACATGATATAAGGATCTCTCTGATACCTTTTATCTCCAACACAGATTTGATGTTAGTTTATAAATTTTAGCCAGTTTTACAGGGATTAAGTACCACCTGTAAAACATCTTCATAATATTTTCTTTGATAGTAATGCATGCGGTGAAATTAATATCTGATTTCCAAAGTTTTTCCCAATGATCTAATGAAATCACGTATCTAAAATCCTGTCCCACTTGATCATTACTTCTTTAATATGTTCATTTTTGAGTTCCCATTCAAGTAATAAATTATACATTTTTGATAGATATTTTTTGGGATTGTTCAAAAGTTCTATCTGGAATCTGGATTCTTCTTTTTGGAAACCTATTTTATTGTCAGAGTTAAATTTGTCATATAATTGATGATATTGTAGCCAGGTGTTACAAAACTGTTTAAGTTCTTCATATGGTTTCAATTGTAATTGGCCTTGCTCTTCCCTTGAAATGCTGTTTGTATGTTACCCCTAGTTTTTCCACATTTTTCTTTTTTATTGAAATCATTTCAAGTGGAGCTGCCCACCAGGGGGTCGTTGGTTCACCAATCTGCATCAATTTAATGAGAACAAAAACTGTAGCGGAATATTGTGCAATATTATGGAGGGGGTCGGGATTCTAGTACAGCCACTACCTGCCCTGTAGCCTTAGGCTGAAGAACAGGTAATAACTAGCTGGCTAACTAATTAAATAATACTAAGAGCTTGGCTAATGCAATCATTCAGTAGCATGCAGTGTCCTCATAGATGGTGCAGCCAGTACTTACATCTTGAACAGATTTGTGTGGGTTCTTTACATCTAGCAGTAGCAAGTTCCCAATGAAAGGCAGAGGCGTGGGTCCTGGCGGCCAGCGGCTGCTTCTCTTCCTCCGCTTGACATAATCAAGCAGCAGAGCAAGTAGTAGGAGAGACAAGGCCAGAGCTGGGAGGTTGTTGTGGCAGCAGGACAGTTGGCTCCCCAGCCAAGAGATGGAAGCTGCGATCCCAGCCATTGGAAGCTTCCCCTTCCCTCTGTTTTGGGTCTCTCCCCAACTCTTGCTCTGCAGACTGGCGGTGTTCTTGCCTCTGCTGGTTTCTTTATTTCGCCTTTGTTCTTTTATATTTATTCTCTGCTTTGAATCACTGTAGGAACATGATGTGCCATTATTAATAGAGTTATCTTAAAAGGTATGCAAGGGCTTTAATACTGCAAATGAGCAATTGCACAAGGTCTGAAAGTCCAGTGTACAAGTGAAAAGTTCAGCTAATCAAATTTAACCTTTGTAGGTCAGATAAGGAAGGTCTTCACATGATAGGAAGTTGAATTTAGGTAAGTTCTTTTTTATTCTCTGCTTCGAATAACTGTAGGAGAAGGGGATGACAGAGGACGAGATGTTGGACAGTGTTCTCGAAGCTACAAACATGAGTTTGACCAAACTGCGGGAGGCAGTGGAAGACAGGAGTGCCTGGCGTGCTCTGGTCCATGGGGTCACGAAGAGTCGGACATGACTAAACAACTAAACAACAACAACAATAAAAAAGATGGTATCTTACACCATCTAAACTTGCCAATCTTTGTTGGAAGTGTTTTGAGGCAGAAGACTCTCTGATCCACATAGGGTGGCAATGTAAACACTCCAAAAAGCATTGGGACACGGTATATGAGGAATTAAAAAAAAAGTTCAAATTTCCATTCTCTAAGAAACCCAAAGCCTTTCTACTGACCATAGTAGGAGAGGAAATACCTAAGAAGGCTCAGAATCTGTTTTATATGCAACAGCAGCCGCAAGAATTGTATATGCAAGGACTTGGAAGAAGGAAAGCATGCCAACAAAAGAACAGCGGCTACTCAAACTCATAGAGTTCGTGGAAGGATCTTCTTGAAAGGAAAATCCCTCATTGAAGCAATCGCTATAAAGAAAATAAATACGAGGAATAATTGGAGTATATATAAAGAGCTTATTGAATTTGAAAAGTGGTACTCAGGAAAAGAGAAGATCTGCAGGAATGGATTATGGGCTGGTTTCAACACCATTAGCTGCACAAGAGGTTCAAAGAAGATAAACTGAAAGGATTTTTAGAAGAAGGGTCAGAATTCGAAAAAGCCCTACTGGGAAGCAAAGAGAAACTAATATCAAAATATATAAAATTATCCTTGAGTGGGAAACAAAGGATGAATTGATGAAAGCAATAACACACTGGGCAATCAACATAGGTTATAATATTGAGATAACCCTGTGGGAAAGGAAAACAACAATGAACTTATTGGTGTGTTATACCCTAAAGGAAAATTTATTTATTTAGGAAACATTATTTATTTAGGATGCTGTATAGATGGTATCTAACTCTCAGCAAACTCTGTACAAAAAAGGATTAAATCTTTGCTGGAAGTGCCAAGAGATAGAAAACACCTTTTCTCTTTTGTGGTGGTAAAAAGTAAGGGTAAAGGTAAAGGACCCCTGGACAGTTAAGTCCAGTCAAAGGTGACTATGGGGTGCGGTGCTCATTTCGCTTTCAGGCTGAGGGAGCCGGCGTTTGTCCACAGACAGCTTTCCGGGTCATGTGGCCAGTATGACTAAGCCTCTTCTGGCACAACAGAACACTGTAACGGAAACCAGAGTGCACAGAAATGCTGTTTGCCTTCCCGTCGCAGTGGTACCTATTAATCTACTTGCACTGGTGTGCTTTTGAACTGCTAGTTTGGTAGAAACTGGGATGGAGCAACAGGAGCTCACACTGTCAAGCGGATTCGAACTGCCAACCTTCTGATCGGCAAGCCCAAGAGGCTCAGTGGTTTAGACTACAATGCCACCTAGTCCCTTATGTGGTGGAAGTGTAAGTTGGCAAAACAACAACAACAACAACAACAACAACAACAACAACAACAACACACCCTACTGGGAAACGGTTTATGAAGAACTAAAAAAAGATGCTCAAAATAACTTTCCCCAAAAGACCAGAAGCCTTCTTATTAGGAATAACAAATGTTGATATTCCTAAGAAGGTACTCAATCTCTTCCTTTATGCCACTACAGCTGCAACGATACTATATGCACAAAAGAGGAAAGAACAAACAATCCCATCAACAGAGGAATGGCAAAATTGACAGAGTACTCAGAATTAGCCAGCAAGACAACAAAAATTAGAGACCTACTTTTGAACGTGTGTGTGTGTTTTCTCCTTGCTTTGAAGGCAAAGTGAGGGAACGGGGAAATGCCCTTGCAGTGCAGAAAAGCCGTTTTGCTGGCTTGGGAAGTCACGAGGAGGAGAGAAAGCTGGGCGTGGAGGTGGAAGCAGAGTTTGGGAATTAGAAGATATGTCTGCCAAGAAGCTAATCCCACGGAATTGCCACATTAAAGAAATGACAGAGCAGCTGAAGTGGGAGTGGGGGCGGGGGCAGGAATTGTGTATAGCAGTGCTTACACTGCTTACAGTGCTAACCTAACTGTGCCTCCTCTGAAGTAAATCCACTGAGTTCAATGGGATTTATTCCCAGCAATTTATGGGTTCCGTAGCCATAGAGGAAACAGCTCTTGCCCTGAAGTAAATCGCTCAGTTCAATGTTCAGTGGAGATTGCTCCTGAATGAGCATAGAATTACACCCTTAAATAAATAATCTGATTGCCATCCTTTAATGACTAGAAATTTTATCAATAAGTATTACAGTATCTATAATAAATGTGTTAAGTCTCGTGTTAATGTGTCATGGGACTCTGGTTGTTTTCTGCTATAGTGTAACACTGCTCCCTTTCAGGATAATACAGTGGTACCTCAGGTTACATACGCTTCAGGTTACATACTTAACCCGAGGTACCACTGTACTTAATTCGTTCTGGAGGTCCGTTCTTAACCTGAAACTGTTCTTAACCTGGGGGACTTCCAGGTTAGCGCCTCTGGCAATGGCGGATTTCCTCTGATCGGGAGGAATCCGCTTCGTGAGAATTAGGGTCTGGACCGCCACGGCGAGGCGGAGACCCATTAAAAACCACAGGCGGGAGAAGCCTGTGGACGTGGGATTCGGCTGGCACCTTTCACGCCTCCCCTACTCACGGGGAAACCCGGTTTCGGGGATCCGGAGCGACGTGGGGTGAATGGCGCAGTGCTTCGAATCGACTGCTTTTTTCACGGAGTGAAGCCGCATTGCTGTTGCTGGAGAGCGCTGACTTTTTCCTGTGTACAATTGGATTTTAAACAACTGCTTGTGAGTAGAACGGAAAATTGGATTATGAAATTTTTAAATTTGGCACCGAAGCGGGAAGGTCTAAACAGGAAGTCCGCCTTCCACTTTTGTAAATAGATTGAAGCAAAGACATTGCAAGCTAGAGTCTGGAAAGTCGTCTGGAAAGGATTAAATTTCCATCATTTAAAATTACTAAACCCCCTTGGAAGCAGGAGAAGAGGGGGGAATCTTTTAGACTGTTTAAACCTGCAGAAGATAGAGTAAAGAAAGATAAATTTCCACCGTCTTGAACCTGGGAGCGGGGTGTCAGGACGGACGCTTTGGGAAGTTCATTGACTGTGGACAAACATTTTTGACAGATAGTTAAAAAAGAGAAACATATTGATTCCAATGTTCCCTCTTGCATTTAAAAGAAACAAAATATCTGAAAAAGGAAAGGAACTTTGTTGCTAGATCTGCTTTTAAAAAGACGGATACAAATAGAAATTGTTTCCCCTAGAGGGAGCTTGTGAAACTGTTATTAGAGTCGATCTGGGGAGCTTTGCAGCTGTAGAGATTAAAGATCGTGGGACCAGACTTTGACCTTGAACAAGAATGTGCCTAGAACAAACGTTAGTGCTTGCTCTTTGCAAGACAAGTGCTTTACTGGAACAGCTACATGAGAAGATGGATTTGATGACTGTTTGCAGTCGGACATTTTGGACAAACAGTGAATACCTATATAGAACCCACTCAGGAATTAATCCAGGAATGTGCTTTGACAGATCAAGTGGTGAAGAAGAGAAAGGAGGAGGTTGTTCCTGAACCTCAAGTAGCAGAAATGGAGAGAGCTGCGGCCCTGCAGGAACATAAGTTGTTGGATCTGACGAATGAATCTGGAGAAAGCCAGATTTGGAGAGATGGAGTTCTGTTTGGCTTGGAGATGGGAAGCTGGATAGATCCCCCTATGCAGGGATGTTTTGACCTTTCGAATTTGGCTTTGGGCCAGGGGGAGTTGGGAGTTGTGGGGGCCCTTAACTTTGGAGGGACTTTGAAACATGCCTCTAAATATCATATGGATTTCAGTGTCGACTATGGAAAATGGGCTGACTTGTCGAGAAGGGACAAAGATATTGTCAAGTTGGAGTCTCCCCGAGAGAAAGGAAGGAAATTAAGAATAAGATCAGCAGAAGACAAAGTAAAGTACAGGTACAAACATGAAGAAGACCTGCGGAAGGAACATGGAAAAGACTTAAGAGCCTCGGATAGAAGGTCACCTGGTTGATGGACTAGATGGATGGGATAGAAAGGACTGACAAAACCCGAGACCAGGAAGAAGAGACGATGGATGAAGATTGGAAGAAAGTCTTAAAAGTTTATTTAGAAAATTATCGTAAAATTAATGAGTACTAGAAAAATGTTGGAATGAAATTATTTGGCTTTGGTAGAAATGTTAAAAATAATTATGTAAGAATATGTTATGCTTAAAAGAATTAGGTATAAATAAGATTTAAGTTTTAAGCTTTAGGGTTTTTTATGGTAAGATAAGGTTAAAATAGATTAAGGTAATTTAATGACAGAATATTGTGAAAGATGGAAAGGATTTGCTGAGATAATTAATAACTAGAATACAAAAAAGGGAGGTGTGAGGAGGTCGATGAAATAAGTTAATGGAAAATAAGGATTTGGGAATATTGGATTTGTTTTTAAATTTTTTGTTTATTTTTGTTTTTTGATTTTGATGTATTGTGTGTTTTGTTTTTTTGTTTTTTTCTTTGACTTTGGTTTTTATTGACTTGTATTATTCAATTGTTATTTTTGTCTACCTTTTTCTTTCTTTTTCTTTTTCTCTCGTTTTTTTCTCTTTCTCTGTAATTTTAAATTCTCAATAAATATCATTAAAAAAAAAAAAGAAACTGTTCTTAACCTGAAGCACCACTTTAGCTAAACCTGAAGCACCACTTTAGCTAAAGGGGCCTCCCGCTGCTGCCGCGCCGCTGGAGCACGATTTCTGTTCTCCTCCTGAAGAAAAGTTCTTAACCCGAGGTACTATTTCTGGGTTAGCGGAGTCTGTAACCTGAAGTGTATGTAACCTGAAGCGTATGTAACCCGAGGTACCACTGTAATAGGGTTTACATCCAAAGATGGGAGCGCTGGATTTTATCTGTTTATTTATGTGGTATGCTATCATTCAGAGCCAAAGAACAGCCTATTGGAATATGAGTAAATATTTCTACATGTGCCTTGTGATCTTCAATAAACTGATGTATGAATGCTTGTAGAGTTTTGTTGAATACTATCCAGATTGAGAGAAAAGCCTCAGGACGGAACACTGTTCTAATTGAGACAAGATTGAGGTTTACTGCGTGCTACACGCTGAGAGAGAATTTTATGAAGATGCTATATAGGTGGTATTTAACACCATCAAAACTAGCAAAAATGTATAGGAACACCTCAAAATGTTGTTGGAGATGTGGAGAGGCAGAAGGCACGATGCTACATATGTGGTGGAACTGTAGAAAAGTAAAGGAATTTTGGGAAACAGTTTACAACGAACTCAAAAAGATATTAAAGATTACCTTTGCAAAAACAAACAAACCTGAAGCCTTCCTTTTAGGCATAACAGACATGGATATACCAAAAAAGGTGAGGAAGTGATTTCTCTATGCCACTGTGGCAGCAAGAATTCTAATAGCTAGAAACTGGAAAGGAGATGTAACACTGACTAAACTGGAGTTTGCAGAATTAGCAAAAATGATGGAAAATTAAGAGATTGGACTGAACAAACATTTATGAGGGAACGGGACATGTATACAAAGTATCTCAGAGAGCACTGCAAAAATCTGAACTCGTTGGCAGGCCTGGAGTGACTTCTGTAGGAAAGTAGAAAATTAAGAGAACTAAGATGTATTATTATTGATAAAGATAAGTGCGACAAACCAAAAAGTACTAAGGAACCTTGGTGGGGTGACAGGAAGTCGCCATAGAAGATATGTATTATGAAACTATTGTATCTTTCTGTAATGTGTTAAAGTGTTTTTGTTGACTGTTTTCTTTTTGGAATCAATAAAGCGCTCTCTCTCTCTCTCTATATATATATATGAGAAATTTTCTGCAATCAAAAGAACAAAATTCACCTGGCTTTTAAATCTGCTGAAGACAGGAAAGTGAATGCACGCTGGCCTTAACCAAGTTGTAGTAACAAAGGCAGGAAAGCACAGAGTCATTCTTGGTATGTGTCAGGTATGAGCTGTGAATGCTAGCTGAGATAAGAGTCCGGGAACCCAGCCATATTTACAGAGTTTAATTGGTAGCTTCAAAGTATTTACAGGAGTTCAAAGAATGACACCATCACGATCAGTCAGTTGCTTTGAATGGCTCTTTCCGCTTCTTCCCCCAGCAGATCCACCTCCTAAGCCCAGCCCCCCTTCTTCCTCTGCTCTGAGAGTGGCTGGTTCCCAGAAATGGCCCTCCCCTCTCAGATTCATTGCCTCCCGACAGCCCTTTGTCTCCTTCCTCGTCAGAAGAAGAGCAACTGCTAATTAAAGGCACATGATCTCTGTAAGTGCCCATTCTCTCCCCCCTCTCCTCCTTCTCTGCCTCCAATTCCCTGACAGTATGTCTATATTTTTATTTGTTGAATGCTGAATAATCTTATAGTCCACATACAAAAGCATCTTCTTAGCCATATACAATGTACCATACAGTTAGACTGGTTGTATAACATTAGGGCCAAATTACATGCTACTTTTATGCGTAGTTCCTAATGATTTATCATCTGGTTGTTATTACCTGTTATTATCCTCACCTCAGATCATGCTTTATATCCCTGCATTTCCCATTGTTGGTGTTTTTTTTAAAATAATGTTTATTAATTTTCCAACCGTTTAAACACAACAAAACCAAAAAACCAAAAAAACCATAAAACAAAACAAGACACAAACCATTTAAAACACAAAACAATTTCAATATCTTATCTTTCATTCCCTTATTTCCATGACCTCCTCACACCTCCCTTTTTGTATTCCACTTCTGTTAATTGTTTCAGCAATTCCTTTCCATCTTCCTCTGTTTTCTATCCTATAATTATCTTAACATATTCTAACCTTATTTTCCCCTTTAATACTCTATTAATCTATTTATACTTGATTCCTTATAACATTTCTACTAAAGCCATATAACTTCATTCCAACATTTTTCTACATTCATTATTTTTACAATATTTCTGTAAATAGTCTTAAACTTTTTCCAATCTTCTTCCACCGACTCTTCTCCCTGGTCTCGGATTTCTGCCAGTCGTTTCCGCCAATTCCATATAGTCCATCAACTTCATCTGCCATTCTTCCCGAATGGATAAATCTTGTGTCTTCCAGTACTTCACAATGAATATTCTTGCTGCTATTGTTGCATACGTGAAAAGAGTTCTATCCTTCTTTAACACCAATTGGCCGACCATGCCCAGGAGAAAGGCCTCTGGCTTCTTCAAAAGGGTATATTTAAATACCTTTTTCATTTCGTTATGAATCATCTCCCAAAGTGTCTTAATCCTTGGGCATGTCCACCAAAGGTGAACTCTAATCCTCAAATTCGTCTGTTTTTCTTTAAGTTCAGTCATAGCAAGCGTCAACTTATGTTCATCAAATTGCCTCTGTAGGGCTGGGGCTCTCTTTCTCTTTCTCTCCAGTTGTGTTACTTTACATTCAGCAACAACAGCTTTTTCCCTGGCTTCTTCCGCAGTTTGCCGTATCAAAGTAGATTCCTGTATCAATTTCTGGGTGGTTTCTGTATTGGTATTATTTATACTTTCTGTATTTAAGTTAATTTTAGTAATTGAAACATCCACTTTCGCATTTATTGTGTCCATTTTCCTGTTAAGCTGATCCAGTGAGTCATTTATCTTATATAATGCAGCCACTAAAGCCTCTTCTGTCGACATTCCTCTTGGTTTTAAATATACTGGTACAAAGGCAGCAACAGAAGGAGCAGGGGTGCCTGATGATGGACCTCTCCTGGATTGTTGCCAAGTCCTCCCAGACCTTAATGTTTTGTCAGCAGTTGACTGGTCTGTTTTTCCTCTTCCATTTACCATAACACTTAAAAGATTCAAGGTCAGTCCCAGAGTCTCACGGTTTTGAACTTGCAGCTGGAAATTCCCCTAGCCCAGCTCTTGTAAAGCATCCAGTTTCAAAGGCTGCCATTAGGGGAAAACAGTTTCTATTTGTAATAGTCAATAGTATCCTCTTTTAAACAATCCAAAATTAGTTTCAAATTAGTTTCAATTTTCAGTTACTTTTACTCCTTTTTAAAGCAGCCGGAGACAGTAGAAACAATGTATTTCTCTTATTTAACTAGCTGTCAATGAACGTTCTAAACGCTGTCAGTGAACATTCCAAAAGACGTCAGTCCTGCTAGCAGCCCGTTTCCAGGGTCAGAGCGGCGGTGTTTTAAATCTCATCGCTCTCTCCCGCAGGCATATTCAATCTGCAACTTCCCCCTCTCTTCTCCTGCCTCCAAGAGGGGGTTTAATGTTCTTTACCGCTGGCAATTTCATCTTTTACAAAAAGCTTTCCAGGACTCCAGCTTGCAACTTCATTGCCTCAGTCTATTTACAAAAGGGGAAGGCGGACTTCCTGTTTTGAACCTCCCCGTTACGGTACCAAATTAAACTTTTAGAAATCCAATTCTTCCGCTTCAGCTCTACTCATGGGTAATTACTTTAAAGTCAAATTGTCCACAGGAAAAGGTCAGCGCTCTCTGGCAACAGCTATGCGGCTTCGCTCCGTGGAAGAAGCAGACGATTCGATGCACCGCGCCGCTCACCTCACGTCGCTCCGGAGCCCTGCGAGTGGGGGAGGCGTAAAAGGTGCCCGCCGAATCCCATGCTCACAGGCTTCTCCCACCTGTGATTTTAATGGGTCTCCGCCTTCGCCGTGGCGGCCAGACCCAGATTCCCACGGAGCAGATTCCTCCCGGTCAGAGGAATTCCGCCATTACCGGAGGCACCTCCCCGGAAGTCCACCCCATTGTTGGTTTTTTTTCCATTCTAACTCCTAAACTGTAGTTAGTTGATTCTGATTTTGAAATTTTATATGATTTTTATTGAATGTTTTTACATATGATTGTTGTAAAACGCTCTGATATTTTTCATGAATACTACTGTTTTATGAAATACATAAATATTTCTATTAATTTTAAAAACTGCTGTTCCTGGTTTCTGCTCTATAGTTTTGAGGTTGATGCTTAGATTGCTAGATATACTAAGCTTGGAAACATCATCTAGGAATGGCACAAATCTGGAAAGGGGCTGGATGAACTGCTAGGGCAAATAATCTTTCAGTCTTGGGCCTTGGATAGTTCTCAGGAATGCGAAAGGTGAAATGCTGCAGGAGGCTGGTGAAGAAGAGGAAGAGCTCTAGTTTGGCCCATTGTTCTCCAGGGCAAGCATGACGACCTGTGTAAAAAAGATGCATAATACTTTGAGCATGAGATCAGGAGGAAGGACAGCACAGAACCCTCCCATTCTCTCTCTGAAACTTCAGTTCTAATCAGCTCATGTTGATTTTGGGCCTCTCCGACCCATGCCTGTGCTTTTAAGGGCTTAAGTCAGTCCATATTCTCCTTGAAATGCTAAGGGAAAAAACTGTTTTGGTTGTTTGGTGTTAACTTATGTGACACTGAAAAGGGTGTGAAGACGAAAGCAGAGTGGGCAACCTGTGGTCCTTCAGATGTTCTTAAGTTCCTCTTCCCATCAGTTGCAGCCAGCCAACATGAGCCTACACATGAGTCTCTTTTCAAGGCAGCTGATTATGGAAAACTGCTACTCTTGTTACCATGTGGGAAAGAGAAAGGAAGATAACAGGACAGCTTGCAACCTCTCCCCTTATACCTCAGCCATTCCTCTCTTGGATTTACCTAGAGAGAAAGGTAGGAAGGCCTCTCGCTTGACAAACTGCCCATTTGTATCCAGGAAGTGCTCTGGGTAGAATTCATGTGGCTTCTCCCACATTGTCTCATCCTTTAGCACAGAGGACAGATGATTAAAGACGACAGTCTCCTAAAATGGCAGAGAAACCAAGAGATTAGAATCCAATGCCGGCTTTATCTCATAGTTCTTTTTCTCAAAATGAAATGCATTATTATAATTATTATTATTAAATGTATTATATTTATGAAATTTGTATGCCACCCTTCATCTGGGATCACAGTGCAGTTCACAACATAAAAATACAAAATACATAAAAGAACAAACCAAACCAGTAATCCAACTCTCAAAAACACAGTTAAAAGAACATAGAATGTTAATTGTCCTAAGGCCTAGTTAAAGAGAAACATTTTCTCCAGGTACCTAAATATAATGAAGGTTCCTGGTGAGCCTCCCTAGGATGAGCATTCCACAAATAAGAAGCCACTGCAGAAAAGGCCCGTTCTCGTGTTGCCACAGTCTGGACCTCTCATGGAGTAATGTAATCACTACAAGAAATAGAGTTTTTATCTAAAGTTTGCTTGGTTTACAAGATCTAATTCTTGTACTCATGAGGTTATCGGTGGGAAATGTTCCTGGCTATGCAGTGAAGAAAATGGATTGTTGGATTGACAGGTGGCACTTCAGCTCAGTACCATAATGTCCTGACAGGTGGTTGAGCCATATGATCAAGCCAATGAGGGTGACCTGGTGTTGGGGGGGGGGGGAAAGGGCCAGATCAGCGGCAGCTTGGGAACTGAACTGGGAAACCTACTTAATTTGGCTTTTCTTTAGAATGTCCCTATTTTCATCAGGGAAATGTTGGAGGGTATGGAGTCATGTGATCCCTGAGCCAAGATGAGTAACAATACAACTTTTAGAAGACATCTGAAGGCAGACCTGTATACGGAAGTTTTAAAATATTTAATGTTTTTAAATATGTTGGAAGCTGCCCAGAGTGGCTGGGGCAACCCAGTCAGATGGGTGAGTTATATATAAAACTATTGTTGTTATTGTTATTATTATTGTTATTATTATTTTTATTATTATTCCAGCTCAATTGACCTCTGCTACTGTGAGCATCAAGATCTCTCACATGCCTCTTTATAAGTGATCAACCTAATTCTGATGCAGCAGCAATGGTTTCCTTTTCTACAAGTGTGTTTTTCAGGGTCTGTACCTTAGGAATAATGAACTTGCCGACCTCAGTATCTCTGTGTGTCGTATATGGAGCTGCAACAGGCAAAATATCAGCACAACGTTGAATTTCATGTATCACAGCGCAAGTATAAGGCAGTTTCAACTGATCTTCCATCACAGGTGATCGTACCCTGCCAATCTCTTCATCAATTTCTTCTTGGACCCTTTCTGGAAATATTAATTTAGGAGTATTAATGCATTGCATATGTATCCTAATCCTTCCAATTCTCCAAGCTGATTGTAGCATGTTGTTTTTTACGGTTTCAACAGGTTTGGACACTATGAATTTTAACGCCGAGCAGAGATTTGAACTTGAGTCTCCAACCAAAGGTCTGCTGAATATCCTTAAAATAACTCAAATATTGATTCAGTCTTTAGTGGGTGGTAGTTTTATCTGATCCTATGAAATGCTGAAAAACAGCTGAGTTGTATAGTCAACCTAGCTTCAATTCCACCACCATTTGCTTTGAGAAAGGTGAAAGATGCAAATAGATCAACAGCAGCATACAATATAAACCAAACAACACTGTGGGGAGCACTCTGTAAACTACCTAGAGGTTTTACTTACAATTAAGTGGTATACAAATGCTGTTAAATAAAAGAAAGGGTAGTGTTCAGCTGGGAACAGGAGATGGACCTGACAGTAATCAGGTGGGCAGAGATGGAGGGTAGACTAAGCCAGAAAACCTGGCATGGAGAGACATTTTAAGCTCTCTGCCTTGCTTACTGGGCTCTGGGAAACTCCTGTGTGAGCTGTACAGGCCTTTGTAAGATCTTGCAAGATCTGAAACAGCCCCATGAGATCCTGTGCCAGCTTGGAAGATAAAATTTCTCATGTGGTGGTAGTTACCGGAAGGTTGTTCTGACTATAAGCAATTTCGGCTTTACATGCTACCAACACAAAACTTATCCCTCATAAAAGACATGATCCTACTGTATTAGGCAAAACAGCTTTGTTTTCCAAGTGCTTGGGTTCCAGTTGCTTTGCTTCTACTTTGGTTCATTTTATCCTTGCTGTTATTATTTATATACTGATTTCTTAAGCCACTCCTCCTCCTGGTTATTTTTGAATCCAAATCAGATATAAAGCAACTGCACAGCCCATGTAGCTAATCCTGCTCATTCTGCTGGACTGTCATCTAGCCTTCAAAAAGACAGATACCTCACAGGGTCTTGCATTTCCTCCAATACTGATCACTTACTCTGAACCTCAGGGTGATCGACCATGTTCAACAGTCCCCAGAGCAAGGTGGAAGAAACTGTGTCAGTACCAGCCCCAAACAAGTCAAAAATGATATTGATAAGGTTTCGTTCATTAAAACTGTTCTCTGGTTTCCCTTTAGCCTGAAGGAAATGGAACAAGTTGGTCACTCATGTGGAAAAAGCACAATATTATGTCATGTTTGTGAGAGAATAGTGTGTACTAATGATCTTTGCCCTTGTTATCAATAGTCTGCAAGATATGTATCAGACCAAAGTGAAGTGAATAGAGAAAAAGCTGCTCGGTTCCTTGAGAAACAGTGGGAAACTAGACATTTCCAAAAACTAGACATGGCTGTTGAAAAACATGGCAGCCCCCACCCCGAAGTAACATCTAATACAACCTAGCTCTTGTTTTGGCATAATTACACTGAGAAATCACCCCTCTCTTCCCACCCCACCCTCCAGTTCCAGAGAAACAACTGCTTAACATCTGCCAAGAGGCATCATAACTGCATGCACAAAGACAAGCTTGATTCCTAAGGCCACATATGCCTTTGTGCATGCATGGCTCAGCATCCAATATTACTAAAAGTCTCTTGGAAAATTAGACCTGAATTGTGCAGGGCTGAATGTCCCACTACATACTGAATTCCATCTTCGGTTGTTTGGTGGCAAGCAACACCAGTGCAAGGTCTGAGGGGGCTCTTGGTGAAGTGCCCTTGACTCCCCCTGAGCACCACTCTTGCTGACCCTGCTGGAAAATGTGCTGGGTGCAGGGGTGCCAACTTGAATAAAATATGGGGGGGACGACGACAAGTAAGCCCCACCCTGCACAATTGATTTCAAGACACAGCAAGTGCAGAAACAAAGGGCTGGGTTAGGATATCACTCTATCTGCGTGCAAATCCTGAAAAAGCCCCAGCAGAGAACTCCAAACTGGTGCATGTAGTATCTGTGGGGGCTGTGTATGGCCACTACACAAGCTGAGGCAGCACATGTAGTAGGGATTGTTGGAATCAGTTGCCGCCAACCTGCCAGCCTCCACATGTCTTGAGGGCTGATGAAACTGAAGTCCAAAATATCTGGAGGCTGGCAAGTGGGTGAAAGCTGAGTGCAGAGAAAGTGAAGCTCCTCCAGCCATGCAGATGGGCAGAAAGAGAGTGAAGGAGCCCAAAACTGTTTGCAGGTGGAAATGTGACAGAGTGAAGAAACACTTCTAGAAGTCATTTGTGGAAACTGAGGGTACAGCCTTTGTGCTTTGTGGGGTTTGCTCTCACCTGAAGGAGTATCTGTTGGCTTCTGGTACGTTCTGCTTCTATATTTGTAAATAAAGCAAATATCACAGGTACTTCAACACTCCAGTGCTCTCAAATTCAAAAGGAAACTATGCCCTCCTACTCTGCCCTGAGAACTCACCTCTCAGAAGCAGAAAAAAAAACTTTGAAAGCCTAAATGTTTGAACCATTTAATGGCCGCAGACCATTGCTCTGAATCATGCAGCACTGAGATGTGGACTGCAGGGGAAAGAAGGGAGGGCTCTATCATTTTCCTTCCTCCTCACAGACGTTTTCTTCCTCTGCTTTCTTACAAAGGAGGGGAGCTGTCTTGCAGTTGTACAGGCATAGTCTAGGTGGCACGAATTCTAAACAAAAGTAATCAATCCCAAGGCAGAAGCTAGAAAAGAAGCCCCAGAGGTTCTGAGTCCATAAATGTCTCCCCACCTTATCCATCTCATCCAGAAATGCATCAATCAAATCTCTTGGAAAGGTGGGCTCTCTGGTTTTCTTATGTTCATTCACAATCTCTCTTAGGGTAGTGCTAACTTCTTCATAGCGTTTCTGCAGTTCACGATGAGGTCCAGGAAAACGGGAAAACCAGGATCCCGCAACAATAAGCTGGTGTAGCAGAAATCACAAAAGGAAGAGACATCACGTTTTCAGATACAGAAGACATTTCTTAGATATTTCACTTGAAGGGAAATTGCATTCTAGTAGGAAGTTCCCAACTAGCTACTTCTTCACGCTTATGTGGAGATTCTTTCCCCCTGGCTTCTTTCCCATTCCTCCTCCAATTCCTGCATTTGGTACATTTAAGGACTCTTGTTTGTTCCTATAGTTCACAATATAATGCCCTCTCCTTAGCCATAATTGGGAGGGGGATGTTAGGATATGCAAGGGTCTCTGGTGATAATTTCAATAGGCAGGCAGGCTAACATAGGAAGGAGAAGGCAGTTCCTTCAAATATCCTATTCCCTAAACCTAAAGGGCTTCCAAGGTCAAGGTAGTGGAAGAAGTGCTTCACATTCCCCTGATGCAGAACTTTCTAGTGGAGTCAATCTCAGCCTGTCTGGGTGATGAACACTGAAAGGGAGCCCCAGTTGCAAAAGAAAAATTGGAAGCTCCCTTAAGCTGTTGATTGTTCATTTGTAGCTGCATGATATCACATAAAACACCAGGTGGCAGGCAGGTAGCAATGGCCTCATGGGCCAGTTTGGGTCACGTGCTAGGCGGAATTAGGTTGATGGGCTGGAGCGTTCTCCGCATCTGTCAAAATACTAGTGGATGCTACTTTCTCCCATTTTATGTAATCTGATATGTTTATTATTTTGTTTATTATCATTTTGACATCCTCCTTTTGTTTATGCTTATTAGTAACATATTGGCAATTTTTTTTAATTAAAGGAATTGTTGTTTTTCTAATTTTCTTTTTAAAGTTGTATTATAGAAGGGTTTATTTTGCCTCTAATACTTTTCAAAAACCACCTTTGACTTTGATTGCTTATGTTCATGTTTTAATCTTCCTGTATTTGTCTTTAGCTAGTGTTCTTCCCCTATCCCGTTTTCCCCTCAAGAATTCCAGGTTTTAGAGATATTTTGAAGGGTAGTCAAGGATGTGGTACCACACAAAACACACAAGCACAAGTCCCGTCCCTTTCTATGTTGACCCATCAAACCCCAAATTGCTGTTTCCTTTTAATACCCAGACAAACGCATGACGGCACCTGGGGCAAATTTCTGGTTACTTCCTTCAAGATCTCCTGAAGCGGATGCATTATTTTCAGGAATTTCTCATCACTGTATTCAAAGCGGCCACCAAATGTTAGGGTGCAGATTATATTACTAACAGCCCTGTAGGTGAGGATTTGTGGATCAAAAGGAGAACCTTGATGGGATGTAAGAACAATGAACAGATTAGAGGTATATTGCCCATTTTTCATTCTAAAGCCATTGTTTAGGCTAGCCTTCTCCAATGTGGCTTCCTCCAAGTATCTTTGGCTTCAACACCTATCAGACCCAATCAGCACCGCCAATGGTCAGAAAGGATGGAAGTTGTACAGCAGTTTTTGGAGTGCAGTTTTTGGAGGTTGATGTGGAAGTCTAAACAATAAAGAAAGCCTTCTGCCAGTGGTTCCCCGCAAGCACAGTCCCAAGCGCGAAGAAGCTACTTTTCCATAATGTAATCCTATATGGCTAGGGACTGGGTGTGAGCAGAGCCAATTGTGTGGGTCTTTCCTATGGAACTGGCAGTTCCTATATTGTTGCGCCATTCACAAAGCACAGAAAAGTTCCATTAAAGATACAAATTAACAAAGATAAAAAGATCCAAAAGGTGTGGCAATCACATGCCACCAAGAACTACTTATTCACCCCTCAAAAAAAAAAATTAATTCCTGAGATCCTTTGCCACATAACACAGTTGAACAGCTGTATACCTCACAGCATCTAATCACCCCCACATTCCACCAATCCTTTCTCATAGCAGCCAGAACTGAGGAGGTCCTAAAGGAGAACTAACCATGTTGCTGTCAATACTGGCACATGGAAAAGAATTTGAAGTTCCCCAGATTCAATGGAAGAAGGACCTGACCAGTTTTGCATGGCAGGCGGGGAAAGCCCAGAATTAAATATAAAATCCTTACTGATGACAAAAAGGGGGGAGGCTTTTCGCTACCAGACTTGAAGTTGTATTATGAGGCGGCTTACCTAGTATGGTTGAAGGAAGGGATTGAATTGAAAAACACAGGAATCCTGGACCTAGAAGAACATGATCTAAGGAATGGCTGGCATAGCTAGCTATACTATGGCAAAACAAAAGCACACAAGGACTTTTTCAACCATGTAATAAGAAATCTGTACAATGTATGAAGGAGATACAGAGATCTCCTGGAAAGAAAAACACCTCTGTGGATATCACTGACAGAAGCAGTGGCTGTCAAGAAGATGAATATGGGAGACAAATGGGGAACCTATAGAGATCTGGTGACCATCGAAGAAGACGAAGTAGGACTTAAAGGAAGAGAAGAAACTTCAGAATTTGTGAGTGACTGGTTTCAATACTTTCAAATTAACAAACTATTTAAAACAAACAACCTATTCCTCTAAGCGACACCAGTGGCAAAAATAGCATACATGAAAATGTGAAAAGAAAAGGCAAGACTGACAAAAGATTAGTGGCTGTTTAAACTAAGAATTTATAGAATCAGCCAATATGACAGCTACAATAAGAAATATGGATAAGAAAAGAAGAAGAAGAAGAAGAAGAAGAAGTGAGTGGGAATTACTAGAAACATATTTTTAAAAGAGTGGAATAATGTTAAATATACAAGCAGGGATAGATTTATGAACATCAGCAAAAAAGGGTAAAAGGAGATACAGTGGTACCTCGGGTTACAGATGCTTCAGGTTACAGACTCCACTAACACAGAAATAGTACCTTGGGTTAAGAACTTTGCTTCAGGATGAGAACAGAAATCGTGCTCTGGCGGCACGGCAGCAGCGGGAGGCCCCATTAGCTAAAGTGGTGCTTCAGGTTAAGAACAGTTTCAGGTTAAGAACGGACCTCCGGAATGGATTAAGTTCTTAACCCGAGGTACCACTGTACAGTATATAAAAAAGGGAGGAAAATATAAACCAAGGAGTTGCAGCAAAACAAAATGGAAATTTAGGATGTCAAGGAAAGATACGCTGGGAAGTCCTCTTATGATAGGAAATAACTAGAGATGTTTCATGGCTGTAATAGATAATTACCATTGTATTAGATGTTGTATTAGAGGCTCAAAAGAGCTGATGGTGGGGGGAACTAGAATAGCACAGTGAAAGAAATGAATGTTTGTAATGGAAAATGCAAAAATGAAGGCAAAAAAAGACATTCAATTTTATCATTTGTTTCTTGAATTGATATTATAGCTGTGTATCAAACTACACCTGTCACCCAGCTTACCAATGCCAGGAAGTTTGTGTTTCACCAGCAACTGCATTGCCAAGTGTCAATGGAACCATGGCATTTTTATGTATCTCTCTCTGTTCTTCTTGAATTTTCTTTTTGTCTGACCTTAATTCCCTCCCACCACTGTGTGTTTATATTGTCTGCTCATTTAGGTTTGCACTCAGTGCATCCCAGAAAGAGGAGACTAATCCTTGAAGGCATATGCCATAATAAATTTTGCATTCTTTATAGTGCTGCAAAATTATTAGTCATCATCTTACATGCTTCAAAAATGAAATATGAGAAGATATTGAGATGGGAATGAGCTTTATAGAATCCTCTTAGCGTTTTTGCATCAAATGAGATCCCACAGCAGGAATAATGTCCCCAACAATGAGATGTACCTTCTTTGGATTTGAACTCAGAGCACAAGTATCCAGCTTCTTCAGACACTCTTTCTTCAAGTGTTGGCTTCCCCTTCCCAAAGTTCTTGAGGAGGGAGACAAAGAATCGCCTCTGCTCCCTCCAGCCATTGTCGCATGTTGCTACTACTATTCCTGAGGTTTGTAAAATAAAATAAATACACATATAATGTAAAATAATATATTATTTAAAATAAATATTAATTTATATATTATGTAGAATAGGTTCATGGCAGTTTACCATTTGTCTAAAGAACTAGTTAATTCTTTGCATTTGTTATTGTTTGTTGTTGTTTTTAAAAATGAAGACTAGTAGTGTCCGCATTAGATTGCTGGCCCATTCTTCTGGCCTTGGGAGTCCATAGACAACGGCAGAGACTGAACAACATTTGCTGCCTGCCATCTTGTGCTGACAGCCAGCCAGCAGGTAGTAGCTGTCCTGCTCACTTGTATGATTAACTTGCAAATAAATCTTCAAACGCTTCTAGTCCACCTTCCTGTCCCTACCTCTGTTAGCTGTTTACAGCTGACTGAAAGAAGAACGAACTCCTCAAAAATCTCCCTGACATGTCACATGAATATGTATCTTCTCCCAGGCAATGGAGCACTGAAGTGCTATCCTGGCCCACTTGCAGGCCTGCTCACTTGCTGCTTGTTTCTCCTACTCTCCTGATTCTTTTCTTCCATCATTTTAATGGGAAGGGCAAGTGGGACAACAGAATTAGCACACTGGTGTACTTCTCTGTTGCTTCTAGATCTCTTGAAAGTGTATTCCATCCTCTCCAAATTCTCCCTTCTTCAGCTACTTTTGGATGTGAGGGGAGATGGGTCACAATCCTACTGCATATTCAGTCCATCAGGGTATCAGCTATACTCACCTCCACAATTCTTTCCACGGTTTATTAGATTCAGCAGTGGAACTGCTGCTCGGTCAACAAAGTTCTCAGCGTTTTGTCCCAGGGCCTCCTTTATCGTCTTGAACCCACTCAGGATGACCATATTTCGCCATCCAAACTGCAGAGAGATGACTGGTCCAAACTTTTTTTCCAGCTTTAATCAATAGGAAGGAAAGGGAGAAAATTATCCAGGAGGAAAGGACAATAAAAGTAGGGAAGGTATAATGTTGCAGCACAATATATATGGGAAATTCCAGAAAGCACAGACATATTTCAGGCTTGAGGTGTTTAATCAAAAATGTTTAATCATTTCCCCAGAATATATATACAGAAAGACTAGTTTTCCCAGTGGGGGGAGAGAGAGAGAGAGAGAGAGAGAGAGAGAGAGAGGAGCACCCAAGGATATGATAAAGCAAAAATGAACATTTCAATGAGAATTAGAGATACCGAACTACAAAACCATTTAGCGCAAGATGGTGTATTTCCCACACTTGGGACAAACAAAATGACTCCAGCACGTCCCAATTATTTGTCAAACTTGGTCACCCCCAAATTTAGAAAGGCATTTACGCAAGGCAAATTCATTGTATTGCCATCCGCACTATTGGAAGGCAGATACAAAAAGATTCCCCATGGGAAAATCCAAAAAGCACAAACTAATTACAAGCTTGAAATGTTTCAGAAAAATATTCATTTCCCCAGAATATGTTGTTGTGAGTTTGTTGGGGGCGGCCAGATCCCCCTAAATTCTTTAATGTAGTAAATGTTACAATTTAGCCAATTATTTTGAGTATTAAGGGAAGATTTCAAAGCAGTCCAAAAATACAGGTTATACTGTACTAATTTTCCTGTGGCAGCAGCAACAGCAGTGCTAGCAAAGCCCTTCGCTTCCACCTATGCCCTCTTTGCATTGCTCTGGGAAGGGAAGAGGTAGAGAGCCTCACTGGGTGGCTGGGAGGCGGCAGGGGTGATCAGAAACTGGGGTTGCTGTTGTGCACGCTACAGACTGCTTCCTTTTGGCTGAGGAGGAGTGAAAATGCAGCATGTAAACAAAGAAACCCTTGGGGACTTTTAAAAATGGTTCATAAAAAGACCAATGTAACAATGCAATGCCAAACTTAAAGGAAAGTTCTCCTTACTACCGTAATCCCAATTCTCTCAGACTAAAGCCACCACTGTAATGGTATTAGTGTCCTGGGCAGGCCATTGAACATTGGTAGCAGGGCTGTGTCAAAATTTAAATCTCTCTCTCTCTCTCTCTCTCTGTGTGTGTGTGTGTGTTTGACAATCTGCATCAATTAATGAGAACAAAAACTGTAGCGGAATATTGTGCAATATTTTGGAGGGGGTTGGCATTCTAGTACAGCCACTACCTGCCCTGTAGCCTTAGGCTGAAGAACAGGTAATAACTAGCTGGCTAACTAATTAAATAATACCAAGAGCTTGGCTAATGCAATCATTCAGTAACATGCAGTGTCCTCAGAGATGGTGCAGCCAGTACTTACATCTTGAACAGATTTGTGTGGGTTCTTTACATCTAGCAGTAGCAAGTTCCCAATGAAAGGCAGAGGGGTGGGTCCTGGCGGCCAGCGGCTGCTTCTCTTCCTCCGCTTGACATAATCAAGCAGCAGAGCAAGTAGTAGGAGAGACAAGGCCAGAGCTGGGAGGTTGTTGTGGCAGCAGGACAGTTGACTCCCCAGCCAAGAGATGGAAGCCGCGATCCCAGCCATTGGAAGCTTCCCCTTCCCTCTGCTTTGGGTCTCTCCCCAACTCTTGCTCTGCAGACTGGCGGTGTTCTTGCCTCTGCTGGTTTCTTTATTTCGCCTTTGTTCTTTTTTATTTATTCTCTGCTTTGAATCACTGTAGGAACATGATGTGCCACTATTAATAGGGTTTTCTTAAAAGGTATACAAGGGCTTTAATACTGTAAATGAGCAATTGCACAAGGTCTGAAAGTCCAGTGTACAAGTGAAAAGTTCAGCTAATCGAATTGAACCTTCGTAGATCAGATAAGGAAGGTCTTCACATGATAGGAAGTTGAATTTAGGTAAGTCATTGAACCTAGTAGAGAATCCTCTGATAAGGGTTATACAGCTCTGATAGATGGTTTGGAAGACGATCACTTTCAGAGAGATATGGAATACAAGGATGGTCTTGGATTCTGGTCAAGGATAAGAGGTACATGGATCAACCACCTTCCAACATGTGTCCAGCTGAGTGCATAAGCCCCTCCTTTTCAGTTTTCCTTTCTGCCGTGCTCCAATAGGCAGTACTTCAATGGAGTTCTGCCGTCTCTTATAATGGCATTTTTGGCATCCACCAAACTTTTACTTGACTATTTCTTCTTTATTATTATTAATGCATTTTCCAATTGCCCAATATCAATTTCCCAATGAGTTATAGTTGCTTTTATCATCTCATCTTTTGTCGCCAACTCTATAAAATTTTTACACATCTTTGAGACTAATATCTCATTATTTCATAATGGAGCTCTTTTGAATTTCGAACCATCTTCTGAAAAACCTTTTTTCTTTTATCTTTTATTTAAACATTTCATTCAATTGGTGATAATGAAACCAAGAAGAAAGAGCGCGCGACCCCCATCCTCAAGGACGAAACCCGGAAGGCTTCGCCAGTCGAACCTCCCACCGCCCAATGGCTGGCGAGCCTTTAAGAAACAGCACAGCTCTCAGCCAATGGCACTCGAGCTCCCTCGAACTCTGTACGGAAAACATCCGTGCGGGGATAAGTAGGCGGGGCGTATCAGGCCGAACAAGATGGCGGCGCCCGGAGCCGGGAGGGTAGCGGCGGCGGCCGCGAGGGCGGCTGTCAAGCCGATCTTCAGCCGGGACTTGGCGGAGGCCAAACGGCGCGTGCGAGAACTGTATAGGGCTTGGTACCGAGAAATACCAAACGCTGGTGAGGAGGCGCGGCTGCAGGCGAGCGACCTCCGCCTCAAGGTCGCGTCCTGAGGGGGACGGGCGGGAGGGCGTCGTCGCGGGCTGCGCCCCCTCCCCAAATTCCCCCGCTTCCCCGGACTCCCTTTCCTTTGAGGCCGCTGCCGAGAGAGTGGCCTGCTCAGAACTAAATCCAAGGGCCTGGAAGGCAGATCGCTTCCCTGCTTCGACTGTTTCCCCCCTTCCCACTCGTGTCACGCTCCTCTCACACTTCGGGTCGCGCCATCCCTGCCCACGGCGTTCATGCCATGGATGTAGTTGGCACTCTGATCTACACTGGGGACTGCGAGTACCCAAAGAAGGGTTGGTTCAGCGTTAGCGGCGGTTAGGATACTAAGATGGTGTGCCTTTGATCCATTCAGGATATCTGCCCACCAGTGGCGTGCGGTGACATTTGTGGTAGGGGAACAATTAGGCCAGGGGTCAGCAGACTTTTTCAGCAGGGGGCCGGTCCACTGTCCCTCAGACCTTGTGGGGGCGGGGGCGGGCTATATTTTGAAAAAAATAATAATGAACGAATTCCTATGCCCCACAAATAACCCAGAGATGCATTTTAAATAAAAGCACATACAGTGGTGCCTCGCAAGACGAAATTAATTCGTTCCGCAAGTCTCTTCGTCTTGCGAGTTTTTCGTCTTGCGATGCACGGTTTCCCATAGGAATGCATTGAAAATCAATTAATGCGTTCCTAGGGAAGCCAGCCTTCAGACCAGGTCCGGGGACAGTCTGTCCCGGACCTCTTCTGAAGGCTGGGGGAGGCAAGGGCTTTTCTTCCCACCCCCAGCATTTTAAAAACCCGGGACAGCGGAGGACTTCTCCGCTGTCCGGGCGATCTTAAAATGCTGGCGGGCGGCATTTAAAATCACCCCGGGACAGCGGAGGACTTCTCCGCTGTCCGGGAGCAATTAAAGCCCCTGGGAAGGCAGGCAGGGGGACAAAGACTTTGCCCCCGCCAGCCTTCAGAAGAGGTCCTGGACCTCTTCTGAAGGCGGGCGGGCGAAGTCTTGCTCCCCCGCCTTCAAAAGCCCTCCGGGACAGGCAGGCAGGGGAGCAAAGACTTTCGCCCCCGCCCGCCTTCAGAAGGTCTTCCTCCCCCGCCCGGCCGGAGCACCGTTCCGAGCCGGGCGGCGGCGGAGGTCTTCCCTCCCCGCCCGGCCCGGGCACCGTTCCGAAGCCGGGCGGCGGCGGCAGGTGTTCCCTCCCCCGCCCGGCCCGGGCACCGTTCCGAAGCCGGGCGGCGGCGGCTGAGTGTTCCCTCCCCCGCCCGGCCGGAGGAGCCTTCCGAAGCCCGGCGGCGGCGGGAGGAGGTGTCCCCGCCCCGCCGCCAGGCTTCGGAGGAGGTCCGAGGACAGTGGGGAAGACGCGCTGCGCTTCCCCGCTGTCCCTGAGATTTCCCTATGGGCTGTCGTCTTGCGAAGCAAGCCCATAGGAAGTTCGTTCTGCGAAGCGCCTCCAAAACGGAAAACCCTTTCGTCTAGCGGGTTTTCCGTCTTGCGAGGCGTTCGTCTTGCGGGGTACCACTGTATTCTACTCATGTAAAAACACGCTGATTCCCAGACCATCCGTGGGCTGGATTTAGAAGGCGATTGGGCTGGATTCAGCCTCCGGGCCTTAGTTTGCCTACCCATGAATTAGGGCGTCAATGTGCACCCACTCCAGGGGACAAGGTAGGGGTAAGAGGACAAACATGAGGTTTACTCAAGAGCCGCTGCTAAGGATGCAGCTGTGGCAGCTATGTAAAGGCTGAATTCCCCCCTTCAAACTCAAGCTGCCTGATTATTACTATTTTTTAAACAGCTACCACACTGTATCAGCTACCGTAAAAATGTATTTCTTAAAAAGAGCCCCTTTATAAAGACCTGCTTGTGACATCAAGGTTGTTCCATGCCCTTTCTCCTCCTCACCCCCTAAGTGGTGATGGTTGGAGTCCCCTGGCTGGCCTCTGCATGGTTGGGGAAGACAGCAGCTGGGTGCCTCAACAAAAAGAAGGCACTGTTTTTGACCTTCAGGGTGGGAAGTGGTCTCTGCCCCACGTGCATCACATCGGATGTTTTGCGTGCTGTGGGCTGTGCTGCTGCTGGGCGCTGTTTGGCATAGGCAACCTGGAGGAAGGGAAGTGCTGACACCAACCAGGACAAAGGACTACAAGGAGTGTAGCTCTGTGCAAGGAGTTCAACCCTCTGAGCAGCTTGGGTAGAGCAGCTAAACGAAGAAAGAGGCTAAGTGAGTAAGGTTCAAGGAGGACTGGAGGAAGAGAAGGAAGGAGGAGGGAGCATGGAGGGAGGTGTGTGAATATTTTACCAGGAACTTTGGGGATTAGGCTAGTTCCTCCGTTCCACGGACTGTATGCCACTGGTGCCAACCCTGGTGGCATGTATGGGGCGGTTCTTATGGAGAATAGTGTTGGTTCACACTACAAGATGGGAGTAACAGTTACATGTCACGAAAGCTTGAAGGACCTTGCTCATGACAGCTGTGGGCTTTTGTCTTTCCTGTAACTTAATGGGTTGTTAACACCTATTAGATCTTCCGTTTAATTAGAGCTCGCTTTCCATGGAATGGAATAAAACAGCCCACTAGTTGAACTGTGTTCAACTGGAGGCAGTAAATGTGTAAAAAGTAACTTTTTAAGTTAAGACCTAACACTCATTTTCTCATATTATTTTTTGCTTATCATCTAGTGCATCTATACCAGCTGGACATCTCTGTGAAACAGGGCCGGGATAAGGTGCGAGAGTTGTTCATGAAGAATGCCCATGCCACAGACCCTCGAGTTATTGATATGCTCGTTATTAAGGTAAATTAAATAACATTTGCCTTAAATTCAAAGCAAGCATAGGATGTCTGGTATATAGAGATAAAAAGCAAAAGTAGTTTTCAGACCCCTGTAGAAATGGAGAAGGGGGTGAAAGCCCATAATAGACTTAAGAGAATGCCTCTTTCCATCATAAATGATACATGACTTTTTCTTTATGTAAGCTAAACCATGTCTTGCAAATAGGTGTGTCTCTAAATGTGGGGTTTCAAACGCTGTGTCATCACAGAAACAATCCATATTCATGTGGTCTTATCCAAGTTTAGGAGAGAGCCTGCTTATGTCCTTCCTGGCACAACTGGCTTGCCCCAGAGTGCTGACCAGTAGTGCCACCATCATGGAGCATACGAGACTATAGTTTTACTATATACCAAAGGAATCAGTGTCCAAATCTAAATCTGAAGTGGCAGAACCTTTCGAAATACCTCCCCATCTGCTGTGTCTGCCTTGCTCCCAATCTTTAAAAGTATTTTGAGTCAGTAGCAATGTGGTAAGGACAATACCTTTGCCTACGGCTCACTATATGTTTCTTCAAGCATACAGCATGTAAAGCAACAGTTTCACAACGAACCTCCACTGTCATGTCATGTCCACTAATTTGGTTCTTAAAAATCCCAATTTCATAGAAACCTGATAGTTGTGCGGTATTAGCATAATAAATTATTGTAGTAACAGGCCAATTTAAACACCTTTCGTCCTTTTCTGTCTGATATAGGGGAAAATGGAACTCCAAGAGACTATTCACGTATGGAAACAACGGACCCATTTAATGAGGTATTTTCATGAGACAGAATCGCCACGACCCAAGGACTTCCTGTCCAAGTTCTATGCAGGCCATGACCCATGAACTAAATGAACTTTGTGGAGTTGTGATACTGTATGTTCGTCTGCTTCTGTTCCAAATAAAGCCCTGTATATTGAAGAGCTCTTCAGCTGGGAGGTAGCCGTGCTGGTACTCTCTGTTCCTTACTGGTTCTGAATTCTTGGTGCAGATGCTTCAGCCATCCTTGATTCCTTTCGTGCATTATCTGTTTATGATAGCCTGGGTGTGCAGTACCCTTGTTGAAACTGGTACCTAAAAAACAGTACTGGAGTACCTAAAAAACATGCTGGAGTCCTATGCACATGTACTTCAAAGTTAGTCCCATTTGAATAAAGTTAAAATGATTCGGTACTCAAAGAACAAAAAGGTTAGAAGTCTGTGTGGGAAAGACTGTGTTCAGTAGTAGAATACAGTGGTACCTCCGGTTGCAAACGGGATCCGTTCCAGAGCTCCGGTCGCATCCTGAGGAATTCGCAACTGGAGGTGCCGCTTCTGCACACACGCGTGCAGCGAAAGCTGGAAAAATACTTCCGGGTTTGCCGCGTACGTATCCCAAAGGATATGTAATCAGAGGTGAACGCAAGTAGAGGTACCACTGTATATGTACTTGCACCGGGACGCAGGTGGCGCTGTGGTCTAAGCCACTGAGCCTCTTGGGCTTGCAGATTGGAAGTTCAGTGGTTTGAATCCACACAATAGGGTGAGCTCCCGTTGCTCTGTCCCAGTTTCTGCCAACCTAGCAGTTTGAAAGCACACTAGTGCAAGTAGATAAATAGGTACTGCTGCGACGAGAAAGTAAACAGCGTTTCTGTGCGCTCTGGCTTCCGTCATGGTGTTCCGTTGCGCCAGAAGCAGTTTGGTCATGAGGGCCACATGACCCGGAAAGCTGTCAGGACAAACACTGACTCCCTTGGCCTGAAGCGAGATGAGTGCCGCAGCCCATAGTCGCCTTTGACTGGACTTAACCATCCAGAGGTCCCTTTACCTTTTACTTTAATCCAGGATGCATTGGCTCCGATAAAATCATAAAGATTTGGTTCAAGAATGTATTATTAATAGTTGAACATGTATTTTTCCAGAAAGAGAAACCTGGAACACGTTAATGGAGTTTCCCAAACGCTTAAAACATGTGGTAACCCTTGGGCTATCCAAAAGGCAGTTGATATATTACAATGGGCTTTTCTTGCTTCCCGGAGTCCTCTCCCAGAAAACCTGGAACCCATTGGTACTGGGTGTCTTGCCTTACCATGAATGTGTAATACATTTACTTTAATACCATTAAGTAAAACAGCACTAAACTGGTGAGTGGTTTTAGCAATCCAACTGTTAACTCTACAGCCTGGGTACCCCTGCCCTTGGAAAGACTCGTAAGCCAAACCTGAGCAATCTTGAGAATAATCTGGCAGCAAATAAATAGCTCACTTTTATCCTGCCTGTTTTCTTTGTGCAGGTAAAGGTAAAGGGACCCCTGACAATTAGGTCCAGTCGTGGCCGACTCTGGGGTTGTGGCGCTCATCTCCCTTTATTGGCCAAGGGAGCCGGTGTACAGCTTCCGGGTCATGTGGCCAGCATGACTAAGCCGCTTATGACGAACCAGAGCAGCACACGGAAACGCCGTTTACCTTCCCGCTGGAGCGGTATTTATCTACTTGCACTTTGACGTGCTTTCGAACTGCTAGGTTGGCAGGAGCAGGGACAGAGCAATGGGAGCTCACCCCGTTGCGGGGATTCGAACTGCCGACCTTCTGATTAGCAAGTCCTAGGCTCTGTGGTTTAACCCACAGCGCCACCCCCGTCCCTCTTTGTGCATATAGTTTTGCCTAATTTCTGTTACTGCCCTTGAAATACTATCACCACACTGACGCTTTCCTGAGGAATGATTTCTCAGCCTATTGAGTCTTCTGCCTGCCTTGCAGCAACATTTCTTTAATTCAGCAACCAGAAAGCAGCTAGCCTTGATTACACTTAGGTGTTTGTAGCCTAAGGCTTCCAATAATTTCCTTTGCTTGCCAGGAGAGGTATTTTGGGGCTTCTTCCCCCCCATTCCGTCTAAGAAAGCTGAGCCCTATTCCAACCATCCCAAATACAAGTGTAAAAAATGACACCTATTAGGCTAGTAGTTTAATGTTCCTTAACCCAACTTTCATGGTTATTTAATACTGTACTCCTTCCCACTATGCAAGGGAGCCCTCCTGTGGTAGAACTGCATGCAGCAACACTGCTGTGGCCTCTGGTTGTTCCTTCTTCAAAAGCTCCCACAAGAAAATCCTGTTTATCTGAAGTAAGAGGGTAGTAACGTCCCCAATTGCTCTGAACAATGTTCAAGAATACAAAATCCTGTTCTGTACAAGATTATGCAAGTAGGATCATATGTAGAATTATTTCATAGCAGGGCTAGCAGTTATCCTATTTTTTTTTTATTTTTTTTTAGCAAACATGGCATAAGCCAGGGCTGAATGAGGCATGTGTACTGAAAAGTGACAATCATTTTTGAATCCATAGACTCTGATCCCATAGACCTTCAGAGCATAGGAAAAACATGTGGTACAAATAAAAATAATGTTTAGGTAAATTGATACAGGAAGCAATTCCTCTTTGCCAAATGTTAAGTTAATTTTATCAGAACTTAGACTTGCATGCATTTCTGAACTTTGGTAGGTGTCATGAACTCAAGATACCACTTATCAGTCAATACTGTAACATGTCAAGTTCAAAAAGTTATGGCATTATCATTTACTGTACACCAAAATAAAACAGTGCCTAATATCAAAGGGCTTCTGCTCACTATTAGATATCAAGATTCAAAAAAGAAATATTTGTGCTGCTTCTTCTTTTTTTGGAGCAAGTCAGTCTAGCAGAGTTAAATAAAATTACTTTTTCTGTTAAACACAGAATTTGCAGTTAAAAAAAAAAAGATGTAAAGGGGTGAAAGGGAATTGAAATTATTAATGCTTTTCAGCAAAGATATGGTGCAATAATACTTAATTACACTTGGATCCCTGCATGCAGCCTAGGACAATTTAAAGAAGAGATGCAAGCCTTGGTCTGTTACTCTTTATTTGCAATCTAAACCATTTCTTCACACTCATTAGAACAGGGTTTCAAAGCACTCTCATAAACTAGGTGTTACATACAATGATTGCTGAACCAAGGATATATTCTGCCTATGTATGTAGCCAATCCTCATTTACACATGCACAGAGCATTTACTGGTAGAATGGGGGTCCAACTCTCCCAAAATGTCTTCTTTAAAAACTGAAAAGAGGGGCCATGACTAGATATTGACATCAGAATAGTTGTCTATGGCTTTCGCTCTTGTTTTCTCCTATTTTAACCCTGTAAAGAAACAAGAATATGTTATTTCACACTGCAGAATTGGCCCCATGTTCAACCCCTAGGATACTAGCTTTGCAGAAATTAGAGAATGGCACAGAACACCAGTATCATATGCATATTATAAACATACTGTTTGCTGCTTTCTATACAACCCACAGCTTATTAAAACAAGTTCAGTGTGACATTGGCAAGTGTATTTAGAATATAGAACAGTGATATTGCCAAATCAGTGTAAACATTTTGGTCATGGCCTAATGAATTTATTGTCTAGTCAGCTGTAATTCTTTCAAAATTATATTCACAAAAAGTAAGACAAAATAGTAACTAAATTATAAGCAGAACTTTCTGCATATGCTTAGTTTATTATATAGGAATAAAACTAGGAATAAAAGAATGGGAAAGAAAAATACTAGGAATAAAGACTGGGAAAGGAAAGGTAGGCAACAGTGCTTTTAGGACAGGAATTGTGATCTAGGGTATATACGTGCTATGGTACAGGTGAGAAGAGATTTCAAAGGCTGCTGCAACTACTCCAATAAAAAAAGATGAGCTTCTCAATGGCCTTCACTGCAAACATTGTAGGGACATGCAGGGTAGGGAAACTGTTTCAGTCTTAAGGCCACATTCCCTTGCAAGAGCTTTTGGGGGTGCATGCCAGTGCTGGATGGGGCAATGGATGCAACTCTTTATGCAGCTAACTGCATTCCAGCCAGGCAAAAATCAAGAGGTTTCTACACATACCCATACCTCCCATCTTTCATTCACCAAACAGACATTCTAACAGTTCAAGGACAAATTCCAGCCAGGCAAAAGCACAAGGATGAGGAGCAGGGCTGGTGAGGGGATTGCCCTGGAAAGATGTACATTCAGCACTCAGGCCTGACGTTCCCCACCTGTAGGACAGTGTATGAGAGGTTGAGATGCAACCAGATTCATTTCTTGTGTATCTTGTACACTCATACGCCACATGTTAGTACCAGTTTTATGAGAATTTTAAGTATAGCTGGAGTTTATTGTTTCTGGGTATCTGTTTTGACCTAACAGGTTTGCCAATGAAGGATTGTCTCCCAGGTGTTTTATTCTGGTTTCACTCATCCTACATCAAATGAGGGGGGCAACTTCAGATCAAGTTTCTGCTTTTATCTATAGCCATACCTATTAATCGTCGTCGTCATCATCTTCTGGTACAAAAATATCATGTTCCTCTAGCAAGGCTGCAAAGTTTTTGCTGATTTGTGTCCCAACATAGAGGAAGGGAATTACAATGGCAAACACACGAAGGAGACCAAAGGGCATCTGCAGAGATTAATTGAGAACCAGTTTAATATCTTTCAATGCAAGCCCTGCAGAAAAAGTTGGTCATCAACAAATCTCTACAAAGCTGCCAACGTACATAAGTCTAGAGCTGATGGAAAGATTTAAAGAAATGCCATTACCCTTCAAATGCTTGCACCCATAAATAATAGCACATATTCTTACTGTTCTACTAATTCACATTTAAACCCACATAGAAAAATATTTGTAAAAATGTCTTTAAATATATGGAAAAACTAAGTAAAAAAAAGGAACAAAAATGAATATTAGTATTAAGCAAGCAACACATTTTATATCCTAAATACATAAACAGGAAAACTAAAAGTTTGCATATTATCAGATACTCCAAAGTGTTTTCCTCATGGGCGGGGGAACCTTCTGTAGTAAATGATCCAGCAAAACAGTTTCGCTCTCAATTCAAAGCATGAAACTCAAATAATGGAAAACGTAAGTGCAGTACTGTATAACAGCATTACTCAATGTACTGCAGCAGTGATTAGTCCAACTTATTTCATTAGCACCTGAAATTCATTTTGAACACATAAAAATCCTTTATTCTATGGGTCACGTTAGCTCACCTCCCCCTTTTTCTCGGGTTCCTGGCAATTCCCTTTGCCTCCCGTTTTTGGATCCACTCTCTTTCATCTGCTCCTCCTTGCAGCCCCTATTTTCTAGACAAGTGCTTGTGGAACTTCTGAAAGCCAAATGTGGGGCTTCCCTTAAAACGTTTCTCCTGGAAGCTGAGCGGAGGGGGCAGGGAAGGGGCTCTGAAAGGCCACATTCCAGACACCTGACAAAGAGTGGCTGGTCCATCCCACTTCATACTTGTCAAATGCAACTTGACATGAAAGCAGTCGGCCAGGTATCAGTCATCCGCATTACTAACATTTCCTGTCACCTGCTACAAGAAACAAAAGGGGCAGGAAGGCAGGATCTTCGGGAAAAGGTCTCCCCCTTCCGGCTTTTACCGAGGTGAAGGAGGAAAAGAAAACACACAAATACACCCTTTTCTTTTTATAAATGACCCCCCCCCCCCGTAGCCCACAGGCAGGAGAGGGGAGGAAGCCCTCACTATCCCCCTATGGCTCTTGTCTTACTGATCCTTACGGGATCATTTCCTAGTGGTGCTTCTGTTCTAAAGCCCGCCCCTGCCGCCTTATCCATTGGGCAAACCATCTGCCAAGCCAACAATCCTTTCAAGCCATTGGCTGACACAACGTCCTCCAAGACCGGCAGCCCATCCCGATTAGCGATTGGCTGGCTTCACTCCCGGCTCGTTTCCCCTCCGCGACCTGAGGCTCCCCTTTGCGCACTCACTTTGACGGGCTTGGGCAAGATGGCGCCAGTCCGGGTGACGGTGACATTTCGCGAGGGGGCAGCGGTCACCGAGGGGCGCCTCTGGCTCCCGACGGGCCTCGCCCAGCACCCTGCCGCTGCCCACAGGCGCCCAGCCATCTTCTCTGTAGCGCTACCGCTATAGCGACGCGACGCGTCCGAAGTGTCGGAAGGATGGGAGGCGCTTTCTCAAATCTCGCGATATGAGGATGAAGGAATAAAACACCTCCCGGGCGCGCGTGGCAGGAGTGATGCCACAGAGATTCGAAAAATATAGATTGCTCTCATCGCCTCGGATGGGTCGTTTCTTGGTTCCTATTTGAAAAGTCCCTCAGGGCGAAAGTGCTCAGAAAACCCAACAGAGGAATCTTATGTTTTAGCTTATCGGGCTTGACCCCAAACAGGAGGAGTTCCTACTTTTGCCAACTCTAATCCAGTTACCTGTAACTTTGTTTATTTGCTTTGCCAATATTCAGAGAGGTCCCCTGTCAATGAAGTGCCGCTTTACTCTTTATACTCCTTTTATTTTTTTTTTAAATCATATTTATTAAAGTTTCCAAAAATATAAAAATACAAAGAAAAAAGACAAAAAAAAGAAGATATTTAAAAACCTTACTTTCATTCCCTACTTTCTGGGACTCCCCCCCTCCCCCCCCCAGTTGTATTCCCCTTTCCTTAATTTGGTTCTACAAGCTCTCACTCCCAATTTAAAGCTTAATTTGTTTAACCCACTATCCAGATTGAATTGTACAAATCTTACCGCCGTCCCACATCATTAACAGAAAAAGAAAAAGATTTTCCCCAAGATCCACCCCAGTTCCTTCCACAAATTCCCTTTTTTTAAACACGTCCAATCAAAGTAAAATAACATGCGTAGGTTATGTAAAGAAATAGAAAATAAGAGATATAGAAAAATTCAAAAAATGGTTACACAGCCTTTGGATTTCCAATCTCCCCCCTTCCCGGTTTGAATTCCCCATGTCCATCAGTCTATACATTATCAGCTTGGAAGTCTCATTTCGTGACCAGATTTCTCCCCAATTCCATCTTGCCGGTTTTCTTTTAGTTTATTAATTTAAATAATATTTGACTTCAAATGTCCAATCTAACAAAGGCCTTTAATTTCCTTGATCTTTACCACTCCTCCCGTTGTTCTTTCCGTGTCAGTAATCAGTCCTTTATTCTTCTTATTCCTCACTTTCTCAGGTTTCTTGTCCTGTTCAGCTGCTAAAACTTTCTAATTCAGAAATCTAGTGTCTCTGCAGAGGTTTGTTATTCAGGAACAAAAACTTACGTCCAGTCCCTTTCTTTCTTCAATAAAAATTCCATTGTCTTCCTCTGTAGACAAAATACTCTTTCAGTTTTGCAGCTTTCCCAGAAGATAACAAATCCTGTGCGAATCCCAGGGTATTTTTCCACTTACGACCGTTCTTGTAGTATCCCGAAACCCCTCTAGGGGATTGTAATAACTTTGTATCCTCTAATCCAAAAGTCAAATTGTTGCTTATTTTCCAACAGTTTATATCCATATTATAGCAAATTGTAACAAAATTAACCAGCAAGGTCCTCATAACAAAGTCCTCTTTATATTCTCCAGCTTTGACAGCCACTTTGACAGCTGTCAAAGTCTCCGTCTCTCTTCACCAGGCTCCACGAATCGCCCGGTTCCCAGGGGGGTTGCATTTTCTTCTCACCCTCCACTCTTCTCCTCCAGCACATTTCTTATAATTTCCCATCGTGAAATTAATGATTTTTATCAGAGACATACTTCCCTTTGGACCTTGGTTACCCAGTCCTTGTTTTGGAATGCTTACAATAGGGGGGGGGATTGACTTCCTTTTAAATCGCCCCGCTCGTGCCAAATCCAAAATTTTGAACCCGGTTTCCCAATTACTCACGGGTTGTTGTTAATAGTCCAAATTTTCAATAGAAGAAGTCAGCGCTCTCCGTCGAATGGCATGCGGCTGCGCTCGGCAGGAAAGCAGTGGACTCAAGCGCCACGCCACTCCCGGCACCCGATCCGAAGCCTTTAAAAGGCTCCTTCACGAGTCGGGAGGCGCTAATGGTGCAAGCCGAGTCACCCATGTCCACGGACTCCGTGCCCGTGGTTTTTAAGGGTCCCCGCGTCGCCGGCGCGGTAGGACCCAGCCCCTGCCGAGCAGACTCCCTCCGGAGCTCGGAGGGAGTCCGCCATTCGGCGATGGCGCTAACCCGGAAGTCCCTCTTTATACTCCTTTTAAAGGGCTTATCACATTTCTGTGATGTTAAATGCGTGTGTGTGTGTGTGTGTATGAATTGTCCTAATGTTTTGTTTATTGTGCATCATGTTTTTACATTACCATTATTTTTGTAAACGACCCTGTGACCATTTTAGAGAGTATATAAATCTGTAAATAAATTAAGTTTGTTACCTACAAGAGTGGGGTGGGCTGTGGCTACAGAACAGCAGAGGGCTTGCCAGACTGGATATCTGGTTGGCATCTCTGGTACATTGGAAAGTAGACTAGGTAAATACTTGGTCTGATCCTGCAGGACACTAATTATGTTAGAACTCCCAGTGAGGGAACTCAAGACACAGTCTCATCACCGTGCAGCCAAACACTACAATATATATATTAAAAAGTTTATTCAAGAATAAATTTGTACTACAAATAACTTTGAAACAGTAGTGTATATTCTTGTTTTATGTGTAAAACATAATCCATGCAAACATACAAAAAAATGTAATTCAAGGGTGTATGTAGAGCACCATGAAGTTATTAGCTTCCATTTGTTGTACGACCTTAGCAGGTATATTCTGGCTGCTGCTAACATTATTGCAGATCAGAATTTTTTTCTTTGGAGTGGATATATTACTATCTTCCTTCAAAACATTAACCATTTTTACTGTTGGAAGTGACATATTATTTGCCATGGTAACTTGATTTTATCATATTAAAAACAGTCATGGTGGTTCTTCCCTCCCAGCAGGGATAGTCATTCCATTTGAACGTTGCAACTGGTTATTACCAGCACTGGTCTGAGCCCAGGATGACTTGGTAAACAATGGTTTGGTTGGCCAATTAGTTATAGTTAAAGTCACCAATGTGCAAGAACGCTAAAGAACAAACCTGATCGCAAAAATCAGAATGCAGCAATATGATATAAAGGCAGTGTATACTGGACACCATAGAACATGAATCCAGTGCCTATTGGCATCATTTAAATTGAAATTCATGGACTTATGACTACAAAACTCACAACTCAGTGATTGCAGTTGAGATGGCTGAGAAGTCTAGGTTTATACTGTTCTTCACCCTAATCAGGCTATGTACACATTAGCGGCTTCCTTAGGAGACTATTGTGTGGGTCAGAACAACAGGACCAAGGGACAAATGTGGCTCTCCAGGTTTCTCCATAGGGCCTTAGAACATTCCCCAAACCACACCCCTCCCTTTGCACCCTGATTGTTTTTACCTGGCTAGAGCAGGTTCTTGAACTCCAATAATGCTTCTTGCTTCTCTAGTTGGATAGAAAGATATGTGCAAGTGCATGTGGAAACTAGACTACACTACAATGCTAACATCTGCTCTGCCCACTGCTGGCATTCCATGTAATTAAATGGTCACACATTATGATGTTAGTATGTGGGAGCAACTGTCCCTAATTTGTTGGTTCACTTACTCAGATCTAGGTCATGTTGCCTCTTGAAGAGGTTATCTTCAAATACTGACTCAAAATGTAGCGAAAGCCCTAAAAGTGCAGGATTCCTTAGTTATGGATCTGGGAAGCATTTTATAACGTCTACTCTAGGGCAACACTGTGACTAATAGTGTGAAACTACTGGATCAAATTTCACCTCGGCAAGAGGTGGTCTTAGGCAATTTGCTTTGCCCTCCATATGGTGATAAATATAGTAGCCTACCTTTTCAGATTGTTGTCAGTAACCTTTATGTAATGTATGTGAAGATTATTGGATATTTGAAATGTGCTATATAAATGGATAGTATTATTAGTCTAACACAAGGCTCAAAGCAACTGGAATATATAGATTGAATGTCATTAACTGAATTGTATGGCTCAACAGAAATTCAGATTCCTCTCATGTGTTAAGAAGCCACTTGAAACATGAGAGTGCCAACTTGAGCTTTACAGCACAGTGCGAAAGAAGTAGTGAAATAAGTATGCCATAGCCTTTTGCTAACACTGCTTGAGATACAGATGGTGCATGGTTAATTTTCAGAGATATTCTGGGCATTCCAAGATCCCCATGGGGATACTATATTTTGAGAGTAACCTAGAACATACATATATTTGCAATTCACTATTCCAGAAAGCAATATAGGTTCTTTGGCAATTTTGTTGGCCAAGAGCAAATCCACAAGTGCGCTAAGAGGTCTGTGAAAACTTGTTTTGCGTCTATTTTTCTCTTTCCTTCCCTCCCTCTTCCCCACATCCCAAAATACTTTCCTCAATACGTTCACAATACATTCTGGCTTTGCAGCCATTCCATCCTTGCCTCTGCTATCTCCTGACCGTACCAATCGTGCAACTTTGAGAAACAGGCTGTCTCTGGAGACACCGGGCTTTCCTGCACAGCAGAACCAAGGCCTGGAGCAGGCATTCCACCTGCGCTGCTGCAAGCTGGTCTTCGGCGAGGGGGTAAAGGCGGGGGTTTCAGATACCCCACATCATGGTCCAAAACAGCTCCTGCAACAGTGCAACCGTTGGCCCATGTGGAGTACCCATTTTCTGAGATGACAGGGTGCTCCTGGAGGGGTACTGCTGTGGAACTGGAAAGATGTCGCTTCCAGCCAGAGGAAGGTCTCTTTGGAGATTTGTGACAGGTGACTAAGCTCTTCCGCGCTTCCTCCAGCTGCTTCTCTAGTTCTTTAACCACGAGCCTCATGTAATCAAAGCTGGCCCTGGAAAGGGCCTTCACCCAAACCTCCATCGCAGCCTGGCAATCAGCAACCAGCACATAGGCCTTGCCACCACTGCCATCGAAGCGGATAGCAAAGGCAAACTCCTCAGCGGCCTCGCACAGCTCCACCGTGCAGCCCTCCAGCACAATGAGACCCAGGGGTTCACGGCTCTGCTGCTCCTCAAAGTAGAAAAGCAAGTTGCCTTTGAGGATGAACCAGCAGCGGTGGTAGGAACTGGTGTGGTGGTGGTGGTGGCGGCGCTCCACACGCTTGCACAGAAAGCCCATGTGGTCTGCCGGAGAGTCGCAAGTGGCATAATGTGCCACGCAGCGCTCGTTCAGCTTCATTGCCATAAGGGTCCCCTGAGGAGCATAGAGACAGGCAGGTTTCCTGATTGCATCAAAAAATGATATTTTAAAGTCCCGTCGATACCCGGAATATAATTTTAGTCAATATTCCAGCTCATCTATACTGTTTGAGAGAGCAGAGAGAGTCTTACCCAAAGCCTGGATTTTGATGGATCTGCCTTCTTCCATGGATAGATGTGTGCTGCAGTCTCGTCTTAGGCCACTAGGTACCCAGCTCTGCTAAAACGAGGGACAAAAGTTGCAAACTCCACTTAGCTTTTACTGCCATTAAAACAGCATATCTTCGCCTCTTTAATCAATAGCGGCACCCTCTTATGGAAGCTGGAACGGAAACCACATTCGGATGTTTTCCCCTTTTTATACATAAAGCCATCAAGCTGACTGGAGTAACAGCAAGTTGGATTAATGGCCAACTGAACTGAGTCTCCAGAGTCAGAAAGCTCTCGGGAGGAGATGGAGATTTTTTTAAAACCAGAACTCAGGCTGCCTGCCTAGTCCCCAGGGTGGGGTGGAGTGTGTGGGGGGTGGTGGTGTCTCCACAGAGCTTGCGGAAGATGGTTTTGAACTCGGGGAGAGCAGGCCTGCTCTGAAAGCCAGGAGACAGATTTTTCTCTCTAACCTTACCTTGCGGGATCTCTAACCTCTTCATCCATTCGGCGTACCCCGTTACTCCTGCTTTAATTAACGTGTTGATTTTAAGGCGGCTGTTTTGTTTTGTCCTCCCTCTTTCTCTGCGGAGCTCTGACTATTATTGGTTTAGAGCAATTTCGTAATGCAAAACCCGGAGCGCAAGATCGCTTCTGGAGTAGCAAGCCCAGGGATGGCTCTTTAACAATCCACGTTTTCCAACCCGCCTCACATTACAGAGCGGAGGTTCCACTTTTTTTATTCCCCCATTCCTACCCCCCTCCCTAACTGCTCTGCTTTTTCTCTTGAGGTCTTGGAAGCCACGTATAGAAGAATCAGACATGGAAGACTTGATTCCCCGTCTCAGACCTTTATGATTAAATCTTCTTCCTTGGATTTTTCAAAGCCTTTCATGACCCTATCTTACCTTTAACTCTGTGAAGTGGGTTCAATAGTCAACATCCACATCTCTCCTAGTATCTGCATTGCTCCCAGACACCCCAGATCCTTTGTCCCAAAGAATCGTATTTTTACTGAGAAATGGTATATTTCTCACTCTGCCCTCCACCCGAGCGTTTGCAAGAGCCGGATCAGGGCTCGTCGCAAAAGGCAAAAAAAAGTTCAGGACAAGGACATACAACAAGTTTTCTTGATGATCGTGCTAATTTATAAGGATCTCCCAAGAGCTCTTACATCCATAGCCACTCTTGCTTATTATGCTAGGTTCTTCCTTGACAGCAACACCAAGGTCGCGTCAAGCTGGAAGTATAATATTGGCGGTGCCACTAACGAGTTGGTGCTAAAGTTGTGCGAAACATAAACAAAGAACATGCAGAATGGGCTTTTAAAAACATATACATGCTACTTTATAGCCACCAGAGGGCATCACATTGCCGCATGCAGCAATTTCACAGGACTAGAAGGAAGTCCTTCAGTCAGAAAACAAACAGCACCCGACTCCCGAAGTTGTTGTTAGTCGTTTAGTCGTGTCCGACCCTTCGTGACCCCATGGACCAGAGCACGCCAGGCACTTCTGTCTTCCACTGCCTCCCGCAGTTTGGTCAAACTCATGCTGGTAACTTCGAGAACACTATCCAACCATCTCCTCCTCTGCCGTCCCCTTCTCCTTGTGCCCTCCATCTTTCCCAACATCAGGGTCTTTTCCAGGGAGTCTTCTCTTCTCATGAGGTGGCCAAAGTATTGGAGCCTCAGCTTCACGATCTGTCCTTCCAGTGAGCACTCAGGGCTGATTTCCTTCAGGATGGAGAGGTTTGATCTTCTTGCAGTCCATGGGACTCTCAAGAGTCTCCTCCAGCACCATAATTCAAAAGCATCAATTCTTTGGCGATCAGCCTTCTTTATAGTCCAGCTCTCACTTCCATACATCACTACTGGGAAAACCATAGCTTTTACTATACGGACCTTTGTTGGCAAGGTGATGTCTCTACTTTTAAGATGCTGTCTAGGTTTGTCATTGCTTTTCTCCCAAGAAGCAGGCGTCTTTTAATTTCGTGGCTGCTGTCACCATCTGCAGTGATCATGGAGCCCAAGAAGGTAAAATCTCTCACTGCCTCCATTTCTTCCCCTTCTATTTGCCAGGAGGTGATGGGACCAGTGGCCATTATCTTCGTTTTTTTGATGTTGAGCTTCAGACCATATTTTGCACTCTCTTTCACCCTCATTAAAAGGTTCTTTAATTCCTCCTCACTTTCTGCCATCAAGGTTGTGTCATCTGAATATCTGAGGTTGTTGATATTTCTTCCGGCAGTCTTAATTCCGGAGGACTGCAAAGGCAAAACACTTCAGGCGGCAGCGAAGCCAAGGTTTCGCGAGTCCTTGATATGTTTTAAGCAACCAAGAAAGCAGAAAGGGACAAGGGAGAGGACGTTGCCAAGCAGGGCATAGGAGAACGACCTCCGGTCAGCATGAAGTTAAGGAAGTGGTCGTCAGCCTCTTGCAGCCTTCCAACCCTTGACAGGCTGCGGCAACCGCCTTGGCCGAGCTGCTTGCATTTTAAACTACAACTCCCATCAGCCCCCGCCAGCAAGCTCGCCTGCCTAGTCTTTTCAAGGCGTGGAATCAGCCTACTGTGGTTATCTGGGGTCTCAGTATGGGCCAAGCTAGCAGAAAGCAATAGAAGTCTTAGAAAATTAGCTTTCCTTTTTGTCATACACACTATTAAAAACGCACGCGCACACATTGCACCTTCCGCTTCTGGGTGATGTTGATTTAATGTTTTATTGAAATGTTGCATGATTGCAGTTTTGATTGTTGTGAACTGCTTTGGCATGCATTGATTTGAATAAATGGTTACATAGTTACACCTCCGATTTGATTTGATTTTTAATCATACGCTTGTTTTACTTGGATGGATGCTTAATGCCGAATAAAAGCCAGGAGCCATCCCCTGAGGCAATGTGTTGGGCGCCTCATCCGATCACTTCGGAGGCAAGGGTTTTTTTTGTTTTGTTTTTTGTTTAGTTAGAAGACGACGCTCCCACACCCGCCTTGCGCAAAAATAAATAAAGCGGGAGAAGGAAGTTTTGAGGCGGGTATGTTGCTAAAGCATCTGGAAAAGGGCACAGTCTCCTGGCAGGGTTGCCATATTTCAAAAAGTAAAAACTAGGACACCCCATGTTGAGGGTTGTTGTTTTTTTTTAATACAAACCCCGAGATTTTTCGATCGACTAGCTAGCCTAATATCCAGGACAAAGCGCCGCCTTTCGGAAATTCCCCCCAGTACATCAATTCCGCCTTTGAAATCCCGTTGATGTCCGGGATAATCCGGTCGTATGGCAGCCCTAAGAGGGAGGTATGGCTTGGAGGGAGCAATGTTTATTATTGTGGGGGCGAGATGCACGAATTTCAGTCCTTTATTCCGTCTTCTCCTGCGCTGACTAAGCTTTGCCATATATGCCATCCTGAGCCAGCCGACTGAGCCCGCCCCATCCCCGAGCTGCCGCTGCTGCTTCCTCATTTGCTTGCAGCCAACAAGCCTCGGTGCTACTAGGACTCAGATCAGCAGGCTCGCAAAGCTGGTCGGCTGGTCATGTGACCAGTAGAAAGCCGGAAGCACGCGGTTTGCAGCCCCCTCTCCTGAGCCTTCGTCCTTGCACCTGGTGTGGTCGTCTATGCTCAAGTGTGGCTCGCAGTCGTGCATGGTAAGCGCGGGATTTGACCGGGAGTCGTTGTCTGGCGGGTTGGAGAGGGGAATGTTTTGCTGGGGATCCCCGGCTGGGAGACAGGGAAGCTGAGCAGGGGGAGGAGGTTACCGGGATTACCCGTTTCTCTTGAGAATGAAATGTCTCTCTTCTCTGCGATCAGAATCTTGTCTCCAGAACGTGACAAGGAACAACACAAAGTGTGAACAGCCAATAATGCCGTAGTTATGCTCCCCCTCCCCCCAAGTCAATGCATCGCTTTGCCTTTAGCAAAGTTCTTAACGGGTCTGGATAAAAGGCGGATAAAAGCGCTTCCCCCATCGCCAGCCCCAGAGGATGGGGGGCAGTGGGAAGGCACGCGACGCCTTCCCGCTACTCTCCAACCCTCCTGTGGGCTTTTGCGGGAGATGGGGGAATTCCCCCACCTCCCGTAAAAGCAGGAAAAAGCCGTGCGCTCTTTAAAGGGGCTGCGCGGCTTTGCTGGCTTTTCTAGGAGGTGGAGGAATTCCCCCACCTCGCAGAAAAGCCCGCAAGAGCCGCGCAGCCTTTAAAGAGCGCGCAGCTCTTGGGGGCTTTTCCCCAAGGAGGGAGAAGGGACAGACTGTCGGAGTCCGTCCCTTCTCCCTCCTGTGGGCTTTTGCGGGAGATGAAGGAATTCCCCCACCTCCTGCAAAAGCAGGCAAAAGCCGTGCGCTCTTTAAAGGGGCTCCGCGGCTTCTGCTGGCTTTTCTAGGAGGTGGGGGAATTCCCCCACCTCGTAGAAAAGCCCGCAGGAGCCGTGCACCCTTTGAAGAGCGCGCCGCTCTTGGGGGCTTTTCCCCGAGGAGGGAGAAGGGACTGACTGGCCATTTCAGTCCCTTTTCCCTCCTGGTCGAAAAGCCCGTAGGAGTCGCGCACGGCTCCTGTGGGCTTTTGCGGGAGGTGGGGGAATTCCGCCACCTCCCGCAAAAGCAGGAAGAAGGTCTTGGAGTAGCGCACAGGCTGCGTGCAGCCTGTCCACTGCTCCCAGAGCTGCGGGGGGGGGGGATCATATTTTTTTCCTTGATTTCCCCCCCTGAAAACTAGGTGCATCCTATGGGGCGAAAAATACGGTACAATCCTGCTTTCCCTTGTAGCAGCTTACCTTGACTTCAGTAAGGCCTTTGAAAAGGTCCCCCATGATATTATTGCAAAACAACTAGTAAAATGTGGGCTAGACAAAGCTACTGTTGGGTGGATTTGTAATTGGTTGACGGGCTGAACCCAAAGAGTGCTCATCAGTGGCTCACCTTCATCCTGGGAAAAAATGACTATTGGGGTTCCACAAGGTTCTGTCCTGGGCCTGGTGCTATTCAATATTTTTATAAATGATTTGGATGATGGAATAGAGGGTGTGCTAATCAAATTTGCAAATGACTGCAAACTGGGAGGGGTTGCTAATACACCAGAGGACAGGGTCAGAATTCAAAATGACCTGAATAGCCTAGAGAGCTGGGCCAAAACCAACAATATGGAGTTCAATAGGGAGAAATGTAAGGTACTACACCTGGATAGAAAAAATGAAATGCACAGGTGGGGGACACTTGGCTTGACAACAGTACCTGTGAAAGGGACCTGGGAGTCTTAGTCGACCACAAGCTGAATATGAGTCAATAGTGTGATGTGGCAGCTAAGAATGCCAATGCAATTCTGGGCTGCATCAATAGGAGTATAGTGTCCAGATCAAGTGAAGGAATGCTACCACACTATTCTGGTTGGTTGGTCAGACCACACCTGAAATACTGTGTCCAGTTGAAGAAGGATATTGTCAAGTTGGAGCATGTCCAGAGGAGGGTGACCAAAATGTAAAAGGTCTGGAATCCAAGCCCTATGAGGAGAGACTTAGGGAGCTGGATTTGTTTAATCTAGAGAAGATTAAGGAGTGACATGATAGCCATGTTTAAATATTTGAAGGGATGTCATGTTGAAGAGGGAGCAAGCTTGTTTTCTGCTGTTCTAGAGACTAGGATGCAGAATAATGGATTCAAACTATGGGAAAAGAGATTCCACCTGGGCATGGTAATCCAGTCAGGGAAAAAGGGAGGCATACTATGTTTAGGGCACCATTTCCAGCCCCTTCCCCTTTTCAGGGTGAGCATAGTGGATCCTAAAAAGGGCTGCTCAGTCATGGATACAGCTGCTGAGCTGCTCAACTGCCTCATTCCTTGAGTCAGAACGACTGACCGCCCATGTGTCGGTTCATGACTAGGGGCTTCACATTCCTGCCCCCGTAGCCATTTAGTGATGGCCATGGGGGGAGGGTTTGGGGAGGTTGGGTTTGGTTTTTGGAAGACGCCTGTGCGTGAATTTGTTTTATGTGTGTAGATTAGTGCACGCTGACCAACGCACAGTCTTCGCAGTAGGGCTCTGTTCTGATGGCATGAGTAGTCACGACAAACTGGTGGATCCTATCTGCTGCAGCCTTCATCCGCCTTCAGAGCCGTTGTAACACACTGCTTGTTATCACCCACCTGCTCTGCCGTTGAGGACTTCTTGGATCATTCTTTGTCTAACTCCTTCCCTGTTATGTACTAAGCTTGGATCCTAGAACAATAGGCAAGTAGGATCCTAGAATGCAAGAACTGATTGGCTTGCAGGAAAAGACCAATCAGGCTCCAGGAGGGAAGCAGAATCAGCTAGTCAGACGGGTCTCATTGTGTAAATAATGTATATAAAAGCCTGAGGTTTTGGGGGAAATTCAATCACTGTTTTACAAGCTGCAATAAAGAGCATGAAATCACTACAGGACTCTGAGCATATTTAATTTTCTTTGACCTTACCACCTTGGGTGACCCTGCTGGGAGTACGAGATTCCCAATGGCTTCGCTCACAAGGGTCATAGGAATGTGCAAGCCCACTCACCATGACAAGTGAGAGAACTGAGATAGATTGCACTGAGCCCTGGTCTCATTAGACAAAGCGTTCCACCAAAAAGGCTCTGGCTCTGGTTGAGGACAGCTGGATATGTTTTGGGCCAGGGACCACCAGTAGGTTGCTGTTAGATGAGCGTCACACTCATGGGGGTGTATTGGAAGATAATTCCCACAGATAAGAAAGGTCACAGACTGTTTAGGGCTTTAAAGATTAGCACCAAAACATTGAACCTGATTCGATACTCCACCTGGAGCCAATCCAGCTGATGAACAACCAACTGAATGTGGGCTCTCCACAAAGTCCAAGTAAGAACTCATGCATCTGCATTTTAGACCATTTGGAGTTTCTGGAGCAGTCTCAAGGGTAGCCCTGCATATCTCTCTCTCTCTCACTCTCTCTCTCTCTATCACATTTATACCCTGCACTCCCCGGCTCAGGTGTACAGAAAGTTAAAGTAGTCTAGTCTGCAGGTGACTACTGCATGGATCACCATGGCTAGGTTGGAAAGGGACAGGTACGGTACCGATCGCCTAACCTGACATAGATTCAAAAATTCCAGTTTGGCTACATTTGTGACCAATTCCTCCATAGAGACAGAAGCATCCAGGATCACACCGGGACTCCTGATGGTGGCTACAGGTGACTATTGTGCCCCTTGAAGAGCTGGGAGCTGGCAAACCAAACTGAAATTATTCTGGCCCAGCCATTGGATGCCCATCTTTAATGGATAGAGATTCAGCCGACTCCGTTTCCTCCATCCCAGAACACCCACCTAAAAATTGGCCAATATATCCAGGGTAGCATCTGGCCAGGGCCATGAAGCAGTAGATCCATGATGTTTGTGGTCAGATCTGTGGTTATGTACAAGATATTTGAATAAAGGGTGAATTTGGGGTTCCCCAATGCAAAAAGTGTGATGATCCATGAGGATCCGTGCTTCAAAACCACGTTTTTGAGCCATGGAGTGGCCAGGAAGCCGTGGATCCGTGTTTTTTGTGGTGCAGGCTGTGCCCATGGCCATGATGTGTGATTTGATGGTGAGTTTGGGTTGGCCCAATGCAAAAAGCATGAGGATCCATGAGGATCCGCGCTTCAAAACCATGTTTTTGGGCCACGGTATGACCAGGGAGCCGTGGATCTGAGTTTCTTGTGGTGCAGGATGTGCCCCTGGACATGATGTGTGATTTGACAGTGAGTTTGGATTGGCCCAATGCAAAAAGCGTGAGGATCCATGAAGATCCGTGGTTCAAAACCACGTTTTCGGGCCATGGTATGACCAAGAAGCCGTGGATCCTTTTTTTTGTGGTGCGGGCTGTGACTCTGGCCATGATGTGTGATTTGACGGTGAGTTTGGGTTGGCCCAATGGAAAATGCGTGAGGATCCATGAGGATCCATGCTTCGAAACCACGTTTTTGGGCCACGGTATGGCCAGGAACCAGTGGATCTGAGTTTTTTGCGGTGCAAGCTGTGTCCCATGGCATGAAGTGTGATTTGACAGTGATTTAGGGGTGGCCCAGTGCAAAAAGTGTGAGGATCCATGAGGATCCGTGCTTCAAAACCACATTTTTGGGCTACGGTGTCGCCAGGAAGCCATGGATCCGAGTTTTTTGTTGTGCAGGCTGTGCCCCTGAACATGATGTGTGATTTGACAGTGGGTTGGGTTGGCCCAATGCGAAAAGCATGAGGATCCATGAGGATCCGTGCTTCAAAACCATGTTTTTTGGCCATGGAATGGCCAGGAAGCCGTGGATCCTAGTTTTTTGTGGTGCAGGCTGTGCCCCTTGGTATGATGTGTGATTTGACAGTGAGTTTGGGTTGGCCCAATGGAAGAAGCGTGAGGATCCATGAGGATCCGTGCTTCAAAACCACGTTTTTTGGCCACGGTATGGCCAGGAAGCCATGGATCCGTGATTTTTGTGGTGCAGGCTGTGCCCCTGGCTATGATGTGTGATTTAACAGTGCGTTTGGGTTGGCCCAATGCGAAAAGTGTGAGGATCCATGAGGATCCGTGGTTCAAAACCACGTTTTTGGGCAGTGTTATGACCAGGAAGCTGTGGATCCTAGTTTTTTTTGGTGCAAGTTGTATCCCTGGACATGATGTGTGATTTGACAGTGAATTTGGGCTGGCCCAATGCAAAAAGTGTGAGGATCCATGAGGATCCGTGCTTCAAAACCATGTTTTTGGGTCATGCCATTGCCAGATAACCGTGGATCTGAGTTTTCTGTGGTGCAGGCTGTGCTCCTGGCTATGATGTGTGATTTGACAGTGAGTTTGGGGTGGCCTAATGCAAAAAGCGTGAAGATCCATGAGGATCCGTGCTTCGGAACCACGTTTTTGGGCCATGGTATGGCCAGGAAGCCGTGGATCCATGATTTTTGTGGTGGATGCTGTGCCCCTGGCCATGATGTTTGATCTGATGATGACTTTGGGCTGATCTTGTGCAAAAATCATGAGGATCCATGCTTCGGAACCACGTTTTTGGGCCACGGTATGGCCAGGAAGCCGTGGATCCGTATTTTTTTGTGGTGCAGGCTGTGCCCCTGGATATGATATGTGATTTGACAGTGAGTTTGGGTTGGCCCAATGGAAGAAGCGTGAGGATACATGAGAATCCGTGCTTCAAAACCACGTTTTTGAGCCATGGTATGGCCAGGAAACCGTGGATCCATGATTTTTGTGGTGGATGCTGTGCCCATGGCCATGATGTTTGATCTGATGGTGTCTTTGGGCTGGTCTTATGCAAAAATCATGAGGATCCATGAGGATCCGTGTTTTTTAACCATGTTTTTGCGCCCCTGCGGCCCCACGAAATAGTGGATGCATGATTTTTTTGATGCTGTCTACAGAGTAAGACATGGTCTACAGTATCATGGTGGTTTTATTTAATTTGAATGAAAAAATCATATGAATTCACGAGGATCCGTCTTGATCCGCCTTTTACCTTTTTCCGTTCTGAACTGCATTTTGGGAAAGATCTTGCCAGGCAGCCTTCCCCAACATAGCGCCCGCCAGATGATTAGGACTACAACTCCTATTATTTCCAGCCAGCACAGTCCTCCGAACATCGGGAGGGCAACTGCTGTAAGATCTCATGAAGTGACATCTGAAATACAGGCTGACTTCTGCATCCTCTTGACCCACCTAGAATAGTAATCGCCAAGTAATGTGTGTGTGTGTGTGTGTGTGTGTGTGTGTGTGTGTTCAAACTCTTATGGTTGTGTAATAGTTTGTTGCCTGTACTCTAAACTTATTCTCTCTTTTTCCAGAAGGCAGGGCTAGTAAATTTCAGCTAAACCTTGGGAGCTGACTGCCTTCACAGGGGAAAGGGGTAGATGCTCTGTCACTGGAGATAATTCTTTTAGGGCTGTTGCTGTAGTTGTTTCTTGCACTGCAGATCCTGCATTGAGCAGTGGCTGATTGGAATACATGAATCCTCCTGCTTTGTAATTCCACCTATGGTAATTGCGCCACACCAGCCACTCCCATCATTCCTGACCATTAGCCATGCTGGCTGGGCCTGATGGGTGTTGTAGTCTAAACTGTCTGGAGGACACCAGGTTGGAAAGTCTGTTCCACACTCTAGAAAGGCTCCACTTCTCCACCTGGCTACCTCTAGTGAAATATTGACTAGCTGATGTCTAGCAGTAGATGGTTTTGCATTTACACTGCTATGTTTTAAGCACAACACTTGCTCCTCAGCAGCTAAGAGATTTAAAAAAAAAAAAAGCTGCACAAGCTCCAAGTGTTGATCTTCTTTAAAATGAATTTTATCTGCATGGTGCCTCCATTATGATGGAACATAAGAATAACTCATTCCATGAGTAGTGATTCTCAAGGTCATTTCTTATCTGAGTACAGAGTTTATTATCCAAAGGATAACAGGGACATTATTTTTATTCAGGAGTAACCTCATGACTCCTTGGCCACCCCCAGTTTTTTTTATCTTTGACATTGTCTACTCTTTAGAGTTGTTGAGTTTACCTGGATCATATGTCAGTGTGGTTGAGTAGTCTAAGTGATAGTCCGATCCCTTTCAGGATTAAACATTTCTCATAATTTTGGCTGCAAATTCAATGAATTTGAAACTGAAATTATAATCAGGATCAGGCCAACTACACAAGAAATCCAGGGAGTTATTTGCACTGAAGCAGCTTGAGATCAAAGAGGTTACCCCCAGGATCCTTTGCAGATAATTCTGGGAGTGCATCTCTGGGATTTTTCAGATGCGGCTGCTTGGGGCAGAAAATATCTTAGGCTGGCAAGGAATGGACTCTCTTTTGGAGTTCTTGCAATAAGGGGGGCAAAACTCTGAACTAAAAAAAAAGAAAAAGGGATAATTTTCAAAAATCATCTGTTTAACATGGATCATTGAAGCTGATATGAGGAATGTTGCTAATTGTTCAGATTTCTTCTTGAAATAACTCAGGACTTTTTAGAGTTTCATAAAGAGGGCAAGTTTTCCTTATCATTTCCATATTTGCAAGACCGCTGTGGTCTCATTCATGGGGACTGGGCTGGTTGGGGATGATCAGATAGGCAGGACCCATGTAATTGACTTGATAGGAATGTAAAATGAGCTGTGCAGCTTCCCAACTGCTCCACTGCGCTGACTCTTCCCCTCCTGAGAAAGGCGGTGGTTGAAACTCCATGAAGCTCAGGCATATCTGCATTCTAGGTGACCACCTGGCTGTGTAGCAGCCATTGTAACAGCTGGGGGAGCTACTGCAACAGCTCTGGGATAGAAACTGCATAGCACCCTGTTCTTTCTGCTGCCAAGCATAATAGGGCTGTGGCAGCATAGATGATACTACACGACAGCTAGGCCATATGGCATCACACAACATTACACCGGAAAACTTGAACATCAGGAAACAGTTTCTGTCTCAGTAGCTGTTGCGCCAGTTTATCTAATTTTCTGAAACTTGGGCGTTCCATCCTGAACCCACTAGCTGCTACTGCTCCCCAATACTGTCAGATATTATCTGCATGTGTTACTTCCCACTACACCCTTCTCTGAAGGCTCAGTGGTAGGTCATGTGCTTGCAGGCAGAAGTTTGTCTAACTTTCAGAAACTGGGGCAGGTCATGCCTAGATATCCCGAAACTGCAAGCTACAAACTAGACACTATGCAAGGAGGAACTACAGCTGCATCCTGCCTTTCTTTACCCTTTAATCCTCCCATGGATGTTTACAAACCTGTTTGGCCTTGAGACCAAGGCTGCTTGTCAATATGTGCTTTGGCCTTGTGCTATGGTTTCAATCTTTGGAATGACTTTAGCGCTTCAGGAGTAGTAGGACTGGAAGGCGGCTCATATTTATTTGATGGCATATATGATGATGAACTGCTGGGCTGGAACCTATGAATCTGCCTCACACCAGGTCTGGCCAATGCTCCATCTAGTGCTGTATTGTCTACATTGATTAGCAGCAGCGATCTAGGATTTCAGAAAGATTCAAGGAATCTTTCACAACTCTACCTGAAGATGCTGGGGGGTTGAACAAGAGGCCTTCTGAATGCAAGGCAAATGATCTTCCACTCAGCTATATCCTCCAAGGGCTATGCAGATCGGAAAGGCAGGGGATCTAGATAATATCTGATAGCACAGGAGAGCATTGTGCTGGTAGTAGCTAGAGGCTCTTGGATGGAATGAGAGCACTTTGAGTCATGTGTTGTACTGTAAAGTTTGGATCATGTTGGACAACTGATTGTACTGTTCAAGTAGGGGTGTCTTCGGATAATTACACCTTTGCTTAATAGACTGAGATGTGCACAAGTGCTTTGTTCCCCTTCTCTCATCCCTTCGTGATCCATCTCAGTGAAATGTAGTTTCGTGTTCCATCCTACACCTGGAAACTAGGGTTATCATCTTTGGAAATGAGCCAAGATCTCAAATCACAATCTGAGGCAGTTCAAGATTTCAGCTTGTTCGAAATAGGTCTACCATCATTTACCGGTTTGGACATGACAGTAAGCCATGGTTAATTGGAGACTTGCTCATTTCACTGAAGCATGCTGTGAAGCAAAAAGCGAAGAGGGTTGTGGAGTGGGGTTGCTGTTACCTTCAATAACCTTCTTATTGAAAACTACTATTATTTGCTCTCACTCTGCAGCATTGATTTATTGATCGGTAGTCATGAAGCTCATAGCGTCTGTACTGCTTGCGGCCTTAGTCATCACCTCCCTGGCCCTGGAGAATGGGCTCATGAGGACGCCTCCAATGGGGTGGCTTGCATGGGAACGATTCCGTTGCAATATTGATTGCAAGACTGATCCACAGAACTGCATCAGGTAAGTGGAAGAGCCTTGGAAGCTCTGCAGCTTAAACATGTGCGGCAGGGGCAAGGGAGGGGAGGAGTGAAGTCCCCTTGCATTTCACACAAAGCTGGATCTGTTTTGCAGGAAGGATGCCTCGAGGAAGGCCCATTTTACTTTCCGTCCATCTCTATTTTATGCTGCCATCTGACTACCCACTAGCTGTGCTCCACTTTTCAACTTTACATTAAAAAACAAACAAACTGGTGGTAGGCTTGATGAATTCTGACGGGCCTGTCAAGGAGGGGGTCGCTTTCCCAAGTCCTCCCTCCAAGCTACTAATCACTCACAGGCACCGAACGGGTTATTAGGCCTTATTGACATATTCTCTGGCACCAGCTACAGAACATCAAACAATAGTCTCATCTATGACATGTTCTCTCCTCCCCTCGGCAGGTTAATTTGAATATTTATAGGGGCTGGGGAATCCTGGCAGCCAGCCAGCCCCATCACCTGCTCCCACTTGGGGGACTAATTCTCACCACCTGCCTGAGGGGCCCCACCCAGCGATACCTGCTTACAGAATCACTACTTCATGACAGGGCCAGGCACATTTCCCCTGACATCATCTCTGCTATGTTCAATGTGGAGAAATAAAAGGGCAGCGAGTTTATGTTTTACATTGGGAGGGATGTTTGCTGAGTGGAGTTTACTTCTGTGTAAACATTAGAAGGATCTTGACCATGAGGAAGAGCACTGCTGGATAATACAACATTATGTTCAAGTGCTTGCTAAGAAATCTTGTTTATTTGAATAAAGATTTAATACTGTGTAATGTATTCTGACGTTGGCATTGTAACGCACATTTATTTGTAATGCACATTGTGTTTGATGTGGGAAGTTTTTGTCTGGTCTGGACAAAGTCTGTTTAACTGTTGCTTGAGGCCTGAACTGGCATCTGTATGTTCAAATTCTCGGTATGCTAAAGAAGGAGAGAAGGAATATATAACTCACTTGCTAGGTGAAACTTTAGACTTTTCAGTGAGACGGTGTCTGGTACGAAAGCCAGAGGGAAGATATCCGGGGCACAACAAGACAAACCCACAGAAAAGGGTTGGAAAAAGAGGATTCCAGCACGGCCTTCAGTTATTGTGTATGACAGGCACAACTGAGGTGGAGAAGATAAAAGGACAATCAGGCTAAAGCTGTCTTAGATTAACATTAATAGTTGAATAGAAGCAGTTGGTATTTAAAGTGGCAGCAACAAGTTGACAAAGCATATGCTCATTTAGAGAAACAATCCTATATTTAAATCACCAGAGAAGCTTGGGGACTTAATCTTGTAATAAATAAACATAAACAGCTTTGTTAAACTTAACATTTGTATATGACTGTCTTTGTACCGTGCCTGTACAGTGGTACCTCTGGTTAAGTACTTAATTCATTCCAGAGGTCCATTCTTAACCTGAAACTGTTCTTAACCTGAAGCACCACTTTAGCTAATGGGGCCTCCTGCTGCCGCTGCGCCACCGGAGCACAATTTCTGTTCTCATCCTGAAGCAAAGTTCTTAACCCAAGGTACTATTTCTGGGTTAGCAGAGTCTGTAACCTGAAGTGTCTGTAACCTGAAGCGTATGTAAGTGTTCAGAGGGGGGAAAGGAGACTGAATAGTGGCAGTGGCATGGGTTTAGGAGAACCATTGGAGAGGGAGTTTTGTTATTGTACATTAAGTACATAAAATAAAATATGAAATGCAATACGAAACTTCCATTTTAATTTGTTGTACAGTGGTGCCTCGCAAGATGAAATTAATTCGTTCCGCGAGTTTTTTTGTCTTGCGATTTTTTCGTCTTGCGAAGCACGGTTTTGGAAAAGTTTTGGAAAAGCTTCAAAAATCACCAAAGTCTTCAAAAACCTCAAAAAAGGCTACCACACCACGTGCTATGAGTTGCTCCTCAAAGTCAAGTCGCAACTGTATTAACGGTTTTAAGAAAAAGGAAACAAACTTGCAAGACGTTTCCGTCTTGCAAAGCAAGCCCATAGGGAAAATCGTCTTGCGAAGCAACTCAAAAAACCAAAAACCCTTTCGTCTTGCGAGTTTTCCGTCTTGCGAGGCATTCGTCTTGCGAGGTACCACTGTACAGCTGTGGAAGCTCTCATGGGCAAAGCTTGCCACCTGTTGGTGAAAATAGGCAACTGCATGCTTGCCTTGGTTGTACAGGCCTGCGTGGGTGCTCTCTTCCGTGTTGTTCCCTGTGGCCACAAATAGTTCAGGGTCACTTGGATGTTGTTTTTAACTTGCTTTTCTCTTTGTGGGGCAGTGAAAAACTCTTCATGGACATGGCGGATCGCCTGGCAGCAGACGGCTGGAGGGAGCTGGGCTATGTGTATGTCAATATAGACGATTGCTGGATGGCAAAACAGCGAGATTCAACAGGGCAGCTGATTCCAGATCCTGAGAGGTTCCCTAGTGGCATCAAAGCCTTAGCAGATTACGTGAGTGATCCATAACTCCTGATGGTGAAGCAAGATCCGGGGCATCTCCCATCCGTGGTTTTTAAGAATGTATTTTGTGCTTTTATATATTGATTTGATTCTGTGAATCGTTCCGAGACCTGCGGATATAGGGCGGTATATAAATTCAATCAGTCCATCAACAAGAATCCCCTTCTAGCCATCAGTAGTGAGGACTAAAAAACTTGTGAAATCACGAGTCCCCAAAGCAACCAGGTCCTCTTCCTTCAGTGGCTTCAACTTGCTTATTCAGAGTAGCCTGCAGAACATTCCCTCCAGTTCAAAAGCAGCTTTCATTTAATTCTAGCATCCTTGATCTCCCGGGCCCACCTGGATTGTGGCAAGAAAGGTAATAACAACAGTTGCTTGGGCCATCATCCCTAAACCTAGACATGTGGAGAAGCAGAATATGAACCAGGCAGCCGTTGGATTCAGGGGGCAGAGTTGCCCATGATCATCTTCATCATCATCATTTTATTATTTATACCCTGCCCATCTGGCTGGGTTGCCCCAGCCATTCTGGGCAGCTTTCAGAACGCATAAAAAACATAAGCATCAACCATTAAAAACTTCCCAATACAGGGTTGCCTTTAGATGTCTTCTAAAACTTGTGTCGTTCTTGATCTCCTTGACATCTGATGGGAGGGGGATCCACAGGGAGGTGCTGTCCAAATCACAAATATTTGCTGTTAGTTGTATCCAGTTCCCACCTGGCTCATGCTTGCCTTTCTGCAGTCATGGGAATGCATATAGTTAAACTGTGGAACACACTCCCACAAGAGGCAGCGACCGTCCCTAACTTGGATGGTTATCAATGGTTGCTAGCCATGATGGCTGTATTCTCCCTCTGTGGTTGGAGGCAGTAATACCAGTTTCTGGAAACCACAGGGCAGGAGAGTTGGCCACGGTTGACCAGGCATTTGATTGGCCACAGTGAGAACACAGTGTTGGACTAGATGGGCCATTGGCGTGATCTAGCAAGCACTTCTTTTGTTCTGATGCTCATTTCTGAACTACGCTGAGCGTAGGAGAAAAGTCCTGTGCAAAACAGCCCCAAAGCATGTACTGGATGTAGGAATCTCCATTCGACCGAGCTGATAAGGCTCATCTTCGGAATCGCCTCCCGACGATTAATTGACAACCTGATCCTTTGATAAGGCCTTAGGCATGTCGTCCCAGCAGTTCCCAAAACAGCATGCGGAAGAGACAAGAGGTTTGGGCTACATTGTTATGCTTTATTTTCTAGCTACGCAGAGAGCAAAGAAATATACATCCTCTCCCTGTGAGAGCAGAGAGCAACTGAACAAAGGAACAAAGGAAACAGGAAACCACTAACGTCACATCCTGTCTCCCTTTCCCGTGAGACTGCAAGGTCTCTGGAATGTAAACAGAGTCCTGTGACTCCCAGCAGCTGCTCAGTGAGAAACAGAAACTAGCACTGGATATGGGTCCCATAAGCTCTGAACATGGGCTGCGAGTGAGAGATGGGGAAATTATGAGGAATTTTCTCCATATTAGCTCTATTCCAGAGTGAGCAGTACCAAGCATCCACTGTAAGCTTTTGGGTGGTTTTTCATTGAGTTGTAATAACTTTCTGCTGCCAAGATCCTATATGAGGCCAATTATTTTGACATTGGTATCATCAAAAATATTCAGTAACATTAATTTTGGACAATAAACAATTGTTTCTTTACAAATAGTTCTGTCAAAATCGAATTCCAAAAATCTTGCACTAACTGCCATTCAGTCCACCATAAATGATAATAGGTACCAAGTTTATTGCAAGCCCTCCAAAGAATTTTCTGATGCGGAAATAAAACATTTTTGACATTTGCAAAGAAGTCCTATACCATCTGTGTAATAATATTACGGCGTTTTCCCTAAGAAAACTGGAAACAGGTTTTAAGGGCCGAATCTGATTTTACAAGTATTTTATCGTTCCCACACTGATCATGTAGCTATGTTAACTAATGATATTTTTAATCATAGTTAAACACACTCCAGAGTATCCCCTAACCTCCAAATTGCAAATCTGGTATTCCATTTTTCTGTTATCAAAATGGAAGTGTCATAGTGGCAGAAAGTATGCGAGGGTAGAGAGTCTTTGTGCTGAGCACCTCCATGTGCAGGTGTATTTTGATGCGTTGAATAGAATGATAGTTTATGAGTCATGGCAGAGGGGAGAGCATGTGTACAAATTCAGCTGGTATTTGTTTGTTTTGTTGCTTTTTAAAAATGCTGTTAATATTATTTTATAGATATGAACGCTGTAGTACTTTGTGAATCCTATAATATGATTTTTAATTAATAAATACAAATTGGACTATAATTTGATATTTTTATTTTACTTTATTATTTTTTAATTCAAGTATTATGATTGGATATTTAATTGGATGTTTTTATTGGAAAATCAATAAAAATGATTCTTTAAAAAAAGAATCCTATAATATGATTTTTGGTGTAACACTGATGTTTAGCTTTTTTTTAGTTGTTTTGTTAATAGAGGGTAATTGCTTTATTTGTGATTTGCGATGGTTTTGCTGATGATTTGTTAAGTATTTTATGCGATTTATGCTGTATTTCATTGTGATGTTTCATTATATATGTAATTTTTATATTTTGTTTGTAAGCCGCTTTGGGATTTATTTGAGTGAAAAGCGGGGTAGAAATAGAATAAAAGTAAATAAATAAAAATGGGGAAAGACACTCAAGCATGGCAACACACCAGCTGCTTTGACTGGTCGACGTTACAGTTTGTCCATGGGAGTCCCCGTCCATCTTTCAAGTTCTTCTTTCTTTTTGTAGGTGCATGCCCGGGGCCTGAAGCTCGGCATCTACGGTGACTTAGGCACCCATACTTGTGCAGGGTATCCCGGCACAACGCTGGACTTGATTGAGCAAGATGCCTCGACATTTGCCCAGTGGGGAGTGGATATGCTGAAGCTAGATGGCTGCTATTCTTCAGCATGTCAGCAGGCTAAAGGTAAGGACTGAGGCTTCCTCATTGCCTCTGTTCGCTTTATCCTGCCCCCTTCAGTGCTCCATCTCCATCATGCCTGGGCCTAGACTGACCCCGGCTGCTTGATCTTGATCTTGCTGTTAAAAAAATTATTTGAATCCGCTTTTGATCTGTGTGTTTCTCAGATACAGTGGTATCTCGGGTTACATACGCTTCAGGTTACATACGCTTCAGGTTACAGACTCCACTAACCCAGAAATAGTACCTCGGGTTAAGAACTTTGCTTCAGGATGAGAACAGAAATCATGCAGCGGCAGCGCGGCAGCAGTAGGAGGCCCCATTAGCTAAAGTGGTGCTTCAGGTTAAGAACAGTTTCAGGTTAAGAACGGACCTCCAGAACGAATTAAGTTTTTAACCCGAGGTACCACTGTGTGTGTGTGTGTGTGTGTGTGTGTGTGTGTGTTAGTTACACAAGGTGTCATTCATTATTATTATTTTTTAAATCTGGTTTAAGAGGAAATCTGAATTTAATACAATTGTGTTATAAGGGTGCTATCTAAATCATTGTCAGGGTAGACTCATTTAAATCAGTGAACAAGTTTATTGATTTCAGTGGGTCTGTTCTGTCACTAACACTGGATATCATGTTATGTCTAGATATTCTTTTTAAACCAGAATCATGGCCATCTTTAAAAACATGCTAACTGAAAGGCATTTTTTTTTCATTTAAAAAATGGAGTGGGGAGAGAAATAACTTGATTTCTGAGTTATATATATAAAACACACAATATGCCTCATCTTGTGTTTTTTATTGTGGGGTTTCAATTGGATCCAAGTAATCACAAGGGCAAGAATACAGGAGACGGCATTGTGTACCTCACCAGAATTATCCTTGGAACCCAAATAGATTTTCTTGTTTTCCAGTTTCCATGCCTGCCCCCTTGCAACTTGCTCAGTTTTCAAATTATGAATATTCTTTATCCCTAAAAGGTTATCCTAGAATGTCCAGTGCTCTGAACGCAACAGGCCGCCCCATTGCCTATTCCTGTAGCTGGCCAGCCTATCGAGGGGGACTTCCGCCCAAGGTGAGGCCTTGCTGAAGAGGCTTTGGGGCTGAGGTCACCTCCTTGGTCCTTTAAAGCATGTTCAGAATTTTGACAATTTGGGTGGAGTGAGCAGGGATCCACAAATCTATGCCCACCACTGGCCACCAATCAAATGCTTCTTAAGCTGATGAGAGACAGGCAAGACTTCCAGTCTGACCTTGTGCTACACTTTTGTAAGCACTCTGGAAACAGCTCAGCTGACAAGGAGCAAGACCTCAGTCCTCCCTGACTCATCATTCCATATCCACAAAGGCAACCATAGGGGCGAGGGGAGGGGTAGAATAAAAAGCCTCCAGGACAACATCTATGATAGTTTGTGTCTCCTTCAAGATCAGGATAGGTTATTTTGATTCCCCCTATATTATCCTCACAATAACCTTGTGAGGTAAATTAAGCTGGTAGTTGATGACTAGCTGAAGATCCTCCAGTAGGCTTCATGGCTGACCAGGGATTAGTAACTGACCTAAGTCCAACACGCACACTGCTTTTTATTTTATTTTTACAGTGTAAATTAGCCAAAAAGTGGTTTCTCTTTGAGTGGTTTTGTCCAAGCGGAGTACAGTAACTAGAACAGTGTTTCCCAAACTTGGGTCTCAAGCTGTTTTTGGACTACAATTCCCATCAGCCCTGACCACTGCTTCTGCTAGTTAGGAATGATGGGAGTTGTAGTCCATCCACAGCTGGAGATGCAAGTTTGAGAAACATTGAGCTATTAGGGAAAAGAAGAGGAGGACATTATCTGCCAATGTGAGCTTCCCATGGGCTTCTTGTTGGCCGTGTGGGACAGAGAGTGCTGGACTAGTTAGTTGGCCAGTTGAAAAAAGCATGGCTGGATCATCTATTGGCACCATTTCTGTCTGTTGATAATCCTAGTTTGCAGCACCTGTTTTGGGATACTGCTTCAGGGTGCAATATTACTATTTGTGGTCAGTTTCCCCATACTTTTTGTGCTGGCTGGGGCTTATGGGAATTGTAGTCCAAAACATCTGGAGGGCACCAGGGCACTAGACATGGTGATGTTGAGCAGAGGAGATTAACATTGAAGCTAGAAGAGAGATGGTCTCAGAATTTCTAACGCTAGAAAAACTGCACCTCGCCCTCTGTTTCTCCAAAGGGTAAAGTGTACAGCTCTATTGGTAAATAACTCATTTCACATCTTTTTTCCAGGTGAACTACACACTCCTGGCAAACATATGTAATCTCTGGCGAAACTATGGTGATATACAAGACTCTTGGGAGAGTGTCCTCTCCATAGTGGATTGGTTCTCGGCCAATCAGGATGCACTTCAGCCAGTGTCTGGCCCTGGCCATTGGAACGACCCAGACATGGTAATGCTGAATTGAGGAGCTTAACATGAAAGCTAGGAGAGAGGGAGAGAGACTGTCTCAGGATTTCTAAAGTTAGAAAGATGCAGCAGAGACTCTTGTTGGCAGGAATTCCTCTGCTCTCAACATCTTGCGTAGAAGGGCTGAAGCCTGTAAGTTAAGTGATTTAGCTGGCTTTTGTGTTTCTTTTTGGGAATCCTTCAGTCTACTGCAATCCCCATCCTTCTACCCTGGGTTGTTTATAGCCTTCCCTTCTGTGACCTCTAAATGTTTTGCAAATAAACATATGTTGCATCATTTATTCTGTAAGGTGTGGAGAGTCAAAGAGTTCCGCATGACACAGAACTTCCCTCCCCCAAGAAATCTCTCATCTTCATGCAAACATACAGATTTTTTGGCTTCTGAAATGTTTACCAGTCTCCACCCGTTTTCAGGTTTTTTCTTTCGAGCCTTCAAAATTTACAGTAAACTGTGAGGTTCCCTGGATGCTGTGCATGGCAGCCATTTCTGATCTTGTGCACTTGGTCGCTGAAAATATATCTTAGAACATCTTTAGAAACATGTCCAATTGGTGATGTGCATATAGTCCAGCGGCGTGCGGTCATTGGACTAAGGGAACTATGCTAGTCCCCTAAATGTTCGCCTGGTGCCTCCTTCCCAAAGCCCAGGAAGCTTCTGCCTGGCTTAGGGAGGCGTGTTGCCCATGTGTGCAACATCAGGACTTCACAACATCACACACATGGCATCGACCCCCCATGTCCCTCGCAAGCGAGCACCTCTGGCCCTAACTGTTCCCCTATGAAAAATTTCACTGCATGCCACTGATATAGTCCTAGTGGCCTGTGCACGCAGCGCCTGGACTAGATTTACCTTTTAAAACAGCATTTCTCAGAACATGCTGTACAGAAGTGCTGCTGAGAGAGACTAATATTTCACATCCTCCAATTCAAAGCAAATTGTATTGTGATTTTAAACCAGATATTTATAGATTTTAATTCAGGTTTGATGACTGGAAAAAAGAAACACGTCTGCCCAATCACAGTGAAGTGAACTAGCTTTTCTGATTTCTGTTCGGTGAACTGGAGCAATGTTCTTCAACCTCGGGTCCCAAGATGGTGTTGGACTACAACTCCCATCATCCCTGACCATTGTCTAAGCTGGCTGAGGATGATGGAAGTTGTAGACCAGCAGCATCCCAGGAAGCAAAGTTGACAAATACTGAACTAGAGCCTTCTCTGAATCAAGCCATCACCTCCTTTTACTTTCATCCTTCACTTCAATCTCATCCTTAGTTTCAACCTCCTTCTTTGTCCTGCAGCTAATCATTGGAAACTTTGGCCTCAGCTATGAACAGTCCCGCTCCCAAATGGCCTTATGGACTGTCATGGCTGCTCCCCTTTTCATGTCCACGGACCTCCGCACCATTTCTGAGCAAGCACGAGAAATTCTACAGAACAAACTGATGATCAAAATTAACCAAGATCCCCTGGGAATTCAAGGACGCAGAATCCTTCAGGTAGGGAAGGACTGGATCCTGTAGCTCAATAGATAAGCATAGCCTGTAAACCTTTGGAGCTGGGAGTGCTGTCTTCTGCTTTTTGATCTGAGGGGGAGTGGTAACTTGAGCCACATGTGGGTAGTTCATTTTATATCCTGACTTTCTTCCAAGGCATATAATCTTAAAGGGTGCAGTTAGACTCTTGTGCACTTTTTTCTGCAGCGTATTTACAGAAGTAGACCTACAATTTAGACCGTACTGAGCACTGTTTGCTATTGGTAGCACTGTTTGCTATAGGTAACAATATCCCCTGTTTCCAGCCACTTAACAATTTGCAGTGTTCAATCCCTGGTATCTCTAGGGAGAGCTAGGGTAGATTTCTGTCTGAAACACTGCCAGTCTGTGTAGATAATACTGAGGCAGATGGACCAATGGCCTGATCCAGTATAAGGCAGCTTCCTCAATTCCTTGTGTGTCCCAGAGGAGTGTTTCCGTTATTGGCACGTAACTTCAATCTGCTTTTGTAGGAGAAATCTCGCATAGAGGTGTTCTTGCGCCCCCTTTCCCAGTCAGCCAACGCTCTGGTTTTCTTCAGTCGGAGGACAGACATGCCGTATCGCTACACCGCGTCCCTCACCCACTTCAATTTTACCCAGAATGCTGTGTATGAGGTAAGAAAGAGACAAGGCTTATCAGTATCTTGGAGTAGTCCCTATCCTTGCACACCAGCAGGGCTGCTTCCTGTCCTGTGTAGAGGGAGGAAGGAGGCCTTTGGGGTGCAGACTCCACACACATCATCTTCAAGAACCTGTATGTTAATGGTGTGTCTCAAAGAGTCTCTGCATTACCAAGGAGAAATCTCACTCTCAGCCTTCCAACCTTGAGGCCCCTCCCTCTAGCATTCATCTTCCCCTTGCCTACCTTGGATTAGGCCTGATGGATAGACACGACAGAGCAGCAATGTAATAAGTGCTTTGAATAGAGCCACACTGGTGTTGCTTCTCTGCATGGCCCACAGATTTGTGATTTGGCTATGCAAATGTTTGTCTTTTGTGTTTGGGGCAGATAGCGGAGTTAAAATTAGCATGGAGCTCTTTACCCATGGTGCATTTGCCCCACAGAGCAGCCTTCACCACAATTTACATTTTTTAAAGGTCACCATATCCTTGTTGCTTCTTTTACCAGTGAGCTGTGCATTTGCAGCAGTATCAAGAATACTACTGCACAGCAAGCTATAATGCAAACCAGAAACTCACCATCAGAGTTTGTTTGAGGTGGAGGGGTGGCGCAAAACAATGAGATGGGGAATTAAGTTTTCTATCATTTTAAAATCCATCTTGTAGATTGCTTTAGCACTTTTCCATTTGTCTGCTATCATGGCTGTGAAATAGCAACTGTATCTGGTATGTTCAAAGCAATGTATCCATGTTCGTTCATTTATCTGTATACGTATAATATACATCCCCACAGTTAACTATGTCCTGTCACAATGATTCCTTCTGTTTCAGGCACAGGATGTGTACAGTGGTCAAATTATCACTGGCTTGAAGGCTGCCGATAACTTCACAGTGGTCATTAACCCCTCTGGAGTAGTCATGTGGTTTGTCTACCCAACAACATACCTTGGCCAGCCGTCCAGCTTTGTGAAGCAGCTGCCTGAAGCCAGGAAGTTCCATCCTTCTGCCATGTGATGCCAAAAGGCCAATCGCTAGCTGCTACGATTTCTCAGCAAGTCAGGCCAGGTGCGAAAGTGATGGCACCTCAAAATGGGGCAGGTGGGTGGGGTCAGAAGGGGGATTTTACACATGCAGTGTAAAAACTGAGACAATGCACCATTTACCTCCAAGGTGCTACTGCCTGATTCTATAGATCCACTTGGAAGTTAAGTCTTAACTTGCACCACAGAGTTGCAGCCAAATGCTTTGAAATCATTGGAAATTTAAGTTTAGATCATCTTAAAACAGTATATGGAAATTTAAGATATTCATGTCAGTGAAAACTAACTTGCCTGGAATTTTCCAAAATTGGTCTGAAAAAATCTAATTAAGCTTCAAATTAACCATTTTCTTCTTTCTTTTCTCCTCCATGCTGCAAGTATTTTACCTGTTGTAGTATCTGAGGCAGTTAGGTTTCATAGTGGAGCACATGGAGAGACACCCAAACACTCTTATCCATATCCAAGACCTACTAGAACCCACAACAGCAATTCACATCTTTGAATGTATAGTTGTAGACACCACTCTTATGATCCTTTCTTCATGCTGAGAGTACCAATTGTGAAAGCTAGCATTTCAGGTCACAGGGATCTAGTTAGTCTTTTCCTTGACATGCTAGCATATCAGCAAGGCAACTTATGGAAACAGTCAAAATAGGCTTGCATGCATTCAGGAAGGATTTATCACGTTGCTGAACAGTTTTGGGTTTTAGGAATATCAGTGCCCTTCTATTTCAGACAACAGATCCATCTGGTTCAACTTCCTGGAAGCAAAGGCAACACACCTCTTCTGTCCCCCCCACCTGTTATTCAAAGGCTATTCTTGGGCTAAAGACAACCTCACCTATTACAAAATTGTTATAGGAAACACGCGTATATATGGATTAACATTAATTGTACACACAGATGTTCATGCAAGTCTTTTATGACTTTAAATCAGGGTTGTTGATTTTTTAAAAAACAAGCAGTATATAAATTTTGTGAAATAAAATAAAGACTTGTTTTATAATCTCAGCCTCTGTTTTAACTTCTTAGGCTAAAATGAACTATAACATTTTTTTAAGTTTTCATTTCATTTACTTTGTGAGCCACCCAATTTTTTTTCTTATGGGGTGGTTATTTATTCAATACGTTTATACGAGGTAAAAAAGGTGGAAGTGTAACAGTGGGAAACTTCAGTTGTACAGAGGCAGAACTGGAGCTGAAGGAGCCTTTGGGACTGGTAAAGCTGCTATAAAATACACCCCAGAAATCTAAGAAGGGCAACCTTATCCAAAAGAGGCAGTAACTTGGGGTGACAGATTTCAGGATGGCCGCTATCTTCCTATTGTCATCTGTGGAGGGGACGGGAAATATGCAAAATAAGTAGATTTAGATCTGTTTTAAGAGCATTTCCCCAACATGCTATTTTAAAAAAGCCAGAAGTGGCATGCTAATCAAAGCAAGGCACAGGAGCAGATTCCATATGCAAGCTATTATTTTTGCAGCAGTTTGTTAGGATCCACAATGCAACTTAGTCAGACATACTCAAATTAGGGTTTAGTGAACTCAGCATCTCCTTTGACTAATGTAGGGTCCTGCACGTGCTGTATAGCAATGAAAACTACAGGTTACCAAAGGTGCTTCAAACTGGTGGCAGCCACAATCTAACATGAATATTATAGGCTACCACTTGATGAACCAGCTGTCACCACTATCATTTTACCTTCTGCAATCATTTTTTATTTGTCACAATGAAAAACGACCATATAAAACCACCTTTCTGCTTGTGTCAAGGTCTTTTTGTCTTAGGTTATCCACCTACCTCTAGAAGTATATTTTATAGGAATCAGATAAAGGACAAAGAACTGAATAGCAGTTTAAAATGGAATGATTAATGCTGTGTGTCAAGTTCTGGAAAGCCTCACGTACTTCTCAACCTGATTTTTTTCTGTTTGTATATAAACCCCAGATCTCCCTTGATAACTGAACTGAAAGGGAATCATTCATGGGCCCACTCCTCCCTTTATATCCAAGATGAGGAACCTCTAGCCCTCCAATATTGCTGGACTACAATTCACCCTGCTGTCTGGGCTGATGGGAGCTGGAGTCCAAGAATATATAGAGGACCAGGCCCCAGGCTGGCTTCAAGTCATTCTACTAGAATGAGATCCAACTCCTCAAAGAACCCCGTGCCTTTACTTGATGTGTGTGTGTTCTAGTAAGGCATCCAGAATTATTCTCACATGTTTCCTGTTCACTTCGACAAATGGCAGCTACCGTATTTTTCGCCCTATAGGACGCACTTTTTCCCCTTCAAAAATGAAGGGGAAATCTGTGTGCGTCCTATGGGGCGAATACAGGCTTCAGGAAGCTATCAGCAAGCCTGGGGAGCCCGCAGGAGTTCCCGCAGGGCTCCCCACGCTGCGGATAGCAGCCTGCCACCCGGCGCGCGCTGAAGCAGAGCGCCCCGCGCTTCTGGTAGACATCGGCCAGCCCCACAAGCTTGGGGGACAGCGGGGAGGCGCAGCGCCGCCATCCCGCTGTTCCCCGACCTGGTTTTGGGGGGGGAAATAAAGGGAATTTTTTTTCCTTTATTTCCCCCCCAAAAAAACTAGGTGCGTCCTATGGGACGGAGCATCCTATGGGACGAAAAATACAGTATATTACTTGTTTTGCATGTTAGTTCTTCGAATGCCATGCCAGAACAGTAGTTAATACAACTCCTTTAGGAAGAAACTCTCCTCCCCCCTCCCTCTGACATGCACACAAAAAACCAGGTTGTCCACACCATCACCACAGATACAAATATAAAGATTTCAATACTTCTGTATTAAAGTGCAATCCAAAAATATTACAGAGGAAACTATTAAGTTATGGAAAGTGGTTAAGCTTCTTGGATTTAGATTAAAATGGTTATTAGAAAATGTCACCCTATGCCTGCTATACTGAGTAATATTCTCAGTTACTAAAGGGAAGATGGTCAGAAAGGGATCCATGAATAGAAACTAGTATGAGTGGTTCTTGCAAAATATAGCCTCTTTAGAGAGGAAAAGATATCCTAAGAGATTAGGCTTTACTTAAGTTATATTTTCCATTATATGTAGAGCAAGAGTTCTCTTTGGAACAGATAAGAGGGGGGATTATCATGTGAAAAATAAAAGTTAAACCAGCGACATCTTATGTAAGCAACCACAATATTGTGTGCTGCTTGCTGGCAAACATCCTTTTAGCCCTTCCTAACTCATTTGCCATCTCTTCCAACTTTGTTCAAAAGCAAGTCTGACATGCCTTTCTCTATTTCAAAGTGAGTTTCAATACTTCCTCTCACCCACATCATTCACCATTTAGCCCTTTCTAGTTACATTAGTGCCTAGCTCAGCTGGCTGAGCAAGGAGAAATGGCTTCACTATCTCTCAGGAGTTTGCTAGAATAGCTCTTTTCTATAAAGTACTCTCCTATTAAACAGACTCTGCTGCACTTGCTGCTACTGGGTACCAAGCCATTCTGGACCTGGATTGGGCTGGTTTCCAGGAGACCAAGACATTCTGCTTGGGTTGTGTTTCCAGAATGCTTGACAGGTGGGTTGCTCTTCTTTCTGTACCCTATACTTTTTGCTTAGCTTCACCCCTCAACTCCAAACTACTAATTTCATAAAGCCACATCTTTGGTTCCAGTTCAGATAAATTGATCCTTTCCAGGTTTCTCAGCTGCACTAGGAATTAGATGAGCAGACAGATAGTCTGGCCTCTCTTGAATGTGAGACCTTCTCAATGTCCCCTATACCAAAAGACAGGATACACTTTTAGAGACACTGATCCAACAGTCAAAAGAGAAAGCAGAAGAGAAACCTATTACATGTTATTTCACATGATTGTAAGTTTCCACCAGGCATCCCTTTGCAAGGGATAGGTTGCAAAAGTGTAGAGAACATGTTTGTTGCAGAGCCAGATGCAGTTACATCATGATAAGTTGGAGATGCACCGACAGATTCAAAAAGACAGCTACTGGTTAGCCCTTTGGTTGCTTCCCCAGGCCATCTTTTTATACATCACTGGAGATTTCCCCATAAGTCCTCTCTGCTACTTTCCTAGAAAATAAGATAAGCCTCCAGATATTTATAGAATTCCGTCTCATGCATTAAACTGCATGGGAATTTTTTTTTTAATGCATGGAGTTAACGCAGTTGTAACATGCCAAACTGATGCTCACAAGCAGAGATGCATGGAAGCAGAATACTCCTGTCATATTCCTATCTGTGTGTCATTATACGAGTGTTTTTGTCCCATACAAAGAGCTTCAGTATTTCATTCCTACTTATGTGAAGTGGCTTCATTTGCATTATGCATATTTCACCTCTCCTGTCAAACCAAGGGCTAAAATAGTCATGGCTGTTCTATTCTGGTCTCAGGAGAGAAAGCAAGTACTCAGGAAAGCAATACTGTCACTGCTCTTTTGTATTGCCATGAGGAAAGTTTCAAGAACAGCGGGTGTTGAAGAGTCACCCAACATCGTGCAGGTTAGTGACACAGGATGACCTAGAGTATACAGAACCAAGAGGAGGCGGCAGCAATGGCAAAATCTTCTAGGACAAAAACATGGGAGGACAGCCCCTGGGCTCTTCTCAGTTATTCTTCTTCTCCTCAGGTGGTGAATAAGGAGGTGGTTGATCCTAAATTAAATGGAGACAGCATTAATGTGGCACATCCACTGTACATGGGACGCCTTTTTTTACAAAACACATCAAAACTTTGCTCATTTCATAGTTTCAGCACACTATCATCATGCTTGGGGGGCCATCATGTTCAAATGGGCAAGACATCTAATATGAGGGTCCTCAACCCACAAGGTATCTTGTTCTTCTCTCAATACAAGTTTAAGTCTAGTACCCCCTAGCAATACACTTTAAGATGGAGTACACAATTTTATATAATCTGCACATGCCAATGATAGAATGGCACTTAACACATGGCTGCAATGGCACCTTTTTTTTAAAGGCGGGGTGCACTCCGGATTGTCTAAGTAGTGTAATTTAACTAATTTAAGGTTTACTTTGTTTTAATGCAGCCTTTCCCCCCTAGAATTCAAGACACTCTCTCTCTCTCTCTCTCTCTCTCTCTCTCTCTCTGTGTGTGTGTAAAACTTCCACTGAAATGGCTCTTTATCGCAGCTTTATAGCTTACTGAGAGTGACACAGAACATTAATCACATATACTAAAAACCAAGCAAGAACAAAAACCTAGTAATACAAATGAGGTTATTACTTGTAACAAAAATTGTCTTGTTGGCTGCCAGTACAGGTTAAAGAAATAAGCTACAGTGAGCATTTCTCACATTATTCCAAGATAGCATCAAAGCTAAAAGGAGAAGTGGGTCAATCAAATAATCTTGTACCAAGAAAGTGGATGCCATCTTGTGTCAGATTTGGATGTATTTGAAGCAAATTATGAAACTGCAATATGTTTCATAGATTCTGATTTGCCTCTTGTGGATTTTATGTTATTTGTGATCTTTTCCAACAGAGCTGCATTCCAAAATTCATCATACCATCTGTCTACAGATAGTTAACCAGCCTCCTTCCAGTAATGCGTTATCATGAGCTTGGCAGCCATGAGAATGAAGTAAAGGAGGCCCTTGTGGGGAAGGTCCTCACTGACGTTTATGCAGATGGAGAATAGGCAAAGCTCAAGGTCCCTATGTGCTGTTACATTTGGCCCTCCCATTTTTTTAGTACGGCTGGCATCTCTACTACAGGAAGCAAAGATAATACCAAGTATGCTTACTGGTAAGAAGCTGTACCGTATACTTCAACCAGTTGCAAGTTATGTCCAGCTGATTGCTAGCATAGCAAGAGTTCTTGCTATGTCTCCTCCCTATACCCATCAGACCTAGTGAGGTTCCTTACCATAGGCATGTAGACATTGTGAGGATTAGCCGGGTTATAATATGCACTGGAAGTTGCCTCTGTTGCTTTGTTGCCACCTAGTGCAGAAGGAAAGAATCAAGCAACTTTAAACATACAAAAATCCACACTATTTATATTCACAAAGCAAATGCTGCTTGTTTTAGCACAATTTTTAGATTAGGCAAAAGAGCAGATTCTGCAGTGTCAGCAAGAAAGAATTAGGACATGACTAGACACTCAGCAGCAGTTGGCTTGTGGACATGCTGAACAGCATTCATTCTGAGGAGACAGGAAACAGGAGAAAATGACCACAGAGACAAAGATCAAGAGACAAGATTTTAAGAGAGAGAGGTATCCACTTATACAAAGAGTAGTCCCAACACGTTTTTTCAGGATTAGGTAGCCACCTGGAATTTAGACTGATTGTATTCTGTAAACAAGCATTCTGGGATCCTAAAACCTTCCGAGAGCTTGCTCAGGACTGCAATACCTCAAGGACCGCCTCTTTCCATATGAACCTACCAGGACCCTGAGATCATCTTTTGAGGCCCTCCTTTGTGTGCCCCCTCTTCGAGAGGTTCTGAGGATGGCAACACGAGAAAGGGCTTTCTCTGCAGTGGCTCCCCATCTGTGGAATGCTCTCCCCAGGGAAGTTCGCCTGGTGCCTTCATTACAGTGGAACCTCTGGTTACGTACCGTCCTCCTTGCTTCGGGTAATGAGCTCCATTAACCTGGAAGTAGGTGCTCCTGAAAGCGAACTTTGCCTCAGGATGCATGTGGGAGACACGCAGCAGGAGACCCCATTAGCGAAAGCACACCTCAGATTAAGAATGGTTTCGATTTAAGAATGAACCTCCAGAATGTATTAAGTTCGTAACCGGAGGCACCACTGTATACATCTTTAGGAACCAGGCAAAAATGTTCCTCTTTAACCAGGTATTTGGTTGATCCAATTTACATGCCGTGCCCTTTTAAAATGTGTTGTTTTTTATGTTGGGGTGCTATTGGGTTGCTGTTTTTATTTTTATTAGGTATTTTGTGCTTTTATATCTTGATTTTATTCTGTGAACCACCCTAAGATCCCTGGGTATAGGGCGGTATATAAATTCAAATAGTGATAATAATAAATAAATAATAATAATAATAATAATAATAATAGATTTTCACAGCTTCCTTGGCTGTCATGGCTATTAGAACAGGGTAACTCCTCACGCTCAACCGTTCACCTCTCTTCAACAAAGAAATTATTCAAAACTTTAAAAAAAGATACACTGGGAGACAGATCCAATCCCCCCCCCCATTCTAAACGGAAACTTACCTGGCATTCCTGGCTCTGTCCAGGTTCTAGGAGCTGAAGGTCCTGCCTGAGATGGGGCCGAAGGTCCTGCAGAAGGGCCGGGGTATGGAGGAGGAGGCGCCATGTACATGGAGTTCATCCCAGGAGGTGCTGGATACATGCCTGAGGACAGATAACAGATGCCATGTCTACACACGCATCACAGAAATATTCAAGGAGGAGCAGTTCCCCAGGACAGGATTTTCCCATGCTGCATTTCATCCTCTTTTTCCATAAGCTCTCAGGGAGCTTTCCCCATATCAGTTACATGCTTAAACTGAGACAATTGCTGTTCAAACTACATAGTCCATACTGATCCAGCAACTGTTCCCACTGGCTGGATAGAAAGCAAGGCAGCAGCAGAGGCTGAGTCACCACATACAGATGTACTGTGGAGAATGTACCTACCAAAACAATGCATGTAATACTTGAAGTCAAGGACTAAGTCTTACTTTGTTTAGCGAAAGGACCCAATCCACGTTTAGTGTGTTCCAAGCATTCTACACTGAATAGGATCCCCTCCACTTTCGTGCTACTGTTGATATTCTCTAGATTTGAGCATTAGTCATCTCACCTACATGAAATAGTTATATATATTGTCTGGTCGTATATACTACTGCCCTTTTTTGAGTGACAATCTTTTATGCAATCTGCTGGAATTTTTACCTGGAGGAGGAGCATATGGATATCCCATAGGTTGTGCAGCAGGTCCATATCCATTCATTTGTGCAGGCATATAACCGTATGGTCCTGGTGGTGGTGCGGCATAGGCCCCTGGTGCAGGTGCATATGCTCCTGGAAAAGGCGGAGGGGCATAGCCCCCAGGAACAGGTGCATAGCCATAGCCAAAACTCTGGGCAGGTACTCCCCTAGAAGCTGAAGAGAAATAAGTTTAGTAAGCTAAAATCAGCACATGAAACCCTGGACTTCTTATGATGATGTCTTAAATCAGTCTACATTTAATTGATTAAGGCAAAATTATCTCGTTTCCATTGTTGATGTTTTTGCCAGTTTTGCACCTAGAGCAGGACAGAACCATGAGGATGAAAATGAACAGGTCAGTAAATGGAAGCAGCCAGACTAACTAGAGGCCAGCTACTGCTAGCAAAACCAGAAAGCAAAGCAAATACAGATTAAGCAGCAAATGGCAGGGGAGAGAATCTTACCATCACTAGCAAGTTTGAACATCAGTTGCCCAAACTCTATGGCACCTCCACTGAAGAAGCTCATCTTAAATGAAGCCTGTCCTTCCCAGCCACCTAAGACAAACAAGTCAGGTTAAATGTTAATTAAGACAGCTTCCCAAGAGATTGAAAAGATAAAAGTTAATAGAGTTAATTTGGACCCGTATGCTTCTGGGCAAATGAAAACATTTCTATTTTAATTTGATGGCACGAAAGGTAACTAAAACAGATGGGGAAGCTCTAGATGTTGCTTGACTTCAGCTGCCACCAGCCCCAGCCAGCAAGGCCACTAGGAATGATGGAAACTGTAATCTAACAACACCAAGGAGGGGGAGGGAGCACAACAGGTTGGTCACTTCTGGGTAAGAAAGTGAAATCAAGAATAGTTTCAACCAAGTTATAGTATCAACACAAGGATTAACCCATCAAGTACTTCTCCTGCAAACTAAGTTTCACCCCCTTACAGATACAAAGAAGATTCATCTTATTTCAGGTAGTATTGGGGGGGGGGAAGCTATATAAAATTAACATTTGATTTGATAAGGCTGGAGGATGGGTAACTTGATTGAAAGACCAATAAGTCAGATGTTTTCCATGGATTTATTAATTTAATCAGGGTCTGGAACTTAACTAGAAAGTAAAATAAGAATTTCTACGAGCAGAATCTTTCACTTTCTTATTCCAGCAAGCATCCTTCAAAACTCGGCAAGAAAATATTTACTGAAATGAAAGTTTTTAAAAAACATGTTTCTGAAATAAAACAACTTTTTCCTCTTCCCAAATCAAGCTATAATAATAAAAAGACTGAAGTGAAAATCCTCATCACTACACTAGCTACAATGAAAATAATGATTTGCAAGCCAAGAGGATATGTTCATAAAAGGAGTGCTGAAACACAATCAAACTCGGCAGGGAGGGGTGTGTTTTTAGTAAACAACACAAACTCACAGGAAAAACTCATTTCTAACATGTGATATTCACATGAGACACTCACATGAGACACCAATGGAAAATAAATCACTGAAGCAGATTTGGCACAACTTGCGTTAAACTCAGTGATACAATAAATACATTCGTCACCACAAGATGTAGTACATACCTCCAGGTTCTGCTTCTATCACTCCTTTGATATAATTGGCGGAAAATACGGGCTGTTCAATGGAGCATCCTTTCACCTTGTAGAAGGGCATCATGAAGGACATCATTGGGTCCTTGCCCTTGGACACAAAAATAACCTGCAATACATTTAATTATCAAACTTATACCATGTGCTGTCTCTTCTATACAAGGCCCAAAGCAGCTAACACAGGGATAAAAAAATGGAATATAAAACTACGTACAAAACAATCCAGGACAAATAACTAATTCTTCAAAGTGAGAGAAAGCCAACCCTCCCCCCCATATCAAACAATCAAGTGAAGACTTAAGTCAGGAATTTTAATTTAATATTTATTAAAATAAATGAAAAAATAAGAAATCATAATGTTTTCTACAGAAGTCCCTCCACCCACTCAAATGTCTTCACCTTTTCCCTAAATGTCTACAAAATTGGGCTGAGACAGGCCTCTTTTAAGAACATGGAGGTTCCCCACTAAGACCTCTTGCTGGCATATTCCTAATCACTTTAGAAAGAAGGTGGGAATCTTTTTCATCTTGAGGCCTAATTCTCTTCTGGGTAACCTTCCAAGTGCCACATGCTCTTTCTGAACACTCTAGAGTCTGCTAGTTTCTACGCACTCTTTCTGTCCTCCATCCTGGCACTATCAGAGTTCAAGGACACATTCCAACCAGGCAAAACAACACCACTACTCCTGGAAGGTTCAAAGTAAGGCCAGTGAGGCGGGGGCTGGAAAAAGGAAGTGGCATTCTATACCAGCAAAAGTTTCTGAACAGTATTTAAAGATAGATTTATGCAGAACATCAAACAACCCACAAAAACAGTTTTCATCTTGTGTCAGTCAGAATGCCTTCTTGTATCTTAAGCTAACATGAAATTTCAGAACAAAATAATATAGAAAATTTCAGAATTTGTAGTAGCCATGCTGAATGCCTGAAAGAAGAAAACTACTTCTACTCTATGATTTCAACTACAGCCATACCTCGGGTTGAAGTATCTTTGGGATGAATATTTTCGGGTTGCACTCCACAGCGATCCGGAGCGCGTTACTTCCGGGTTTCGCCGCTCGCACACGGGCAGATGCTCAAAATGTTGTCAAGAGCATGCGTGGAAACACCGAATCGTGACCCGCAGACACGGGTTGTGTTCGCTTCTGGATGCGAACGGGGGTCCAGAACAGATCCTGTTCGCATCCAGAGGTACCACAGTAATGTAGAAAAATACACTAATAGTATAGAAAAGAATGTACTGAAGAATCTCACACTAGCTGTAGTTAGATAAACTACAAGTGACTGCTGTCCTGACTGAATGACCCTTCAAAAGGTGTCTAAGATGCAACTGGCCCTCACTCAAGACTTACCCTGTAAGGAGTGAGAAACACCATTCCTTTCTTGGTGCCTTTGAAGATCTCTGGTTTGCCAGTCACATCAGAGAAGGTCAGCTCCACATCTTTACAGTGCTTGAGAATGCTTCAGGGAAGGAGAAAAAATATGGCCGCGTGAGCATTTCTTAGTGGGCTATGCAAAACATGCCAGTACTGTACTGATCGGTGAAGAACCAACTCTACTATACTCACTGGGAGAGCCACTGCCAAGCCCAGACAGTCGTTCAGAAAGTAAAACCCAACTCAGCAGATATATCTGCCTTCCCCTTCAGACACTAAACGGGAACACAATTCTCCTGACATTTCAAGTCTAAAGCAGGACGTGAGAGAATCCAGTGGACAGGATTCACCTAACAAGGGATTCTACTTGTGCAAAGTAGTCCTAACTGAGGGTTTTATCCAACCGTGTTACTCAGTTGACAATAAAGCTTCAATTAGTGAACAGGAGAAAAAACAGGTTAGCAATTCCCCTCCCCTTCCCCAGCCTCCCCAAGTCTGAAGAACTGATTTTGGCTGTATAGGGGGAATTACAAAAAACAAAACAAAAAAACACCCCTTCCCCTTACTGCCAACTGAGCAGTACTGGGAGCTCTATCCTGACAAGGCAGATCCCCATGTGATGTGCTCTACAGCTGCCTCTCATTTTGCATTCTTCCAAGTGTGTGTCAAACACTTGCTAATATTAAGGCTACGGAAACTCCCATATGAACAGTCTTTGTTCTCATCAGGATACCCCTAAACCATTTCTTGTTCAGGGAAATTTTACTGGTGATCTACTGCTCACGAACAGGTTATGAAAGAGCTGTGCAATGCCTTTCAATTTAGCTCTCTCACTGACCAGCTAAGAATCATGTGACTGATTTAACTCGCTCTGGCTTCCCTTCCAGCTCTTTTGTTAGCCCAGAGCCAATTAGTGAGAGTTTTCTAAGTCAACTCAATTTCATTCTGCCAACAAGGTTTGCGTGCTCTGTTCTGTAACTGGTCTTGTGGCTTATAGTGTCAGGTTTTTTGTTATAAGCGATCCTGAAGCACAGGTGCTGTGGGACAAAAAAATTAATAAATAATAGATCAAATGATGCACTAACAGTCAATACAGTGGAAACTTAAACTTGTTAATAATTAAGTTGAAATCATTAATCCTGTTGTGACTGTCGTTTATAGGTGCTCAGCTCATCTTTCAAAAATGCAACAATGCTTCCATTGGCTTTCAGAAACTTAAAACAATATGCAACAACATATAAATTTGCCTGCAAGCAGGGCCAGCTCATGCATGAGGCAAGGTGAGACGACTGCCTCAGAGGGAAGGATCCACAGATCTGATCTCCAAGAAAGGCATCGCCTGCTGCTGCTGCTGCTGCAGTGACCATGACAACTGTGGCACTCTTAGGAGGCCAGATCAGCTGTGTTCCTCAGCAGACTCCCTGCCACATACAGCCTCTAGGCAAATAAGAGGCGCTACCATCCTTGTTCCTGATGTAGATCTTCACTCACCCCTTCTTCCCTGGTGGTGGGGAGGACATTGTGTGGTTTGCCTCAGGTGCCAAAATGTCTTGGGCCAGTCTATTTTCTCCCGCATCTGAAATTCTCCTAACCATGATCTTCTGTTCAGAAAACAAACTGGACTCTGTGCTACACTTTTCATAATTTGCAAGTACAATTAACATGCACTTGGCTTCACCATTACTCATCTTTTATTGTTCTTGGTCATTCAGCTGAATAATCAACTGAATAATATAATTGTCAATATCCACAGTGAAAGAAGGTTACTGAGAAACTAGAACATGAGCAGAGGAGGGCGACTGACCAATAAGATAAAGGGTCTGAAAACCAAACTTTATGAGGAACAGTTAAGGGAGTTGGTATGTTTAGCCTGGTAAAGAGGAGACTGAGAGGAGATAGGATAGCCATATTCAGATTATTTCGATGGAGCAAGCTTGTTTTCTCCTGCTCTGGAGGGTAGGACATGAACCAATGGATTCAAGTTATTAGAAAAGAGTTTCTGACTAAACATCAGGAAGAACTTTCTGACAGAGCAGTTCAACAGTGGAAAAGACTCCCACAAGCAGTGGTGGACCATCCTTCCTTGGAGGTTTTTAAGCAGAGGTTGGATGGCCATTTGTCATGTATGATCTACCGTAGTTGAGTTTCCTGCATTGCAGGGGGCTGGACTAGATAACTCTCATGGTCCCTCCTAACTACAATTCTGTGATTCTAAGATGGTAGCTCAAATCTCAGCAGTGAGTTGTTGCAGGAACCCTGTGCCAGGAATAGGGACAGCACAGAGAAGGGATGTCTACCCCATTTGTCAAATTTAGCTTACATTGGGAAAGTAACATGTCAATTCCAGTAATAACAGGAACAAGGGTAAGAAAGAGATACCAGTATTGTGATGGTTATCAAGAGCTTTTCTGTCTGCCCTGGCCAGACAACATCTATAGTCTTGAGAAGACAACTATGAAGTCTACCAGATCAAGTGAACTAGCCAGCAGGCTGGAAGAATTATTTTCCCTTAGATACAATTTGAGGCCCAATCATTCAAAAGTTTAATTTTCTGGCATGCTGCCAATCCAGCAAGTAATTTTTGACAGATGCAGGAGACTGATGCTCACACCACCTAAAAAACCAATGGTGCTCTGTTTACACATAAAAAGGCAGAGAGCAACTTGAATATCACATCCACACCATACATTTAAAGCACATGGCTTCTGCTAAAGAATTCTGGGAACTGTAGTTTACCCCCCTCACAGAGCTACATTTCCTAACATTTTTAAACCACAGTTCCCATTATTCTTTGGGGGAAGTCACATGCTTTAAATGCATGATTTGGGTAGGAGCAAAATCACAGCCACGTTAATAAGATGAGCTCTGCCATAAATATTTTTGGCCAACTGTTATAAATTGATTATTGTTATTGATAACAATTGTTATCAATTGATAACAATTACCCAGTGAGGTAAAAATTGACACTAAATCCACCTGGAGAACCACACTTGTATACATCAATTCACAGCACCCTTACTTTTAAGATACTTTCCAGTTCTTCATGAGGAAAAAATGGCAAGGTATCTTTATTCAACAGAGTTCTCGGCTGCCCCAAACACTGGATATCTCATTCACTGTAGGGGATAAATGGCTGCCCACAGCCCATCTGCTTAGTATGTCCCAAATATGCTTCAAAGGAATGTAACTGTTTTTAGTATTACTTTGTAAACACTGGTAAAATCGACATTTTTCTTTTATGCTTCACTGGCATGCTAGTCACTTTCTCTCTGGTAAAGTGGCAACCCGGCCGGCGAAATATTAAGGAAATAAATGTACGCTGATCTCCACTCTCTCATACTGTGGGGGATCAACGTGTAACTTGCGTGTAGCACATGACAAAGGGAAAGCACGGATTAGGGTCACACCCACCGAGGGCTGAAGAGGAGGAAATGTCACGAACTGAATCAGCCTGCGCAGCAGCTTACGCCTCAGGCACCGACCCTAAGTATGCGAAGGGGCAAGTGGGCGCCGCGCAAAACAGAAGGCCTTACTTCCGAGTAAACACCTTCAGGGCTGCGCTACAAGGGAGCGAGTTTATCTACCCACAACAACACAGATCAAGGGATGTTTACCCCTTAAAACTTTCGCCCACCCCCACCCATGAACATCAACCGGGCAGGAGCCCGAGGGAAGAAGGCACGGGAGGGAAAGGGGGGACGGGGTATGCCCTGCGTAACAGCATTCACACGGGCAGTTAACTGCTGCGCGCGCGCGTCACAATCGCAATTCCTGGGGAGAGATTTGGCGCTGCTTTCGGTGGCCGAACCAGGGGCGACTTTTCTCGAGAAGCCGCCCGCGGTCTCCTGCGAAATAAACCCGGGCGAGGGCCCCCTGGCGACCCCCGAGGCCGGGGATGGCGCCCCCTTCCCCCGCTCCACGTCTACCCTCGCCTCGCTTCCTTAGTTACCTCTCCCCGTTGGGCGGGATCACCCCGCCGCCCGCCGAGTGGTGCCTGTTCACCGCCATCTTCCCGGCCAATAGCGCCGCCGACCGAGACGGCCCTCCTCCCTCGTCCCTTATACGAAGCGGCGCTCGAGCGGCCTCGCCGCGGCCGTGACCTCACGGCGCACAGGCCCGCCTCTCGGTGGGGCGGGGAATGGGGCGGGCGCGCCGGGAAAGAGGGAAACGAGCAGAGCGGGGTGTCTGGGTCCTTCAGCCGCAGGGACAGCTCTCCCCGTAGCTTAAAATCAATAAAGAGCCTAAACTCAGCGGCGTATTCAGATCTAACAAATGTATCCCGGACTTAGTGCCTGCATTCCGGGGGGTTGGGCTAGATGACCCTGCGGTCCCTTCCAGAAATACCATTCTAGGATTCTGTTCTGCGAAAGAGTCCTTTGCTGTGAGAAGCCGGCAAAGCGGGGCATGGACGCAACAGCCAACCCACCTCACCTCTCGCCTACCTGCGATTCCCAGCAACGTGTGGAAGTGGGGTGTCAACAGTGAAGTCAGAGGAAAACGAAATGGGTGCGGGGGGGGGGATACAGACTCTTCTTCTTCTTCTTCTTCTTCTTCTTCTTCTTCTTCTTCTTCTTCTTCTTCTTATTATTTTGCATTGCGTTTCCATCTCACCGCAGGGATTACATTTCCTCCATCTAATGCGCACTCTATACGCTTCATACCTCTGAGGAAGAGGACTCTAGTCTGCCAAAGCTGTGCCACCAGCCATTGTAATGATTCACATACATTTCCTAGTTGTTGTAGCAGCTAATAAACTTCACTATGTTAAATCTTGTCTCAAGGTATTGAACCCAAACTTATTACAGCCATAATACATGTATTGGTTTTTAAGGTGCTGAATGATTGTATTGTTTTTTGCTGCAGACTAACACTACTGCCCTTCTGGAACCTCTTGATAACTGTGGTGCTATAACATTTTTTCAAATGCTCAAGGCTTGTTTTTCTTACCCTTCTCTCTTTCTGTTTGCATTTAACTTGTTGCTATAGTCCTATAAACAGTTTGACATATTGCTATATCATATTTAAGAATATGGCACAATACCTTAAAACAGTTGTACTATGCTCTTATAGCTGTACTTGGCTCCAAAAAGTAGTGACTGTTCCACCCCCCGTACCCCAATCACAAAACCTTGTTTCATATCCCATCTCCTCTCATGCCTACAGATGTTAGGTTGCTTGTAGGCTTCCTGGAGACAGCTGGTAGACCACTGTGGTAAAAAGGATGCTGGACTTGATGGGTCTGATGCGGCAAGTCTCTTATGTAAATGGTAAAAAACCACAAAACCACAAATTGTGATTTTAGAAGTCCACTTTGTTCGGGATGGAAACAGTAGCTTTACAGTAAATGTCAGATGTGGAGCCCTTTGGAAATATACATAGAGTTCAATTCACAAGGACAGCTGTGACTGTATGATATTAATATTACCTTTGAATCAAGACTATTTTTAATACAACTATGTTGCATTCATAGTGCATGTTAAAGACATAGTCATGCAACCTTGGGTTCCTTAACATAAAAAGTGTGTTATAACTTCAGCCATACAGCAGGCGTTCTGCTAATTTATAGTTTGTTCATTAGTCTTTCATTGGTGAACTGGGACCAAAGACAAGGTGGGCTGCAAACAGTAATATTACTGTAATACAAATTATATACAAGAGGCAGGGAAAAGTGAATCCCCAAATGCATATTTGGGCTAATGGTGGGTTGTGAGTCTGAAAAGGTTGAAGACTATGGCTTAGAGTAAATGACAAAATCTACTTACAAATATTATGAGGGCAACAAGCACATCTAGGATGGCTTTGAACAGTATTTTATCTGGAAATGTACTCTCAAAGGACTAGGATTATTTCATAAAATATTATCAACTCTCACACAACCAGGCCTGTGCCGTGGGGGTGGGCAGCAGGGACCACTTGCCCGAGGCTTGGAGGGCTAAGCCAGCTGAGAGGAGTGGCACCAGGGACTGGCGCCTTTCCCCCCTTTTCTTGTTCTTCTCCAAGCTGGGAAAGTTCCAGCCCATTGTTGTAGGGTTATAATATATGTGACACAATAATGCTGAAAGTAGGTGTCATGTGTACCAACTCGGACCCAAATGGAGTGATTGTGTGTGTGTGTGTGTGTGTGTGTGTAAGGAAAACTAAGCAAATAAACCAGTTGTTCAAAGAACGTTTTCTTTAATCCAACAATAGAACACAGAAAGTTAAGTCTAGCAACATTTACATCACTGGTATGTGTCTTTTTGTCATTTATCTCAACCAGGACTGGACAGATGACAAGAGGACTTCATTATGATACTTCCATAAACTAGAGGCACCAGGAGAATCTAGGCTACGTTCATTTACCATGCTTGTATTAGTTTCTCTGCCAGAAGAAGAAGAAAAGAATCTTAGTGTAATCTACAATTATCCATGAACTTGCTTGCAAGAGGATCTAGATTTCCAAAATACTTTAGGTACATCTCAGTTTGCACAGTGACAATGTAGGATTTTCAGAGACTACAGTAGGATTCCACTGATATCTTTTTCTCTGCACCTGTGTCTCTTTTATGGCCTTGTTGTCTAGATCCACATGTAACGTTAAAGAACCTCAAAAAGAGGGAAGCCAAAATATTACTATGGGGAATTTGCTTTCTTATTACATTTATAACAGTAGCAGTAGTAGTAGTACTGTAGTCATAGTCAGCAGAGTGCTTTGTAGGGAGTTTGTGTGTCTTGGGTGGCATTTGATCTGGGCAGATTGGAATGGAGCAAAAGATAATTTCATATTAGTAAATACCACTAGCTGCAGCAAAAGGCTATGAACACCGTAGCATTCTCAGCTAGAAAAGCAAAGATCCATATTGACAAGGAGTGTGCGCATATCTCTGCTTTTTCCTTTTATGGACAGCATTTACTATAACATGTAAATTTAGATTTGCTATAATATAAATGGAAATTTTCTTAAAATAAATGGACCTGCTCAGCTCAGCCTGAGGGTGAAACTATAACGTTAATCTTGCTATGCAGCAAAGTAACAAACAATATTTTACCGTTTAGATTGATGCAGGCAGAAATTGTTCAACAGAAATTAAAACCATTAAAACTTGGATCTGGAGTTCTCAGACCACAGTTCCTCCACCAAGGAAAACAAATCTGCATTCCTCACACCTATTGATCCCATGTTCAAAGTAAAATATAGCCCTATAGTCACAGCAGCTAAATCTTGAGTGAAAATAATTTCCCTTTGACTGGGTAGTCAAGTGCACCAAACCTTCATCAGACAGTAGCATCAATGTCTGAAGATGTAGATTTAGGATGAAGCTACCACTCTGGAAGTTTTACCACTATGCTTGAAATAAAAATAGCTTAAATGGATAAACATTCATGGCTTCCAGCAGCCTTGACTACAAGCAATGCCCATGTTACAGCTGCCACATGGAGATGGACCTGCTTTAAGTTGCCCTTTGTGACAGCTTTCACCACATGGATTGGTCAGTTTTCCCCACAATGCAAAAGGCGCAAAAAAGAAAAGAAAAGCTGTGTAGCAGAATGGGGAAATATAACAATCCATACAGTGACTCACTGGACATAAATGACCCTTTCCCTTCCTCCTCCCCTCTCTCCATCTCTCCCTGGACTCATCCAGAATTGCCCTTGCCCTGCTGCTTTCACCTGGGAAAACCTGATCCTTACCACTGAATCACAGTAAACATCAGTCAGGTTTTCTTCAGACTCACGTTGGCTCTGCTTTGTTGCTAAAGGCAGATTTTCCAGGGGAAAGCAGTTCGGCAAGGGCAAAACCACTCGGGCCCATGGCTAGGAAGCATGGGACAAGTGGAGAACTGCTCAGGCCTGGGCTATTTAGGCATGGGGCAAGCACAAGTCTGGATGAGGCCCCCCCCCTTTTAGATTGTGAGTCTGTAGGAAGCAACCCATTCATTTCATTTATACATACAGTGCCACATACATTCTAGATGTTCCATTTTGCCTCTGGAGAAATCCTGAAAAACTAACTTTCCATTTCACTTAAAGCAACATTCTGGTGGTTCCCAGGTAGTAGCTGTACCATGTGCCCCAGTCCTAGGTGTAGATCAAATGCAAGGCTGGAAAGAAACTGCTGGCTGTGAAATGGCCTTGATGTACCATTAATGGGCTGTGGCTTGCTGAGATGGACATGATGAGCATAGTTCAACAATGAAAAATGTAGAAAAGGCTGCTGATGCTTGCCTAGACAAGTTTGCCACCAGAAGTGTAGAGGAAAATCTTGACAGAAACAGGATTCACAAATGAGCAGCATTGTGGTCTGATTACAAGTGAGATAAAAGGAAGGTCAGGTGGAATTGGATGCAACCATCCGCTTGCATGTGAGCAGAGAACAGCTGATATGCCTGGATTCAAGCACCATGGCTGGGGCTTTCCTCACACAATAGGCCAGGTTAAAGGGCAGTAGGATCGCTAGGCTTCCTCTGCCCAGAGACCAACAAAGCTAAACAGAGCTTATATACTGTAGATGGACAAAAGCAACACTACCAGAGATGCCGTGCCATGTCTGGTGATTCTGATGTATGTTGACAGACCAACATGATATTGAAGAGGCCTCCACACAGATACAGAAGCCTAACCACTGGCACAATGCAGTCGTAAATCTCCGATACAACCAGTGCTTTTTTCTGGGGGTACGCATACCTCTAAACATTTTGTGAATCTAAGTTTGGCCTCATTGAGGGGCAGTATTTCAATATGAGTAGCAAAATGAGAGTACCCCTAAACATTTTTTTAAAAGAAAAAAAGCACTGGATACAACCCTTCACATGCAGATCAATTCTCCCCCAAGTCTTTATCTGTTATTCCACTACCCAACTTCGTCTCACATGGTTCCGTTATATTACAGCATCTAATATGTGTTTGTTTGTTTTTTTAAAAAACTTACAGTTCTAACTACCACAATGCTGCAACAACCTTTATCAAACAATCTTCCAAAAGACCCCTGCCCTGGCGTAAAACCATAGAGGACTCCAATGATTTTACCTCTGTTCATCAAAAATGCCATGCAATTATTATTGCTGTGCTACAGAAAACCACAAAAGGTTTCCAAAAATCCTCTCAGGACTAGGCTAAAACCAGTAAGCTCATTTCATCTTTGACTTCAGCTATGCAAGGGTTAGGCATATTTATAACCTGCTAGTCTCACTGGCCTCTCAGTGACTAAGCTAGATAAAGGAAGATTTTATGCACAGAAATAAATTGGAAGGCCTGCCTCAACTTCAGGCAAACCTGGATTTCATTGACTGGGCCTGCACTGAAGACAAACAGATATTCTGCCCGTATTGAAGAATGAGATCATTTGTCCCTAAGTCCTAAAGTTCTGGTGCTGTGGCAAAGTTGTAAAATACAGTAATTAGTTAACTTTGAAACTGGCCTGAACGAGACCAGGGTCTTTTGGCTCATACAGTAAAGTTTTTACATTATCATCTTATATCACCACTGTATCAACTTAGACAGCAGTTGCTATCCTCATGTTTGAGTGGATTTCAGTAAAATATTCTCTGCTAATAAGCACTTATGTCTATTGAAATGAATGTGCAAGTAGCATGGTTACTATATGTTTTATGTTTTGAGTAATGGAGAATGATTAAATAGCAAGGGACCAATAAGCTGGGCTAGTAGACAGAATAATAATGCTAAGTGGTCAAAATGTTTCTTCTTTAATCAATTGTTGTTTTAAATGCATATTGCTATAGGTGCCCACCTTTGATGTTGCAAGGCTCCAAAAGGATGTTCTACCTGGTCTGTGGGCCTTGAGGTACAGTATGTCAGCAACAGGATCTGGGTCCCTGTGGCAGAAAATCTATTTGGAAGGGCTTTGGAGCATTTACCATCCCTGCTCTTTCAAAGGCTGGATTTTGACACCATCAGAAACAGGTGATAAGGCTCAAAGAAGTTATGGGACCTTATTTATGCTGTCCTCTCCAAATTTCCAAAAAGCAACATCCCTTGCAGCAGCAACAAAATCACATACGCCCCTCATTTCCCTGCTTGACCAGATTTTGGTGGTTACATTGGGGCTAGCCACTCAACTTTCTAAAGCTTAGCTATAATAGCTTGCAGAGTACTTCCCTCCATGTTTCTCTTCCTACTGGTTCAGAATATTTGACAATGGTCTATTCCAAATGGCATATCATCCCTTTTTAAAACCAAGAAAAATATGCAGTTGCCTGGAGCTCTCGCTGTGATTCTATAGAACTCTGAAGGAAACACCTCCAGTGCCTGAATCTTTAGGATTTAGGAAATACTGTAAAAAAACTGATTTTTAGGTGAGTTTCCTGTTAGAATTGTGACTACCAAGCTGTGGATTACATAGAGCTGGTGACAGAGCTTGTTCCATTTACATTTCTGTGACATAATCTACAGTGAGGACGGGATATAGCTCAGAGTCTTGTCTGAAACTTTGGTGAGCAGCAGTCAAGTAGCCAGTACTGAACCAGGTGGACCAGTGGCTTCCTATGTCCCCATTTTGTGTTGTATCTTCTGCTATTGTTAGCTGGCTTGGTTCCAATTGGGAGAAATATGAGGCATGGGATTTTTTTTTTAACTAAATTATATTGGGCATAAAGATCCTTCGAATTTGAACACAGGTTTATGAATTAACATCTGAAAAGGAGTTAGGTATTTCCGGCACTTTGAGATATAGTACTTCTGGCACTTTGAGAGACAGTACAAAATAACAAAAACAGGATGGAGCAGGGACAGTCTGGGGCCTGCACAGGTCAATGTAAGTCCTCCTGACCACCAGAAGTACCACACAAGCCACTTCTGCTTTCTCAGCCTTCTGCAGATGCATTAACATCTTAACAAATTTCCCCCCTCCACCATCGTGAAACCTAGGCACTTGCTCTTGTTTCAAAAACAAAGGCTGTGATTCTCAGAATTTGGATGGTGCTACCAAATTACATATCTAAAGATATATAATTGGCAGCATACCTGCAATCAAGCTGATTCCTAGACCACCCAAGGAAAGCCTATAGAGAGCAAAGTCAGGTTAAGAATGCCATGCTATGGAATCAAGGACAAGTGTGTTCTGCCCAAGTAGCCTCTTCATGCTGTTTGACCTCTCAGTATGCAATGGATGGGGAGACATCTTCTTTGGGAGGGGAATCCTCCCAGCATAAGGGGCTCTCTGCTTTGCAGAAAGCTGTCTTCTCATCAGTAGGTCAGAGAGTGGAAAGGCACAATTGGAACATGTTGCATTCTTGGTGTTTTCAGCTGCTGCAACAATCCAAAGGGGATTATTATAAATCTGAGAGCTAGTCAGAATCAAGATATCAGATATGCAATGGTGACAAGGGTAGCCTTGAACTTTAACAAAAATGTTTAAAGCGTAGTTTGAAAGCAGTTCCTCACTATTAATGCTCCCCCCCTCCTACACCAAGAAAACTAATACTCCCAAATCAAATCTCCACTCTTGTTTTTCACTCAACAACTTTGCCTCCCATCGGTATGGGCCAAAATGGCCAAAATCCTGTCTTTTTGTCTTTTTTCTTACACTGGCACATTGAAACACATTTACTTGGCAAAAGATTCCCTCCCGTTTATTTCACTGCACCTTAATTCACATAACTGTGTCAGCGAGATCTAGTCTGAGTCCATTTTTCCTGCTTCCATGCTGAGAACTGAGCCTACGACACAAACCATCTATCACAGCTGCAGAGCAACCCAGTCTCTTCCAGACCTGTGAAACTCGCATCCAAAATATGGCTCTCTGTTTCCACCACAGTGCGTACAACATCCTCTCATTGATCTCATTATCTCCCTTGGAGGTATTTCTCGTGACCCCCAGAGATTGCACCACTTCCAGAATTCCTTCAACTTTCCCCACAATCAGGATGCACAATTGAATCTGGGAATACAACGGAAGACTAGAGTCTGCTGTGCAAAATACAAAATTCAAATAATAATAATAATAATTAATAATAATAATAATAATAATAGATGGGGACATTTGGGTGAAGTTGGGGTTCTTCCCCAGTATGCACACACAAAGGATATTCCACATGCTTCAAAGAGAGGCTTGAATTCAAATCAAGGGATGGGGTGGTAGTAGTGGTTATAATTCGGAGATGGCAGATAACTTGATGGGTCCTTCACAGGTTGCTTTCATGGTTTTCTTCTGTTTCTACGGTCACTGGGGGGAGTCCCCCATTGTCATTCAGTCGTTTAGCCCTGTAAGTCTCATAGTGGATGTTGTGCGTTACTTCTTTTAGATCTTGAAGGTGGGTCCTAAGGAGTAGGAGAAAAAGACAGAGAATACAGGAAAAAAATACCGGGGAATCTATTATGTAAGTATAGGAGCACTCATTGTTGCCCTTAGGCCCCGATTTAAATGGCTTTAAAGTGCTTTTTTTTTTTTTTAAGGCTTTCTTGGAGCTGCAGCACAATCATCCGTTCTAGCATAAACACCTCACATTTCTATTCCAATTTAGATCTCACCAGAAATTCATTTTCAATTCAATAAGCAGCACCTTTTAACAACCAATGGACTCACCTAATGAGAAAGTCTCGAAGTAGAGCAAATTCACAGTGACTGAGATTTTCCACTGTAAATAAAGGGAAATACATTAATCATGCCTTGAACAGTGGTTCTGGTACAGTATTACAGAACTCAGAGAAATCCATCAAGGCCAGCTTCCACCTGAAGCAGCACTAATAAAAGTGGCTTGCTTGTTGTTTTTCAGGCTCTCCCATTTGGTCTAAGCCAGGCATGGGCAAACTCAGCCCTCCAGATGTTTTGGGACTACAATTCCCATCGTCCTTGACCACTGGTCCTGTTAGCTAGGGATGATGGGAGTTGTAGTCTCAAAACATCTGGAGGGCCGAGTTTGCCTATGCCTGGTCTAAGCAAACTAGTGAATTAGGTGAAACAATTCACAGCAATTTCATTATACTTTTCCAGTACTCCACACCTGCTTATACCAGCCCCTATGGTGGAATCTACACATATAAAAAAACACTGTGAAAATGCTTTTTAAAAACGTTTTGAAAAATACATTGAATTTGGCATGGCTCACTGTTGCCATCTAGTGTCACATTTGTATATTGCACTTTACAACACATTTAAAACGTTTTACAGTGGTACCTCGGGGTAAGTGCTTAATTCAATTCGGAGGTCCGTTCTTAACCTGAAACTGTTCTTAACCTGAAGCACCACTTTAGCTAAAGGGGCCTCCCGCTGCGCCGCCGGAGCACGATTTCTGTTCTTATCGTGAAGCAAAGTTCTTAACCTGAAGCACTATTTATGGCTTAGTGGAGTGTGTAACCTGAAGCATATGTAACCCAAGGTACCACTGTATTTGCAGCGGTATAGCTGAGTCCCATCACCGCTGGCCTGAAGGCAGGCTGTCTAAATCATATCCAGCAGGACACCTATAAAGCCTTTCTTTGACAATCTCAAATAAGAATTGTCTACAATCTTTCTAGGTACCTTTATGCATTACCAGATTAGCCCAGCCTTGAAAGTATTTGTCGCCCATTCATTTTGTGTGCTAACTCAGTTAATCCTAAACCAAGCAATGGCTTAGTGCAAACAAACAAGCAGGTGGGTTCTTGCAATGAAGATTATATAGCTGCTGATTTCCTCCCCCAGTCCTGCTGTCACAACACTACCCAAGCTAAGCCATGCTTTGGCTTATTGTTTACCTTTCCCTTCCAAACCTGGTTGGTTTTGCTCCAGACAAACCACAAGCTGTAGCCAAGGTTTGTTCTTGATTTACTGCTCATGGTTTTTCAGAGGGAGACAAGCCAGGTGCTCAGGTTTGGACATAATACAAAGGCAAACCATGTATTAGCCCCAGGAGGAGAACTGAGGGAGGAGTGCATTAAGCCGTGGTTTGGTGTTATGTGCAAACTGGGCCATCATGGGCAACTCTGATAAACATATCCATTGTTTATTCATTCAGATCATTACTGGCAAACAGTTTCTGTTGAAGGAGAAAGAAATGGTGACTGATAATTCCAGGGAGCACAAATGGCAACAAAGCAAGACATCTCTACCAGAAACACTCGCTGCACCATACTGAGGCTACCTGCCGGGAATGTTGACCTTGCCATTTTAGCTTCTACAACCTATTGGCAATCTAAAAATGCAACTGCCAGAAACTGTAGGATCAGCATCAGCTTACCTTCGATGACTCCCCAGGGTGTCTTCCTCCCCAGGACCCTTTTCCCGTTCACTTGATATTCCTTGTCACTGCCCACCACAGCAAATGGCATACTTTCCTGCTGAAAATATCCAATGAAATGACTTTGCTTCTCTGCGTGACACGTATGGACAATTGCTTGTTTTCCTTTCTTGTGTTTCTTCCCCAGCTTGCTACATACTTGATTTTGTCCCAGTTACCAACCCCCATGCCTAGCAGACATGCATGCTGGCCCTTCCTGCTATACTCTTTTCAGCATTCCAATTCTTTAGACTGTTGACACCTTTACAATGAAATTTAAAGCAAGTTTACACAGAAGGAAGGGATGCGGGTGGCACTGTGGGTTAAACCGCAGAGCCTAGGACTTGCCGATCAGAAGGTCGGCGGTTCGAATCCCCAGATGGGGTGAGCTCCAGTTGCTCGGTCCCTGCTCCTGCCAACCTAGCAGTTCGAAAGCACGTCAAAGTGCAAGTAGATAAATAGGTACTGCTCCGATGGGAAGGTAAACGGCGTTTCCGTGCGCTGCTCTGGTTCACCAGAAGCGGCTTAGTCATGCTGACCACATGACCCGGAAGCTGTATGCCGGCTCCCTCGATCAGTAAAGTGAGATGAGCGCCGCAACCCCAGAGTCGGTCACGACTGGACCTAATGGTCAGGGGTCCCTTTACCTTTACTTTTACTCAGAAGTAAGTCCCATGTAAACTTATAGGAAACTTATAGGAAACAAACATTTGTGAGGACAGGAACCCCACATTAACTCTTAAGTAAGTCCTCAAAAGCGCTTAATTCTCACCTCAGGAACTACAAAATATAAATGTATACAGTTATAAGGTTGGAAGTATCCATTTCTTATGCTTCCATAGTGGCTGTAACGTTTACAGCCAACTTTTACTACATCCAACTCACATTATAAGCATGGTGAGGACCAAGAAGAAAACACTGGACTCAAGTTACCTCAGCATCTCCAACAAGAAAATCTACTCCACAATCATAAGCATCCTACCCTGATTTTGTCATTCTCTGTCTTATCTTCAAGGTCCTCATCAAACTCTTTTTGGGGGTAAAATTCGATGCCATTGATTTCCAGTTCCTTGCGGACCTGGGTAGAAAAATAAAATAAAATAAAATTCAAAGCTATGTAAGAGAGAGTATTCCTGGCACAACACTTAAAGGACTGTGTGTTTGTGTTTCTTACTGGATGTTTCCCAGGATACTTACCCTCTGTTTGAACTCAATCTTCTCCTCCAGAGTCATGGTGTCTGCCTTGGCGATAACTGGGATGATGTTGACTACTTTGCTCAAGTGCTTCATGAATTCCATATCCAAAGGTCTTAAGCTACAGTCCAGGAAAAAAGACTATTAAGAGACCACCACTATCTTTAACAAAGAAGAGCATATTGTCTTGCTCCTAGCATACACAAAATTAAAGCCCTTCCCATTTTTATTCTGTTTCTAGGTTAGAAAGGGGGAAATGAACTAGAGTCTTTCTCATCTATAGCTCTGGATCTCTACTTCTTAGTTTCCTCCATAGGTATAGCATTAAAAACCCACTGGATACATTCGGTGGAAAGATAGAGAGATAAGAAGGAGACTTCAATACGAAAAAAATTGAAGCAAGGTGGAAAGGCATCCTGCTGTACAGTATCTCATGTGAACATTACACAAGATGATGCTAATTTTGCCAAGTAGACGTTGAAAAACCATGACTGGTAGCAGCTTCCTAACAACTGGCAAAACCATAACAATGCATGTGTGAACCTAAGAATATAGGTTCATGGGAGCTTCCTGCCAATTATGAACATGGGCAGGAATAGACAAGCAATGGCTGAAATGTTCTTTTCTGGAACTCCATTTTCATCAATAACGTTAGAGGGATGTCCGACATAGCACACTCTCATTATGGCACAAAAGGGGAAGAGATACCAGTTACTATTAGGACTGTGCAGCCCCATGGCTACCCCATCATTACCTCGGTCTGCTGTGTGGCTTGTCAGGGGAGACTTGTGCACCCTGCACATGGTGCCAGGTAGCTTGTGGAGATCCCTGTTTTGTTCACTTAGCACCCCAGGGCCCTCCCACTCCCCTTCCCTCCCGGTCTTATGGGCATGCACCAGAACAGATGAGATACATACGAGTGACCTGTGGGGGAGATAAAGTAGAGGCAACAGTGGACTCTCGTGTCTGGGATCCGTTTCTTTCTTGCAATATTGACCTCCTCCTTCAGGAACTTCTCATACTGCTCATTAATATATTTCTCAATGGGCTCCCAGCTAGGAGGGTCAGGGAGAAAAGAGGTAGACATACCTTTATCTCATATTCAAGGAAACTAGATTGCAATGTCAGTAGTCCAAGGGGGTCAGGGCGGTCAGCATCCCATGGGGGTGCCACCCGTGGAGAGCATCCTGGGGGGGGAGGGCGGTGATGTCACCCCCCTCAGGGATGACACCCGGGGCGGACCGCACCCCCTGCATCCCCCTTCCTCTGCCAGTGAGTCCAAGCCTTGAAGAGGATCCTTCAATATAAACTTGGTTTTGGAAGATCCTTGCTTTCCCTACTCTTCCCCACTTTGGCAACAATCAGGATTCCTGCAGCCCCACTAGTGGGTCCTAATGTCACCTAGGGGAATTGCTGAGCAACATAAGCCCTTAATGTGGCCCACGGTCTGTTTTTGTAGCTTATTTTTATCCTTGTGTATTAAGCATCACAGCGGGCGCTTGACTGGTAAATATTGTAACACCACCATCCCTATGGTGCAGACTATCTTGGGTTCTTGGGCACTAATAACACTGGACAGGAGTCTGCCTCAGAGCAAAAAAAAAAATATCTACCCATCTTAAGTCCTGCTCCCTTCATCTAGTTATGCTAATTCATGCAGGAGAAAGAAAGTAGGGAGGAGACTGAGAATCAGCGAAGGAACAAAACACTCACCAGTTTTCATTGTTGATCTGGTCACCAAATCCAGGGGTGTCAATAACTGTGAGCTTCATTTTGACACCACCTTCTTCAATAACTGGGGGAGAAATGTTACCGTTATCTTCCTCCAAAACTGAACACTTTTTATAGAGATGATAGCATAAAGGCCTTTACATGGTACTGAGCGAGGAAAGGAGAGGCTCTTTTTGAACACATAGATCTATGTGGCCCTTGTAGAAATAAAGCTCCTTGTCTAGGACATTACAAGATCTAGCTGGATGGCGGAAGGGGAGCCCAACAGAGCTTGGACCCTTTGCAACAATCCCCAATAGACGACAGAGGGGGGGAAACCCTATAAATTTGGATCCAAACAGAGGCCTGTTTCTGTATGGCAACTTTCCAGCATGGGCTTATCCACACTTTCCTTTCCACTCCTCTTTGTAGTCATGGTCCATGTTTGAAGCTGCATCTCTGAGAACTCTTTTTCTGGAAAACCCAAATTGCCATTTGTTGTACTTCAGCTATAAAGAGCTGGTTTTGCATGGAAAGCTCCAGGGCCAAAAAAGGGTACTCGGACACAGAGCTTTAAAGCACAGACCTGTGCCTGGAGAGACCAGGGCAAAAGGTAAGTGTGAATAAGCCCTATAAGTGGATCTTTAATTTGGGGCATGTCTTTGTCCAGAAGGACATATCCTCAAGTCCAAGAGGTTAGACACATTGAGCCTAGGGTGGCCTATTGATTCCAGGGTGGCCTATTACTAAAAGAGGACACCGTTTTCATGCAATTGGCATGTGCTAATTTATATGTACAGGTGCAAATTTAGAAATAAACACAATACACTGCATCTCATCATAGGAGGGAGACTCTAACCAGGAGACCTATGTGCCTGCTCAGTCTGCTTCCCAAGTGCTCACTGCTGCTGGACAACTCCATGGCAGCCTGCTCTTTCTTCCTATAGCTTTCATCCTTAAACTGGACTTGGACCAGACATCTCATCAAATCTTATACACTTCCAAAGAGTTGACTGTCTTTTAAAGCACTTCTTAGACTGTCCTCTGTAAAACACATGGACACTCTAACTGAACCTCAAGCTAGTCCGAGTGAGCGTCCACATATTCTGTCACCGTATGGACACTCTCACTGTAGCAACTCTGGACTAATTCAGACAACAACTGAAAGGGCTTCATCACATGAAGGCAATATGCATTCTCTGCCTCTGCCATTCCCAGTCATCCATACAGGGACAGCATATCCCAATGCAGTCACAACACAGCCAACATTGAATGGTTGATCAGCCAGTTAAAATCTATGACTTGGCCATGCAGTTTTGGGCTATGCATGTCAGGCCATCCCCACAGAGATTCCTGGAGATGGTACAGGCAGGGATGGCACACTGGACTGTGCACTGGACCAGACTGATCCTTCAGGTGTCATTCAGACAAGTCCTTTGCAACATATGGAGGTCTCCTGGGCCTCTGCCAGCCTGGGCTTTACTTCCTGGAACACCCAGGTCTACTTTCCCTCTCCTGAAAACTCTATTTGATGTAAATGTTAGGCAATTTTACCATGACCAATGGCCTTGATTTCCACTGTCTTAGGGATCTTCTCCTCGCGGCTCCAGCCTGAAGACTTGCGACTGACTTGGGATTTGAAGAGGGTGTTCACAAGTGTGGATTTGCCCAGTCCACTCTGGCCTGTTAAAAGAAGCATACAGGATTCGCCACAGCCTTTTCAAGCCAGTCAGCAGAACCATTTATAGCCCGGCTGCTGGGAGCTGAGAAGGCACTGGCTGGTGTAAAAGTAAGAGCTCATCAGGACGATGGCTTCCCAGCTTGGCTATCAGCAGACAATGGGGAGCACAAGCAGTCATTCCCAATGAAATGAAGGTTTTCCTTGAGATGCTCTTGTGACGGTAGATGTGGCAAGGCAGGCATGCAGATTGTGCACAGGCCATGTTTGTCTCAGGTCGTGGCTCATGTTGTTAAACAGTGGTAGTAAAGTGGTACCTCGGTTTTTGAACATCTCTGTTGACGAATGTTTCGGAACTCAAGCACCGAAAATCCAGAAGTAAATGCTTCCATTTTCAAACGCGCCTCAGAAGTTGAACGGCTTCCGCTGAGTGTTTCTCAATTTTCTTAATTAAATTTGCAGACAGCCCTTTGAGCCTCGGTTTTCGAATGTTTCAAAACCCGAACAGCCTCCCGGAACGGATTATGTTCGGAAACCGAGGTACCACTGTATTGAGGTTAATGGAAGCTTATCTTCTAAAAGCAACTCCCAATTTACACATGTCCAGTTGATGCGCCACCACACTCACACACATCATGCCAAACCCGGAAGTCTTTGAAAATGGAAAAAATGGCCCTGAAAGAGCCCAGAAAGGGCAAAAAGGCACAAAACATCACCAAACAATCCCACGAATCTTTGTAAGTACAATCCCAAGACACCTTGCACCGACTGATGAGGCCTGTGGAGCTTTGGAGTTTGAGAAAAGTTTGGAGTGATTGTGGTGAACTTTGGCTAATTTGCCATCCTTCTTGCCAGTCTGGTATGTGCTGCCAGTTTTTTGAGGGTTTTTTGAAGGTTTCCAGAGGGCGTTTGCAGACTTTTTCCATGGTGTTTCAAATATGCACGATTTCGGAACATAACCCTCATGTAAATTGGGAGTTGCCTGCATTGCATGCTGTGGAGTCAGACTGCAATTTGAACCATGGTGAGGGGAAAGGGCTTTATAACCCTTCCTCTGTACTGGGGACAGGGAATCTTTTTCAACCCGAAGTTTCACTAGCTTCTGGGTGACCTTCTAAGGCCACATGCCAGTGGTAGACGGGGCCAGAAGCAACAAATATCAACAGGAGACTAGTTTCTAGACACACTCAAACATACCCTTCTACACCACAACCCCTGTCCAGCTGCCCTCCCCACCACATTGGCTATTAACTTTTTAAAAACAGACACGCAAGAGCAATCAAGCTGATTAACTAGCTGCCCAGTTTAGCCCCCTGGCTTCATAGCAACGCCTCCCTTCACAAGATTCTTGGATCCAACCCTTCCTACCGACAACCATGATGTTGAAGTCAAATCCAGTTTTCATGGTCTTCTTGCGCATCTGCTCTATGATGGTGTCGATCCCAATGTAGCCCAGCAGATTGGAATTGATACCAACGGGTTTCATTGGCACGACTGGTTTTGGCCGCGGCTCTGGCACCAGCTCAGACATGGCTGCTTCAGGCTTGGTATCTACTGGCCCTGCAAGTGGAGAAAGGAAATAAACAGTATATTTACTGATGCAATGAGATCATATGTGATAGACCTGTGAAAGGGTAAAAGAGTATTGGGAAATAATTCATAATGAACTGAAAAAAATGTTTAAAAATACTTTCCCCCAAAAAACCAGAGTCCCTTTGTTGGGGATAATTCAGATGGAAATTCCCAGGTGTCAAAAAAGGTTATTTATGTATGCCACTACTGCGGCTCGTGTTTCGTTAGCCCAAAAATGGAAAAGGAGCAAAGTCCAAACTAAAGAAGAATGACAACTTAAACTGATGGAATATGCACAGCTTGCAGACCTAACATACAGAATAAGAGAACAAGAAGAATATACATTTAAAGATGATTGGAAAATATTTATTGAATATATGGAGGAAAATTGTGTATATTTGAAAACCTGGGCAGCATTAAAATAAATTCAACAGTGCAAATAAGTTTTGATGGATTTAATAATGGAATACTGAATGGTTTAGTTTATATAAAATATGCAGGGATTTATGTTATGCAAAATGAACCATGGAAAGAGAAGGGGGGAAGTCACTGATATTTTAAGGCTGTTTAAATGAATATTCTAAAATGTAAAACAGAAAATTTAATAAAAAATATAGAAAAAACAACAGTATATTTCATAGAAAAATGCTAGGTCTCTTCCATTTCTATTGGGAAAGGAAAGAACAAATCGAGACAACTCCTCCTCAAAGGCCCTTCTCTCTATCCATTTATGCTTTTGCAGATGTGCTTCTGTTATTATCTTCTTGTCATTGCATGAGCCATTTGATGCATGGCAGGGCTTTCTGCCCCATGAAGCATGGCCATGGCAGTGACATATTGTGGTGGGAAGTGGAACCTATGTTGGCAGCGCAGCAGTGGCACCAAGCACAGAGCCTGGTGGCAGCACCATGTCAAGGGCCCACCAAACTCTAATGCCAGGCCTGCAAGGCACAGCACCCTGCGTGAGATCCGACAAGTGAGAAATACCATCACATCATGGTAACAACAGTTCCTTATTTACTGATCGATAGTGTTGATTTGCAGTCCACAGCACCCCCTACTACATGTGGTGGATAGCAACAGGCTGAAAACAGAAAATCCTTAAAATATTTAACAGGGCCTTGCAGAATCATGTCCCTAGTCCCTCCCCCCACTCCCACAAAGCAGCTGAAATTCAAAGGTTTTAATAAACCACAGCCGATTACCTTTCAGCAATTCTCATCGAAACATCAGAACATCCATGCACTCCTTAGGAAAACTAGACAAAAGGTACTACTCTGCTTTGACAATGGTAAGGAGCCAAGGGACAAACATTTCCATTCAATCCAGTCCCTAGTTTGTATCTAATAACTCTTTCTCCCAGAACAGAAAGAGCCCCTTTAGCTAGAGTTTTCACCACTAAAAATAAAAATCCCTTTTTAAGGGATAGATGAAGACTGACATCCTTTCACCCAAAATGAGAATTAAGTGCTTTGGGATCTTTCCAGCACAGAGACTGTCACACTCTTTAAGAAACTGGTCCTACCCACTCATAGAACACCCTGTACCAACAGGAATGCCCAGTTGTGTCAAACAGCCAGCAGCCTCTAGTGCTTTGTATTGGTGCCAAGTTCTTGGGGTGAGAAAGCCCTTCAGAAACACCTCAGCACTGTGTTGTGCCTATGAGACTGTGCTACAAATCTCATCTTTGCCATGAACTTGCTAGGTGGTCTTAAACAAAACATAGCCTCAGTGAAGCACATGGCATCCTCACGCAGCTGCCAGGGCCCTGGCACAGCCCACCACTATGTGGATGCCTGTTGTACTCTCTGCCTGTGCACACACACCTGACAGGCAGCTGAGTCTGGCAGCAACCTGCCCTTTCCATTTCCCACAATGCACCTGGTGTAGTGTAACCATGAGGCATTCTGGGAAATTTACATGGTGGTGCCAAACCACCTGCCACTCCTCATAGCACTCCTGCCGCTGCCAGTCACCACCAGCCAAGGTCAGTGAGGTCTATTCTGATGTAGGAGGACACCAAGAAGAAGACACCAAACCTGGAACTTCATCTGAAGTTAGAGCACAACAATACTGGCCGATTTTATAGGGTTAATGTTAGGATTACAGTATAATATGTGCAAAGCACTTATCACCTGAAAACATAACAGCATCATGACTACCGCTACTGCCCATGGCCTTGCAATGAATCCATGGCAGTAATGGGATTGCACTCATTCATGATTGCTGATTTTTCATGGTGATGATTCAGAGTTCTTTTGATAGATCCAACACATCATTCAACCTTAATTTATCTGACATTCAGTGTCAAGAAGAAGATATACCCCAATTATTTCCTTTATCCCAGCAGCCACCACTTCCAAATGCCATTTCCACTGAATGTGCAGCTGGGCTTTCATACAGGGCTTGTGACCCAGGTTTTTCTCCACGTAAGTGAAGAATCAGCAAGCTCCGGATCAAGGATGTGAGAACCAAAGTGAGCTCTCCTTCACTGGAAGTTTCTCATTTAACATTTCACAATCGGTTTGTGATTTTTGTACTGATGGGCTATCCCCTGAGGCGTCTGTTGTCTTTTTAGAGCTTTCTTGAAGCTGCTGCTGGCAATGAAAACCTCCAGCCGTTTGACAAAACATGAGAAGCTCTTGCTGCTTTTTCTTCCTTTCTTTTTGTTTTAAACCATTTTGTGCTGCATTCTCAACAGCCCAATCCTAAGAACTGCAGTTTCTTCCATTTAGGATTGCCCTAACACGTGTTCATAATATGCACACATAATAATAATGCGTTTCAACAGGCACTAATTGTGGATCACCTGTTGCATAGCATTGTGGGATGAAAACACACAGGCCCACAAGCTGAGATGCATACCCCAAAGTAGTCTTGATCAGCACTATTTTTTATCATCCCTGAGGCCCAGATCCTCTTCCTTCCACATGCCAGGTCCTGGTAGACCACGCAGCTTATTGTTCTCATGCATCCCTTGGGTAACCACACAGCCTTTTCGACTGGAACTGTTCTTATTCTAAATAGCTGCCTAGAATTCCAGTCTATTCTACCTCTGCCAAGATTTCCTCTTTCTTTCAGGCAAAGCCTGGCCAAGGATCTCTCTGCTGCAGTGAACTTGCCCTCCTTTTAAAAAAACAACTTTCTCTACATTCTCTGGAATCTGGTACAGTGTTTTCTACTTGGTGCTGGTAGCTGGTGGCTGCTGAGCCTACAATAGGTGCTTGCTGGTCCCTTAATTGTTGCAAATGCCTTTAAAGAGGCGTCCGCATCACCACCTTCAGACAGCGAAGTTGTTGGGTTTTGGGTACATTTCGCAGCTCTTTGCCCCCTAGCTGTTCACATCAGCGCAGCTTCAATTCATTTCTGTTTTTGTACATACCAGGGGGGTGTTGATGAGGCCCAGATGTCTTGCCCTGTGCAAAGGTGTTCACACCTTGGCTAGAGATGAATTAGGAACAGCTTTGCAGTGGAAAGAAGATTTAAACCTGGGTCACCCCAGCAATAGTCCAACATTTTTACCACTACACCACACTACTCAACCTTGCTGTTCCCCGAACCAGCGGTAGTTGCCCCAATCTTGCTGTTGCCTCAATAATTTGCTGTGCAAATGAGAATTTCAGTTACGTGTCCCCTCCTTCCATAGCACCAGCATAGCAACAGCAGCAGAGTCTGAGGGAGTCAGAGAGGATTTCCTTCTGTCTGTTTGTCTTGGTAAATTATGGGCTGTAGAAAGGAGCCAAATTTGGAGTTTTCCCTCCTCTCTGCTCCACCTCCATATGGAAGTTCTGAGCCAAACCCCAGAAGGCCCTGAGACAAGGATTCCAAACTGATAATCCGACATGACTGGGTGATCTGTAAGTTTTATAAAGGTACACATTTTGTCTTGCCAGAATTACAGCTTAAAATGAGGAAGGGCTAGTCCTACCATTAAGCAGGCCAAAGTGGCCTGCTTCAAGCACCAGATTTGGGGCAGCAAATTATCATTTATTCAGCAGGCTTTTATATTTTTGCCATCTTCAAGACACTGTTTGGATTTTCCACCTCAGGCATCAAAAATATGAAGGATCGTATCAAAAATAGGATTGTTCTCCTTTGCAAAACATTTTTCAACCCTGATGAAATTTGCTGCCCAAGGGTTGGGTTAGTTGATAATTGGGCTAGTTGAATTTGAACTGTATATTCCCTCTGGTCAACACATTTAATCACATCTCTAGAATTTGCAGCAGCCCTTTTGTTGGCTTACGGCCAGATGATAATTAGTAACTTTATTTTAAAGTAATAACCCCTGATGTAATTATTTTCTACAGTCTAGCTATGGAAGGCTTTTCTTCCACCCCTTGCCTTCCTTGCCTTTGTCTGAGTAACTCTATGGAGCAAAATAATAACCAGCTTTGATCGAATACACCTCCAGTTCTGCTGCCTGCCCTTCAGTGGGGATCTGGCTCCATTTTCACTGCAGCTTGTGAAAGCGCCCACACACAGGACCTCAAAAGGAACGCACTGAGCATACCTCCCCTGAGAGCTGTACTATTCTTATTGCAATAGTTTGCATGTGGCTTTCTAGTTAGCAGTCTTTTTAAACCCTCTGTCATAAGAAAACAAAGAGAAGATACAGGTGCTGTTTCCAGAACACCGGGGAGAGGACCTTTGTTCCAACACACACCCATCCTATTAAAAAAATAACAACTTTGGATAGGCCAACCTAGTGCCCTTTCAGATGTTGTTGGCCTACCCATAATTCCTGGCCATTGGCCATCTTGTCTGGGGCTGAGGGGAGTTGTAGTCTAAAACATCTAGAGAAAACCAGGTCGGGGAAGGTAGCTTTCAGACAATCCAGTTTCAAGTAGGTCACAACTGCACAAAGCTGTGCAGACTCACCAAGCTTTGGCTAGCAGATCTGTTTTTCAGCACCAAGGGATCTTCCACACTTCTGCTCATCCCATGCCTAGAAAGCATGGATCCAAGCGGTTTTGCCTTCTCCCCACTGCTTTCTCCTTGGAAACTCAATTTTCAATGCTAAATCAGAGCAAACATCAATTCAGAAGAAGCCCAATTGATGTGTGCTCTGATTCAGCGAGCTTTCCCAGGGGAAAGCAATAAGGTGAGCGGAATTGTGGATGAGCCCTAAGTCCCAACCTTGGAACATAATAAAAGGCTGCTCTTGACAAAGCAGAGAATCGCTCTTTGTGAAGATCCATGGACGCTGATTGTGAATAATCCAAAGCAAGGTTCATGTATCTTCACAAAGGATGCTGCTTCCATAAGGATGTGAATCCAATACCCCTTTTAAAAAGATTAATTCAGGTAACCCTATAAATGTCTTACTCCAAATCAAGGCCCATGAGTCCAGTGAGGTAGGCATTGAGAAGGCCCCTACCCAAGACCTTGAAGAGCCACTACCAGCCAAGGTAAACAATCCTGAGCTAGATAAACCTATGGTCTGACTCTGAATAAGACAACTGCCCAGGTCCCCATGAAATGGCTCCGCTAAAAGGCAGGGTGCATTTGCTCCAACCACATAAGACTGTGTAGTTCAAACATTTGCACTCTTTTTTCAGATGACTAGAACTGTTCCACCTACAACTGTGGCTGTCTGTGCACACACCATACACTCAAAGAATATGTAAAGCACATTTTCCCCACCCCAAAGAATCCTATAGTTTACCCCTCACAGGGCTACAATTCCCAGCACCTTTAACAAACTACAGTTCCCATGAGCATTGGGCTGGAGTGCTTTAAATGTGTGGTGTGCACACAGCCACAATAGCTGCAGCTATGTGACATCGGGCATATTCCCTTGTATGACAGCTCCTGCTATTAACACATTCCCCTTGCACTGCATCCATTCATTCATTGATTCATTCATTCAAGCCTCCCACTCTACCCTTCTCCCCCTTTTAATTTACAGCCCTTTTGTGCCTGCTACCCAGCCCCCACATCACCACACCCCTTCTTCCCCTTTCACCAAGCATTGCTTTCCTTTTCCCAGCCACCCCAGCCCTGACACTTTCTTTCCCCACCCGTTATCCCACAGGACTCCCGTCAAGGCCCACAGACAACGGCCTCTCCACCCAGCTCTGGTTCCCTGCCATCACCCCACCCGTGGTCCACTCCACAATGCCGGAACAAGGTTTCCAATATGACACACATCCATGCCAGTGAAAGGGAAGAATCGCCTGCGGTCAGCAACAGCCAAGCCAGCTGCAAGGCAGCTCACGCCTCTGAGCCAGCTGGGAATTAATGTGCGCCTTCACAAAAGCCCCAGTGTCTCTGATGCCCCATCGCAGCTGCCCTGCCTGCCTCCCCCTTGACACCAGATGGAAGAAGAGGAGCAGGAAATGCTGTTTTCCCTTTCCACAATCCTCCCTTGCAAGATTAGCAGTGTCTGTGCCAGTCTCCATGCCAAACGCCAAATGTCTTGCTGAGCCGAGAATGCGTGCCGGATCTCAGCATCCCTCCTGCATCTCTGAGCCCCGCCAGACCCATAAGAGCATGCAAGCATCCTCATGGACCACCTACCTTTGAACATGAATCTTTCTTTGTCTCTGGAATATGATCCTTCTCTTCACTTCCCTCTGCCTAAAAGCTGCCTCTGAGAGTCTGATTGCGTTTCTTTCTTTCTTCTCCCTATGTTTCTCTCTCTTTCTCTCTCCTTTTTCCTTCTCCAATGGATATTTCAGATAACCAGAGATGCTGATGCCGCCACTGCCATGTTCACGTGACCTGAATATTAAACATCCCTGCAAAATCTCCCCCAGACTCTGCCTCCCTCTCTTCCCAGGATCAAGGGCTGGATCATCCAAGCATCTGGGAGACCTTGACTGGATTGGTGGGCATGGAAATGTGTGCTGGCTCCTGAAGGGAGGTGCTGTGATAAATGGGTTAGCCGAAGCCAGAAAACTGTCCCCTCCCCGCCGCACATATATACTCTTTCTTCCTTGCCTCTCCGCCCTCCTTTCTCCTCCCCTGTTCCCAGGCAGCTTTCATATGCCACTGTCTGCTGAGCATCTCTAGAGACAAGAAGCTACTTCATGAAAAGGGATTGTTAACTCTTTCATCAGGCAGCAGCGTTCGCCAAAGAAATGAGGAAAGTGTGTGCCTGCATCTAGGCATTTCAGTCTTATATCTGGGTCTTTTGCTAGCAAGCATTCATGCAGCTATGACTTGGACCCCATTTAAAACGGTCGTCAGCATGCATTTTTAGAAATGGTGAGAAGCAGTAACCCATTATGTGGAGGCACAGAGTGTCTGCCAGAAACAGTCTGCATGTCAGCCCAGGCAAGGAGAATCTGTCTTTGTGTCAGTGTGCATAGTGCACACACAAGATGTCTCTCCCGGTGCCTTTAGGCACCTACATCTGTGTGTGTCTCTGCGCATTTGTCACGGCAAAGCACAAATGCCTTGGAGATGTTGGGGAACTGGGAAGCAGGTCTGCAGAAGGCAACTAATGGAAAAACACTTCCACCTAAGATAAAATGCATAACCCACATATAAGTGGTTCTCGTAACTGGATTTTGCTGCATGGGAAGCCATGACCACACAGGGAAATATAAATACACACTCGTGCAATCTTCACACGCAGCGATGCACAAGTCGCACAATGTTTCCTACACAAAAGTGGGGAAATGGATGCCCTTTGAAAAAGTGCTCAAGCAAATGTCCAGGAAATGGTGTCATAGGGCTTAGATGCAGACAACGGATTTTGATGTGTGGTCTTGGTGGAAGCTAGAAGCCAGTAGGTACACAATTTCTGATGTCACACTGGCCTGGCACCTCAATGTGAATGCCTTTTGAATTGCTTGTAAGTTGCTTATCCTTGCTGGACTGCCTATTTGCCTCCAGACCACCAGTACAGACCAGGGATGTCGTGGTAAATTCCAAAGAGCAGGAGCTCATCATGGCATCCCCTTTAATGCAACCTCTAGCTTTGCAATAGAAATGCAAGCGAAGAAAAAAGAAGTGTTGTGATTTAAACTGCTAGCATGAAACAGTCGAAACCCCAACAAAGGAAGGAAGCATCCAGTCTCTACTGGATTATTCCTTTCATTCCCGAGCTTCCTACTGTGCTAATCTGTAACCAACAGTGATGTCACTTGTGTGTTGCCATCTGCCTGTTTCAAGAGACAATGGAAGAGTGAGCCATCTGGGTAAAGTCAAACTGTTGGAGAGTTAAAGCACTTGCTGCGGCTGTAGAGACCGATACGGGAGAGACATGTTTTATTGCAGTTGAGGCAGATGGCACTTGAAAGCTTTGTTATTACTTCATTCATATGCCAGAGCAAGTGAAACGCTGGCAAATGACATCATCACTCTGGGTCTGAAAAAAGGCCCAGAACTGTTGCTCCCCCTACCTGCCTGGTTCCTACACCATTATACCGTTGATCCTGACAGCTAGCAGGGCTGGAAGGATGTCTGAAGAGTGACTGACAGCTGCAGCAGGTGGAACTGGCCTACATGGATCAATGTCAGTATAAAGCACCTTTGTATATTCACTTCCACTGGGGTTTCTCTTGCTTGAACAGGGGAATCATATGGAAAAATAATAGTAATTTGCATGAACTGGCATTGACTGGTTTTATGCTTAGCAAAGACTCTGACACAAGCTGATGAAACAACGTAGAATCAGAATATTATCTCATGACACATTATACCCTGTTAAGTGCCGGCATCTTGCCCCTCAGCAGTCAAGAAGAGAGAACCCCTCACGCTGCATACACACAGCAAACACATGACAAGACACCACTTTTGGACTTACATTCAAACCCAGTTGTATTTGTCACAGGAGACATCATGGAATCTGCCATGAAGCAGTTGCCGTTCAGAGCATGCTCCTCAAGACACTCCTGAGGGAAGGGAAGTAACATCTTTCCAGATTCAGCTAAGCCTTGGGGCGCATCAATGCCTTTTGGGATGCCATATCTGTCATTAGAAGCAAAGTCCTCCTGAACCATTTCTTTCAGGGGTGAATTTGTGGGATCTTCTGTGGTTTTGGGAAGTGGCTGAGGGGGAGGAGATGGTGGTGGGCTAGCAGGGGCCAAACGTCTCTGGGAACCTGGCATGCCTGCATTTGAGGTATGATTTCTGTCTTCCAGACAAAGAGTGGTTTGCATATCAGCTGAATTCTCAGCTACCCTTTGGGGCAAGGTTTGTAATCCGGACAATGGCAGATGGCTTGGTGAAGGCAACTCCTCTCTCCTTCCCGATGCTTCCTTTTGGAAGGGAACCTTCTGGAACTCCCTCTTTGCTGCCATAGCATGTGAGAGGAGTTGCCGGCCAGCTGGAGGGGCATTGGTGCTCCTCTGAAGAGTAAATGAGAGAGAGCTTAGTTTACGTGCTTCCAAACCATTGGCTGCTGTCCACTGAAGAGACTGGGAGGCGGTAGGAGCTGAGCATGAGGAGAGGAGCCCATCAGGGCAACGAGGCGGCTTTGGGGGCCCAAGCCTCGATTGAGGTTTAGGAATCCCTCTGCCTTTTGCCAAAGGGAGCTGTTTGGTGGGTTCCTGCCTGAAGGAGTTGAGGCAGGCTTCCTTTTTCAAGATGGGGCTGAGAGCCGCGAGCCCCCCAGTTCCAAGGGAGCGAGTCGTGTGTCCTGGGATGCGGCTGGGATTGGATGAGACTCCTAAGGTTGGAATGCATCTTCGGGTCCTGTGTGGGGAAGGAGCAAAGTCCTTGTCCATCATGGGCGCTTGCTGCTTCCGTGTTTCCTAAAATAACAAAACCAAAGGAAGGGTTGATGCAAAGCACTCAGCAGCAGCAGCAGCTCTGTAAAATAAAAATAAAAAAGCAACTCGATCCAGCAGCTCTGTCCTGGCAACAAAATACTCAATACTTTACCCGGCCAATGTGATTTGAGAGATGAGGATTGTATACCCATGATACATTTGAAGTATACCCACCCCCACCCCAGAATTCTGGGAACTATAATTTACACCTCACAGAGCTGCAATTTATTTTTTTATTGCATTAATATTCACCTCTTTCTCCAAGGGGCTCAAGGTGGTATACATGGTTCTCTGCCTCCTCATTTAATCTTCACAACAACCTTGTGCGGTAGGCTAGGCTGAGAGGCTGTGACTGGCTTAAGATTACCCAGGGAGCTTCATGGGCATGTGGGGATTTGAACCCTTGGTTTCCCAGGTCCTAGTGTGACATTCTAACTATTGCACCCACACTGGCTCTCGGCATTTTTTCCAATTCCCATCAAGTTTAACAAACTACAGTTCCCAGGATTATTTGGCGCAGGTCATGTGCTTTAACTGTACGGTGTGTGATGCAGAGGAAGAAATCCCACATTTTCTCGATATACTGCAAAGCCAGTTATTTAAAAAGTTAAAAATCTGAAAATTTCTATGAAGCCTTTGACAGAATCTTCATTACTTTCCTGGGAGTGAGAGCCAAATTAGAATAATAATAATAATAATAATAATAATAATAATAATAATAATAATTTATTTATACCCCACCCATCTGGCTGGGTTTCCCCAGCCACTCTGGGCGGCTTCCAACAGAATATTAAAATACAATAGTCTATTAAACATTAAAAGGCTTCCCTAAACAGGGCTGCCTTCAGATGTCTTCTAAAAGTCTGGTAGTTGTTTTTCTCTTTGACATCTGATGGGAGGGCATTCCACAGGGCGGGTGCCACTACCGAGAAGGCCCTCTGCCTGGTTTCCTGTAACTTGGCTTCTCGCAGCGAGGGAACTGCCAGAAGGCCGTCGGCACTGGACCTCAGTGTCCGGGCACACTATTATGAATGGCATGAATGGAGGGGTGGATGGGTGTGATCCAGACTGGCATATGCATTGCAGGGGGTTGGACTAGATGACCACTGGGGTCCTTTCTAACTCTACAATTCTATTATTCTATTATTCTACCTGAGAGACCACCTCTCTCCTTAGACTCTTGCCCAGCCACCACATTTCATAGAAGAGGACCTCCTAGTGGCATTGAGACCATTCCCTACGCACCCTGCGTCCTCCAGTAGTGAGGCTTTCAGAGTTAAATCCATTTAATGTGCAATTTTATACCTTTAGAGACAAGGCATGCCCCAACGATCCTCTCTTTCAGGTGCATGTGTAATACCATCCTTCTTTACTTGTGTGAGCTTTTCCTAATGAATTATTGTCTGCTGATCAACTTGTAGTGTTGAACTGTCATTTGAACAGTATTAGTTTTGGCACAGTGTTCAATGCTAGTCCTGCCCAGAGTAGACCCATTGAAATTAATGAGCATGGCTAACTTATGTCCATTAATTTCAGTTGATCTACTCTGCGTAGAATTCAGTTGGATGCAACACATGGTGTATATTTTATGTTTATCTTTTGTTTTCTTTACACCACTCTGATATATTATAATATGAGAAGTCATATACATTTTTAAAAAACAATGCATATAAACAAACAAAGTTTCCATTCATTTTGCGATTCCCAGTAAGCAATTTTCAGTGTGCCAAGTTTGAGGCGTTGAATAGCTGTAATGCAGGGTTTTGCAGTTCAGATGGGCACTTACATTATTTACATTCTTAATATTTCATAAGTTGCTTTGTGACATTTTGTAAAAAGCTAGTAAGACATATAATAAGCGCTAGAATTACTGACTTTTTTTGCCTTTTGCACAACCAGATTTTTTTTAAAAAGCCATGTTTAGCAAGCTTTTTATTAGTATTTAAAGTCTATAAAAATAGAAAGCAAAACTTAACTGCTGTTACTAAGAATAAAATATATGCCATTGTTTCCATGGGAAATAGAGATGTTTGTGTGTAATGGTGTGTGGGTGTGTTAAGGGTGTGTGAATGTGTGTGAGTCTGATGCTGGTCGTGGGTCTGACCCTGCCCACTACTGGAATTAGCTCCCCCACTCAAATTTTCCATGAGCGCAATGCCTTCAGCCCCCGAAATGTTCCCCGCCCATGACACACAGAGATAAATTTCTCCACCTTTCCAGAATATTGTTATTGTTTAAATAATTTCACAACCTGCTAAGATATAGAAAGATGTTTGCAATCCTTGCTACGAGATATAATATATGAAAATTAACATTATTATCCATCCACTTGCTCCAATTTGTATATAAAAAGTCTGCAGCTGGAAACAGACAATACTCTGGGAAAGGTAAAACTGAATTGTAGAAGGGAAGGATTATTGTGGTGTGTGCACTCACAACCCACCTTCCCCTCTGGTAGTTAAACAAGGTTGACCGGGTGTTGTAGTGTTCAAACACCCACAAAGCCGCTGTGACCATGAGATAAAAGAAGCATATGTTTATTTAGTACAGGAAGGATGCCCTTCCCAGCTCTCTTAAAAGCTATTGCCTGTTGCCAACCAGCACTGTTTCAAGGAATAATCACTTCATAAAAGCTGTTGATTTTTCTAATCTTTCTCTTGTTTTCCGAGAGGATTCTTACATTGAAAGAACACATCAGGAGCTTACCTGGAATGATGTAGGTGCAAAGCAGCCGAATGTCCACAGCAAACAACCATTTGGTGTACCAGAACTTAAAAGAAACCCAAACCTTTCAAAGGCAGGCTGCTCCCCAACCCATAGATCACAGTTAATTCTACGAAAATATTTTGACTACATCAGTCCTCAGAAAGAACATCCATTTTCAGACCTCCTGGACGTCATGGTGAATGGGGTGAGTTTCTTCTCTTTCTTTATCCCTTCTCTTGAACCGTTGGGTGTTTTCCCATCCTCTGCAAGAGAGTAAGTGGGAGAGAGAGTCCGGGAGAACTTGGAGCTGGACACAGAAGCCAGAAGGAGTGGGCAGGAGCACTGAATGAGAGCACTCATCGACTGCCCTGACTAGGAAATAAAAAGCAGGGGCGAGTGGACTCTAAAGGTCTCAGTGCACATGACCATGTCAACAACTACAAACATCGTGCAACATCCATCTTCTGTAACACTTCAGAAATGACAATATAGAGCAAGCTGATCTGGCATGCATTATGGAGACTTGGTTGGACAAGGCAAGAGAGTGAATCTCTCCCAAGTTTGCCCTGCAGGCTTTGCAATCCAGCATCAACTAAGGCTTAAAGGAAAGGGAGACAAGGTCACAGTTGGCTTAGCATGAGTCCACTCCCATATTCAGATGTCTTGTTCAGCATTTTCCAGGTTTTGGGTGTCTGTTGTTGCCATCTGCTAAAGACTAACTCCATCAGGCTCTTAACTGAGATCTAGCTCCAAGGACCTTCTGGTGGTTCCCTCACTGCAAGAAGTGAATTAAAGGGAACCAGGCAGAGGTCCTCCTTGGTAGTGGTGCCCACCCTGTGGAACACCCTCCTATCAGATGTCAAGGAGATAAATAACTATACAGCCTTTAGGAAACACCTGAAGGCAACCCTTTATAGGGAAGTTTTTTAATGGTTGATGTTTTATTATATTTTTATATTTGTTGGAAGCTGCCCAGAGTGGCTGGGGAAACCCAGTCAGATGGGTGGGACATAAATAATAAAATCATCATCATCTACAGGAGCCATTCCATTAGGCTAAGGGAAGAGGAGAGAGGTGGGACCGCAGGCCTCTCAGACAACTCTACCAAACGGCAAAGGACTTTGGCCTTCTCTCCTTTGGAATCTTTCCATTCAAGCTTACCATTACAATAATTCTGTAGTCATTTTTAAAAATTACATTCTTACCTTTCTTCCAAAGATCTCAAAGTGGCATGTATGTTTCTCTCCACTTTCTCTTTTATCCTCACAACAACCCTGAGGGGATGGATCTGGTCCCAGGTCACCACTAGTGCCTGAATGTTATTTTCAGTCTTGAGATGTGTTTGTTCTTGATCTAATTCAGAAGTCCTGATTCTGGTACGTGCAGATACACGTGTCCACAGATGTGTTCTGTGGTGCCCACAGTCCACCCCTACCCCCTATTGAAAGTGGGCTTGAAATAAGCGCCCTACAGGACATCTAATAGAAAGAATAGGTAGTGCTGTATGCTGGGTGGCCATGCAGTTTCTCCAGCTTGTAGAGGAGCCCATAGGTCCCAAAAGATTGGCAACCCCTTACCTAATTGCTTTTAATTATCGGATTATTGTTCTTTATTATCTTTGTCATTTTTTTTATTTTTATATCCATTTAGCAGCTAAGAGTATCTCCACTGGAGGGGAGAAAGTGGGATATGATTAGCCAAGGGGTGTGTTGCAGCAGCTCACAGTTCATCAGAAAGCACAAACAACACTTTAAATGCACCAGTGTTGCTCTTTGAAAGTTAACCTTTGTTTCTGTGCGAGCCTGTAAGAATTCCAATGGATTGCAGCATGGCAGGTTTGCTGAGGAAGATATCCAGTTCTGGCAATGATGAGTCCATTAACAGGTCAAGAGGATGTATAGTAGGTCCAGACAAATGTTCTGGGGCAGAGAGAAAGGACAGGCAGCTAACAGGCAAAACAAGGGCAGTCAGAGGCAGGTTTTTCAGTACCCCGGACAGAGCTGATAAGCTGTGTTGACAAGAGATCATCACCCAAAATATGCTTCCTATTGACTATACGAAGGAGCTTTATGTTGAAATATGGCAAATTGAACATACAATAGAATCAGTTTTACCTGGATCTCTCACCTGTGGAAATATAAACTGGATTTATTCTTAAAAGGCATCCTTCCTCCCTCCCCCCCCCACAAAAAAACCCACAACCCTGTAGAAGTTTGGAACTGTAAAAAAATTACCCAGATCTATGAGACGTAGGGCTGGATTAACCTGTCAAAGTTGATTTCTCTCATATTCCCATTTTTCTCTCATATTCATATTCCCATTTTTATTTTAACAGCCCCAAACAATCTTGATAGGCCAGTGGGTTAACAGACCATGGGTGCTCTTATGCTGGTGTCTATATGTAGACATAGTTGTTCAGTCATTGATCCTTGGTCAGTTACTTCTGGTCTAGAAGGAAGGGCAAGGCCACCAAAGGAGGCAGGGTTACAACTGCACTAGAAGAGCAACAGGAGCAGTAAATCCCCTCAAGAGGAAGTTCCTCTTCAATACTTCCTGTTGCTACTGCCTCTGATCATAGTGATGCAGTGCAGCAACCTTATAAATGCATGTAAAAGTCTTCCTAAACATAGTTCTACAGCACCTTTCTGGACCTCTTTGGCTTGGTTTCTCACTTCACGTTCCACCTCATAGTGGTTTAATTTTAACTATTGTGCATCTTTTGAGTTTCTTGAATCATTACCTGTGACCTACTTAAAGTCATACATGTAAAGAACATATCTACCCAGTCATCACCATGCCCATTGCCATCTCCATCTAGTGTTTGTTTATGAAGCATAAAAGTTGGAGGAGGTAGAACAATAAGCTTTTTGTGGAAAGCTTGAAGGGCCTGGAATCCTAACATTATTTCCATACCAGACCTTTGACCCTCCCGCATTCTTGCCACGCTAACCCTGTCATCCCCAGACAAGTCTACATAAATGGTGTAAACCAATGATGCTTACTTTTCTTAATTATAGGTGATATTTCCACAGCCGTGCTATTTAAAGGTCTACCAGGCTATCAAGATGCCAACTGCAGTACTGTAATGAGATGGCAAGACTGGAATTCGTTTATTTTGGTTGCACCATGCAGCCCAAAATTTCTTTCAGACTTGGTAGAAGCATCAGGAGTGATGTTCAAAAGGTTTTTGAACAATAACACTGAACAGATTGCATACCTTCCCAAATTTGACAGTGGGATATTGGTTAACGTAAACAAGTAAAGTAAGGAAGGAGGTTTTGGTATGTTCACAAAACACCTCTTCTTGGGACCATGCTCTGCCAATTTTTTTTTTTAGATGTTAATTTGAAAAATGCATATTTTGTACAATGGAAAACACATTTTTGCAAGTGTTATAATTATCTGTTTTTGTGGTCACAACTTGCTTCCATAGTGTTCAGATTTTCAGTATACAATAGGGAATGGACTCAAATGCCTGCCAGTCCAACCTTCCAGGGGTGTAGTGTGACCTCTGAAGTCCAATTCCCACTGCAACATCTCACTTCAAAAGTCATGGGGTCCCATAGAGCAACCTCCGTCATAGAGCAAAGAGCTTATAATCAGAAAAGAAAGTCTGAAAATCCTTAATATGTGCATGGAAATGCTGGGATAGGTACATGAACATATTGCTAGGTGGCTCTTTCTGTTGGGATTTTATGCAACCGATACTGCTAGTGTGATTAGTATAAATCACATGAGATGTCTGAGAAGAGTGTGGGAACAGAAGACTGTCTTATCTCTTCTGTCTGAGTGTGTTTTTGTACTGTAATTTCACTTTTGTAGTACGCAACAGTTGTTCTGCCACAGCTTGGAGAACACAGACGTGATTATGGATTGTCTGTATAGAATGTAAATAAAATGTAGTTTAGATTTACAGATGTTTCTTTCTTCTTGCTGTATGATGCTAGAAGACTTGTGTGCACTTTTCATAAGAAAAGTGTCGCAGAAGGGCACTCTGGAGTTGAAGGGGCATGCCAATCATGAGACGTGCCTACCGGGAGATGCTTAGAGTTCCTGGTGGGTCGCCGTCTCCCCAAGAGCTTTTTTCTAACACTTTCATGTAAAATGCCTAAAAACCACTTTTAAGAAACTAAGACATCTTAAGATCTGTGCTCCATTCTACTTTAGTAGCAATAGCATAGCTATCCAAGTGAAGCAGCTGCTTCAGGCAACAACTGCTTGGGGGTGTGTGTGGCAAAAAGCAGCAGTCAGCTGTTGGAAGAATATAGTTGTGTGTGCTGCATGGTTTGCCCTAAGTTGCCCTACTGCCTTCAAGTGCAGTGAAAGACCCATCACCACCAGTACTGGAAGAATCAGTTGCCAAACTGATCAGCTTTCGTACACGCCAAGTTACAGGGAACCAGACAGAGGACCTTCTCGGTAGTGGCATCCTCCCTATGGAACGCGCTCCCACCAGATGTCAAAGAGAACAACAACTACCAGGCTTTTAGAAGACATCTGAAGGCAGCCCTGTTTAGGGAAGCTTTTAATGTTTGATCTATTACGGTATTTTAATATTTTGTTGGAAGCCACCCAGAGTGGCTGGGGAAGCCCAGCCAGAAGGGCGGGTATAAATATTATTATTATTATTATTATTATTATTATTATTATTAGAGGGAATGCCATCTTGTCCTTTGCCTCAGTCAGCAAAATGAGCCTTGGGGCGGCCCTGAGCAGAACAAACACAGAGTATCCAGAATTCACCATTTGGGAACTGAGACAAGATATTAGTAATTTCATTTCCTTCTGGTCATTTAAAAATATATCTGGAAATGTGTATTTTCATGTCACAAGTGGGTTTGAAGGATACTGAAGATGAGAATTACAGTCAATCAGAAATAAGCAACCCATTGTCCTTTCAAGTAATCTAAAAATGTATTAATGTGTACAGATATGGTCATGTCACCATTTTGTTTTATATAGCACTTCCATTTCTTCAAAAAGCTGCACACACTGGTGAACTAATCACTTGCAAAACAATAGGCCAGTTGTGAGAGAAAAATCTGCACAGGGCCAAACCATGTTACAATAACCACTTGTATTTTGAAGAAAGAAAAACAAAGCAGTCACAGGATCCAATGTGGGATTTACTCCTGATCAGACCTGGGCCTGTGGCAGTTTCTTGAAGAATATCACCCTGGCTGCTATGTGCTCCAGAAGGTGCGGCTTGTGGTAAGCAACTGATGACACAATTGTGCTAGTAGCAAACTGGTTTGAGCCAATTTGTATCACTTGTTCTGTGTATCAAACAAAACAAAACAAAACAAAAACCTAAGCCTCACTGCAGTTGTGTAGACTGCTTGTTAAAAACATTAACATACACGCATCAATGTCAACAAAGCACCATGCTCTTGATTGACTCCACATAGTTTATTAGAATTTCAATTTTTTTTCATAATGCAGCACTATATAACAATTAACATGAAATTGCATTTCATCAGGAGCATCTATGACCAAACAGTGCAAAAATCAAGCTGAGAACATATTTTGCACAACATCAGACAGGGATGAGGTTACTTTTTGTTTTCCCTTAGCTCTGAGGCAAATGAGTTAAATTCGCAGGATGGAACTATCTGTCAATGGAAGAAAATTTTGCGGTTCGGGAGAAATAGGTATTTGTAGTGGAAAACAAGGTCACAGCTTAGTCATCCCCTGCCCATATTAAGTATTTTCCCTTAACTTCAGTCTGGTCATTCCTCCTTTTCCCTGCTCCTGATTCATCAGGGAGCAGAACTGGAGCTGTGAAAAAAAATTGCACAGTGAGGAACTCAAGTCACCATATAAGCATTGCAAGCAACATAGTTGGCTCTGCAGCCTTCTAATTCGCTTGCAGTTCTCTGTATCAGGGTCAGTGTAGTAGGACCTCTTATTAACTTCAGTATATACCTCAGAGGCATTACTGCAGTTTTAAATTTCCTAAACCTGCTGGAGAGTCTGCTTTGTGCTTTACAATATACACAATAAATTTACCCACATATGCTGACAACAAAACCTAACAGCCCCAATGCAGAGAATTAATGGGCATAGACATGTAGCTTCATTGATCTTCACAGAGCAATCATGTCTGGAGAGTTACATGCCTCTTCTAGCTTCTATTAGTTCTCAGGGGGGACAGTTGCTGTGCATAAGGAATCCCAGATTCAGACTGAGCACTCCTCATACATTCCCCCAAACAAGTCTTTATTGTGAGGAGCTCCTGAGAAGTCTCTCTCAGTATCCGTCTAGTTGTGGCAGGTGACATGACAGCTGGGTGCTCCCCATAGCTTTCCAGGTTCCATGGGCAACTTGCAGGTTTACCTACTTCCACAGAGAGGAAACCACCTTCTGCGCACTAATTGGTGGCTCTGGATTAGGAGAGATGTCCAAAATAGCCATGATAATCCAAGGCACAACAATTTATGACTCAAGTTTCCAAACTCCATGTTGTTTTTCAAACGCAATTTTCATGTGTGTTTTGATTTCTGAACCATTAAGCTGTTCTATTTCCAAATGTTACAAGTTAATACAATAGTAAGAACCAGAACAAATCTGAAATATAAAAATAAACAAATGTCCAGTTAAATTAGATTCATAACACATTTGAAATTGCTCCAAATGTCAAAGAAATTCTATGCATGTTTGCTCAGAAAATTAGTTCCTACTGTTTTTAATGAGACTTCTTAATGAGTCTGTTTAGGATTAGTCTTTGACTTTCACAACTTTGAACTTCAAAACTAGGTAAACTGAATGTTCCAGAGCACTGAGTAACTTTTTAACTTTCTTTAGTTTAGCTTTCTCACCTCAAAGAATTACAAATAGAAATAACAGTTTAACATTTCTAAATTCTGAGCAGATTGAAATTTGATATTTAATTCTAATTAATCAGATTCAAACCCTGCTGAAATGTTGGTTCCAGTAATGGAAAATACATACTGTCTCACAAAAGCCCAATCATGTAAAGCACATGATCCAAGAAAAGATCACATGGGCATAAAAATCCACCACTGAAACAGAACATTCACACATGAGATTATCATAACAATTACATTCTGAAGATTTCACAGGCAAACTGGTAGGTTTAGGAACAGCACAAAAAGTGACAAACTCTCAACAAATCCCCAAAACACCACAGTTCTCTTATGAGATTGCTCCATAATCAAAAGAGACATTACAAACAAAAATATTTTTACTTCTTGTTCATTTGCAGGTAGTTAGCCCTATGGAGTAAGATACAGAATTGGATAGATAAGACCACTGAAGACTTGGCACACAAAACAGTACAAAGCAAGAGAAGAGGCCAGGGCTTCACACAGAATGTAGACAGGCCATTGGTTCTTCTAATTCTGATTTCCCCCTTTTTAAAATAATTATTGGTTGTCACTGAAGAACACAATTTATGTGGTTACTATTTAATCAAAGTCAAGCACAAATTTAGGCTGATGCCCCTTCCGTCTAAGTTAGGTGGGATAATTCTAACCATTTATCCTAACTCCCAGATTTTGGCACAAAACTCAGAGACTTGTTTTTGTTTATATAGCTGGTTTTCCGGAAATGTTTTATGTTCATGAAACAGAAAACATACTGTGGATTTCATGCTGGTAGCAAATGCAGTTCTTCAATTGCCCTCAAGGATAGGAATAGAAAAGTGTGAGAAACTTCCACTGAGCTCTCACTCAACAGCACTCAATGTGAATCAGTTTGGGCTGGGTACACCATAAGATGATTGATCAGTCTCCGTGGCTAGAGTTAATTTTTATCTTTTCTGTTCAAAATTAAAATTACTGGACACATGAACCTGGGTAGCTGGTCTCACTCCCAACCACTTCTAGAGGGCAAGGATATAAATTATATACCCAGGTTCATGTGCCCAATAATTTCAATTTTGAACAGAAAAGAGAAAAAATTGTTTCCTTTCAGCACTTCTCAATATCAAGGGTATTACTCAACGACTATTTGCACTCGCATTCTGCAGTTCAACTGAAATCAATATACGTACAAAAAGCTTGTGTGGTCACTGAGTCACTTCCTAATGGAGATTATCTTACACTGAGAGATACCTGACATAATATGAAAAGCATATTTGCAGCAGGCAGCATCATGTGGCTGATTCACGGAAGAATCATCTCGTTTTCTCTTTATCATGTGAGGCAACCCTGAGAAAAGAAACTTGGGAAGGACAAAGATTATGTGGCTAAGTTCAAAAAAGTGTGTCATGATGAGTCCCACAGAACCCCCCACCCCCCATGTATTAGCCGTCAATGGATAATGCAGCCTGTCCACAAAGTCTTTAAAACTCCTGGCCCCAGATAGGATACTTATTGCTACCCCCATTGCTCAGCCTGGGGTCCATTCATTTGCATTGGTAGCCTAGTCTTCACAAATGAAATCAAGGCTCAGAAAACAGGTCTCCAAGTGAAACTCAGAGACTATGGCTATAGTAGATATAGTAACAAATGGGTCACGGATACAGGAAAGTGCCCATTTAGAGCAGAACAACTTGGGAATGTTATGGTGCTGCCTTTACCTAGTCTCATGCCCTCAAACAAAAATATAATTGCTCCAATCCAGCAAAGGCAATCTGTGCACACAGAAGTAGGTTTGTGTGTGCAGGTCCCTTTCTGTATTGGTCCACGGAGGACTCCAAGGAGGGGTTGACTGTGCAGGGTGAAAAATATTCTGCAGCCCTTGCACATATGCATGTTACGTGTTAGATCAGGATAATGCGCATCACCACTTGCTAAATGGATGGTTAGCTCTGTCTGTGCCATCTGATCTTTGCACACTGGAGCATGCTGCTCACAGCTGACCAAGACATTTGGGTGCCTTACAAACTCAACACATACAGACACAATGCAAACAAGCAATTTGCCACCCTGGTAGGGCGCATCCAAAAGTTGCTTTCTCAGGCAACCAACTCACTCTGCCTAATGGAAAGACTGGCCCAGATGCAGCTTGCTGCTGTGTGCAATGGTCCCTGGAGAGGGGCAGCCAATTGAATACATTAGAATGCTTAAAATAGCATATACTTAGCCAAGATCCATGCTCTAAACACACACGACCCCACACCAGAAAGCTGCTCTGCTGTTTTGGGCACCTGGGAAATGGTGTCTCATCTTCACAGAATCATAGAATTGGAAGGGACCCCAAGGGTCCTCTAGTCCAACCCCTTGCAATGCAGGAATCTCACCCTGCTCTGTATATTTGAAGCAACACAAGTTCTGTGGACATTTGTGATGCACATAATGAGACCTAGTGTGATTTTTACACCTGCTTTGAGATAGCTCCACACAGCTGTACCAAAACACTTACCCCCACCTTGTGCTAGAAACTACCCTCACACTAGAAGTGTCCTCAGGCAGCCACGCACAATAAATCACATACCACCTTATGCAATGGGCTATGCTCAAATTCAGCAGCTGCTGACAAAGCATGCCACACATTTTCAAGTGATAGCGATCTCCGGCTGGCTGTGTGGTTTCATTGTGAGCAGACTGGGGAGGAAATCCAATGAAGGAGTGAGCATCTTTCCAGCAAGATTCCAAGTTCCTGCTGTACTGTGCAGTTGTCAGGGACTATGGCACTGAAGGAGATCACGGAAACAACAGAATGTATCCAAGTGTATGAGAAGGCAGCACTTGACAGGCGAGGAAAGTATGGAATGTAGAGAAGAACTATGTTCTACGAAACTATGGTGTGGGAGTGAATGCATTCCAATGAGGCATCCAACGTATAGACATGTCTCTGTAACTGGGGGATGAAGTAGATATTAACAGTATGTGCTACCTTAACATGGAATGTACACACATGAGTACGGTAGAGAAGCAAAGGCACATGTCCCTAACATGAAATGTATACTGGTGAAACTGATGTCCACAAGACTAGTACTTCACAGTGGAACAGATGTGTTAACACAGCATGACATACTCTGCCAACAAGGGAATGAAACATACTCTACAGTCAGAACTGATGCCCTGAAACAAAGGTGAGATATAATATAGGTACAGTAAAACCAGCTATGAGAATACCCATCATGTCATAGGTCCTATATTCTGCCAATATTATCAGTATGCAATCTGCACACTATTGGATTAGCAGAGGTTCCTGCCCATTTTCACATGCATTAATGTTTTTATACAGCACTTTGGTAACATATCCCTAAAGGAAGTGTGGATCAAAGTGCAAACACTGTGTGGATAGAGAGCATATCTACTGCATAACCCCACACAACGGAGCTCCAGAAGCAACGTATAGAAATTAGAACTGCAGTGTGACTGCCTCTGGCTCCATGGCTTTTGGTGTGGATGCAGAAAGGTAGGTTGTGTGATGGTGTTTCACAGTTTTCAGTCTGGCTGACAATCTAGAAAGAACAGTGCTAAACAGGGGACTCCTGATCAGACCACTTTAAAAGATTGCAGCAGCAGAGGATTGTGAAATACAAGCTTTTCGCATGACAGCAGTCTGGATCCTCTAAGTATAGAGAAGTGCAGGCAATCCAACATCTAGAAACAAATTCCCCAATCATGGAGAAATAAAAGCAATTCTTTAACGGTAATTAATCTGCACAGACTTTTAAAAGTGAAATTTGAGTGAGTGACTTCAGAGCCAGACAGGCGCTTGTGTGCAGTGAAACGATCTGAAATCAAAATATATACAACTTGGCTAGTAATGTGTCCTACTGCATATCTGAGCTCAGTGTTGGGAATGAGAATAGAATTCAGTCTGAGCAATCAATTTGGGGTTTTTGCCTCACCCAAGAGACTCTAAATAAAGTAATGAAATGGTGTCTGTTGTGAGGTTTGTGAGATGGGCACTTGTCCAGGAGGCACTCGACCAAAATACACAGGTCATGCAGAAATATTGCTTTCTTATACTTAAGAGGTCTAAAGCTCACGTACAGGTGCGACCACTCCTAGCAAGGTAAAAAGAGCTCTTTATATATGGAGGATAAAAAATATCAAGTGATGGAGTGATGAACAAATTCAAAAACCAGAGGGTCTAAGTTGATATGAGTCTACAGGCCTTGTCTAAATAGCAAAAAGGAACACTTCATTATCAGAGACCCAAGCAAGGAGTGGTTTGACCACATCACTTGCAGAAGTGCTAAGCAAACCAGAGTGTGCACAGTAATTTGTAACTTCAGGTGGGGATGGCTTTCTTCTAGATACTTCCAACACATCCATGCAAGAAGAATACTAGACTTCAGGCACCCCAAATGCAAGGTTGTCTCGTATCATCAGTGTTTTCCGAAGGTCTCGTTCCATGATTGGCCTTTGTGTCCGCCACTTGTGCGCTTCCTGAAGTCCTGGCTCAAAGTAGTATATGCAAGCTCCAAAGCCCACCAAGATAAGAATGGAGATCATCAGATACATTGGCACAAACCAATCCAAGAAATGAGGCATGATTGCTAGAAAAAGAAAAGGTAAACATATGCAGTTGGTATTGGTTGATGAGTATCAAAATCACTGTCAAACATATATATATTTATATAGACACTAGCGCAGCAGCCATGAGTGCCAGCGTATTTCCTATGAACCCACAGGTCTCAGTAAATATTTCCTCAAAAATCCACAATACATGAGGTTTGCCCTCCTTGTTCAGTTCCTGTTTGCATTGGTTCAGCCTTTCTTACAGTGAACATGAACCCTTAGATATGCCCACATTGGAGAGGTGCGCTCTGTGAGCAAGTGCAGCAGTGGCTGATGTAAGGTGCCTTTCTTCCATGGATGGGAGGGTGGTAAGGAACATGCCCACACAATTTTATGATCCTGTCTTTTCTCTCTCTCTTTTGGATGTGGCAGCCATTTTGTATTATGCTATGGTCCCACAGCAGCTCTTATGTGACTGGTACCCATTGTACTTACTGTCTCAAAATTCCTAATGTGCTCTCTAGCCCCAACTATCCCACTAGGCTGATTGCAACTTTTGATACCCCACTTTCTCCTTTAATCCATGCCTCACTTAATATATTGTCTCTTTTAATGCAGTATAATTTTACTATGATTCCAAAGAATAATGCAAGTCTACTAAATCCACACAATAGCTTACCTTGAGCAACTGATTTTTTCCTCTCTCAGATTGCTTGTTAAGAAGTGCTTTGTAAAGTTGCTATACCCCTGAGAGAGAAAATTGAGGAATAACAAATCATAATAAAGCAAGCCAATATGCACATATTTCCTTTATCTTTTGGCAGTATTTGGATTTTTTAAATTAAAATATTTTATCCAAGGCAGCTAACATCCAGATAGAAACAATGATAACCTAATAATAAAAACGCAAACAATATAGTATAAAACAACATATAGGTGGCGACAACAACAAGGGTGCAATCAATTAATAAAACTTCTATTACAGTACTCCAGTCCAAATGTCTGTTTACAAAGTAAAATATTTGGTGCTTGTCAAGCTATGAAGTAGTCAAGTTGGTATCTTTAGGAATTTAGTGTCAGGATCTAGAACCTAGCCTTCTGCTCCATTGTGTTCTGTCTCCTCTGTAAACCTGGCAGATTGGGCTTTACCTCAAGGTTGAAGTACTGGCCTACCTGAGTTGTCAGCTGATCCCACAGGCCAACTCCTGCTTTCTCCTTGCTCCTTAACTCTCATCTATGTGTTGCCATGAGTAGCAGTGCATAGTCCTGGTGCCTTTGCCACTCAACCCACGACCTAACCCTGACTTCCTCTGGAAACTCTGGCCCCTTTGATCCTGATCTGCCTCATCCAGAACTCAGTCTAGTTTGCTCAATGCAGCAGCTACCAATAACCTGAAGCTGATCCCTACTGAGAGCTAAAACTAGCCCCTACAACAAAGCCTTGCCACATGTTCCCACACATCATTTTGCACACAGCAGGGATGCTAGATAACAAGTCTTATGTTGTTGATTGGATGGCAAAGGCACCTTCAAATGGTACTAACTGGTCCCAGACGGTTGACTTCACTCCCCCTTTTATCCCAGCCATACCTCAACTGATAACACATTTTCCTCAACTCTATATTCCACTACTTTTCCGCTTCTTAGACCAGCTAGCCATTCAATATAGATGAGCTCCATTTCCTGCTTTTTTCAGCTTCTTTCCTTTTTTCACTCAGGCTGCATCCAGTTGGCAGCTTCTGCCACCACTGACAAGTTAGCACTAAACTGCTGAACCTGAAGTACAGAAGATGTACCAAGTAGGGTGGGATAGTTGCTACAGTCATTATTTTCAACCTTGCAGCCACTGCTGGCCCTGTTAGATCCCAGCCTGTCATGTGGACTTGCAGTGATCTGCATGAGAAGACACACAGTCCTGTATGGCACTCAAAAATCCTCTGTCTGCAAGTGGCCTTTATTCATTATTCAATCGTTCTTTGCTTCTAATATTGACTATAGCAATGACATATTTTGTGAATCCACTGATTCCTTCCCATTTTATCTCACATAATTTGGTTCTTTATTATCTTAACCACTCCGTCTTCATCCCTAGCTGAAACAAAATGTTTAAAATATATACAACTGCATTTCCTCACAATCATTCCTTGTCCTCTCCTCCGTCTCTGTGTTGTCCTTGCATCTTTCTGTTCCTCCCTTTTTTGTTTTTCTAACTGTCCAAATGCAAACTGTATGAATCCTCTTCCCCTGCTTTTTGGTTACTCCGTGAACCAATATGATGCTGCTAGACAAAACAATAACTAACCAACAATGCTTCAAATTTGATGGATGAAGGAAGGAGCATTTCAGTACTTTCCACCACTGCTCTCTCTTTCCTATTCAACCCCATTCAGCCACTCCCCAGCCACCACAGCAGCATCAGAGAGTCAAGAATGAGACCAGACCTATACTTCCAAATCTGGTCCTGACCTCTAAAACAGAAGATGCTCCAAGGATCCTTCTCTGCCCTCCCAAGCAGAAGTTGCAGCAGAGGGGTGGGGAGGCACTGCTCTACAGTGTCTCCCCTTCTCAGATATGATGTCTGATATGTGGAGAAGCATCAAAAGCATTCTGCTTTACTGTCCTTCTCCTTGTGGGATCCTTGGTGTGGAAGGCTAAGCTACTTTGCATCAGGGATGATGTACTGCAACACTGCTCCCATTAAGGTAGGAATTCGAAGCTTGAGCTCAGGGTCATGACTGAGAGCCAGTGTGGTGTAGTGGTTAAGAGCAGTAGTCTCGTAATCTGGGGAACTGGGTTTGCGTCTCCGTTCTTCCACATGCAGCTGCTGGGTGACCTTGGGCTAGTCACACTTATTTGAAGTCTCTCAGCCCCACTCACCTCACAGAGTGTTTGTTGTGGGGGAGGAAGGGAAAGGAGAATGTTAGCCACTTTGAGACTCCTTAAAGGGAGTGAAAGGCGGGATATCAAATCCAAACTCCTCTTCTTCTTCTGGAGAGGCAATTAGAACACGATCCCAGAAAGGAGGAAATGTTGCACCTTCTCAACTACATTTCAGATACTTGCAGTCCATTTATTTAGTCCCACAGAACTCAATGGGAGCATTTCAGAGCTACACATACATTCCAACTGTCCCTTTTTGCCAGAGATAGTCCCTATTTTCTGGTATCCGCAATCCACTGTCCCTATTTTGACTCTATTTTGGAACTTCAGGATTTGGTTAATATAAGCTGCTAGAGTTATTAGGAGTTGCTCTTCAAAGTACAGCTCTCTCCCTGGGGTCTCAAGGGTGTATCGGCCAATGCATGTGAAGACATTTCAATGATTTTTAGGGGCAAATCTTTCTGGATAACTTCACAGGATAACTTTCAGCTCATCATTACATGAATATGCAGTATGCAAAAAGAGCACCCAGCAATTTGGGGTGCAGCATGAGCAATGATCCTTGGTATAAGAACTAGGAAGTTACAAGCAGAGGTGTAGCAAGGTCAGGTGGTACCCGGTGCAATTTTTTTTTTTGTCAAACTGCCCCCGCCCCCACCATTGACAGCTTGGGGTAGGCTTGGGAGTGGCAGGTGAGCAAAGCGCCAAATGTCACCCCCCTCAGCGGTGATACCCAGGGCGGTCTGCACCCCCCCTTCCTACGCCTCTGGTTACAAGCATATTCTCATTTGGGAGGACACTTCTATCTCTCATTTAGACTTCAGAAGTAATGCCCCAATTTCATTTAGAGCTGATCATGGCAGCAGATTTTTAAATTTAAACCAGGCACAAAAGTGCCCTGTTTCACATACTCTGGCAACATATTGCCATAATTGTACAGAGGCCAAATCCATTAGGCAAAACACTGGCAGATATTTAAAAAATATATAAAGTTATATAAAACTGTGTACTCCATAAAGCAGATGGCAGCAAGCAACTTGTGGGTTACTTTTGCTGATGCATCTTGAATGAGCAGAGGTGAGAAGGGAAGAGATGCCACATGACTAGAACTTGTTTTCCCTACCCCTTATTACTACAGCAAAAATGAGTAATATAGTCCAAGGAAGGAGTCTTCAAAAAGGGCACACAGAAATGAAATGACAGAGGTCACAAACATATAAATGACAAATGGCAGGCTTCCTATTATTGAGAAGTGACAAAGCCAGGGTACCAGATGCAGCTGCTAATGTTAGTTGTTCTTGCATGCTTAAACAACATAGATCTGGGAAACTTCAGCTTAATGACAATGGTGCCACATTTGTAGTCGTTGGACAATCTAATCCCAGTGGTTTCACAAATGTTAAACAGTTCTGGTGGAACACGGATCAGTTTCCATGGTGTGGAACAGATATCCCCTAAATTTACTCTACAGCTAGGCACAAAAAGTAAAGAACAGAACCAACCCACAGCTTTCCCATAGCTGCTGAAACTATCTAGTAGGATCCAAAGGTCTACCACATCAAACAACTCTTAACAGGTCAGAAAGAAAAATGTAGGAGCTCTTTTCCCTACCAGTTTCCAGACAAAAATATGTCAGCCTCAACTAGAAATTAACCCAACCCATGCCAACTCAACCAAACTAGCAAGGATAGGCCTTGGTTTCATATGGTGAGTCTCACAATCCTTAAAAGACATCCTTAAAGTGCATCTACTGAGAGAGATTCAAGCAAAGGGAAGAAACAGGTGCCATTGACACCTCATACCAGAGTGGAATATAATAGCCAGTCATATGATGAGTAATTTTAATAAATAAATATCCAGTGAATCCTCAGATGCTCATAAATGTTGCATTAACTTTGATAGGCAAAGATCCTATCCACCTTTTTTATCCTTCTCCTTTACTGCCACAAGCCTAATCACTTTTGCTCAGAAGTCTCAGAGACATAATTGGGACTTATTCCTTAGTGCGCTTAGACTGCAGCCACATAGATTAAAAATCAGCAATACCCAGTTGAACTGGGACTATATTGACCCCAAATAGGGTTATTCAAATTCCTTTAAAAATCCACAAACCTTATTTATCTTCTCCATTCAGTCTCTTGCATCTCCCCATTTTTTTCATATGTGATATCTGGAGTCTGCATATGTCTGTTTTGAGATTCTGTTTATTTTATGCGAGTTTATGAAATTAAATGTTGTTAAAATGGTATGAGGAACTGAAAGTAAAACTTCACCTGCTTAAAATCACTGCACTTCTGCAAAAGAATAAGGACAGCACAGCCTAAGATTGTTGTTGTAGACTTTATATAAAATCATCATTAGGTCAGCCTTGTAGAACACTATTCACACTCATACTTATGCATGGTGGGGTTTTTATATTATTCTTATTTACACCACTTATAGAGCTTTATGATTAAGTGGTCTATACTTTTTTTTTAGATAAAATAAATACATTTAAGTCCCATGGTACGCATCTATATCCTCCTCTCATCCAGTCTCTATCACAGAACATGTCATGCCTCTCCATCACTGAAGGATTTAAAGAAAAGTCTAGCTTCTTCTCTTCTTTAGGAAAGGATTTTCTTCTATGGGCTTGGTCAGAACAAACGACCCATGTGCTCCCTTCCATACCTCAATTTCCATGGCTCTGTTTTTCTTCACAGTGCCCAAATAAACGAAGATGTATTACATATAGACATAATTCAAAGGAGATCCCTCAACACAAGAAGTCATGCATGTACAATACCGGGCACGGTGCATCACCTACCTCGATCCACATACATGCTTCATTCAGACTACTGCTCTGTGATCTGTTGTTACCCAGAACAGAACAGTAGCATTCTGCTCATCTGATGCTGCTCTCTGCTGTATGGGTCAGAGGAAGGGACAAAGTGCTTCTCCAATGGAATGCAGTCCAAGCACGTCAAAGTGTCAGAGCAGTCAATAGCATGGACAGAAATGAAGTGCTGCTTGCCCTGCATGTACGCATGCTCATGTATGCAATTGTAAATGACACACAGTCAAGCTCACTGCCTCATCATCTGAAGCTGCCGAGGACTGCTTCCCCGCTCTCCCCCCCCCCCCCATTGCTCGCATAAATGGATCGGCTTTGGATTCTTTCCATCTTGCTCCCATTTTGGTGGCCCCCTCCCTTTCACCCTCACAAAAGAGGCAAGACCTTCCCCAACCAATCAAAACACCACAGCCAGACTATCAGCTGTTGTCATAGCAACAAGCCTAGAAAGATCTCCAGTGCACGTGGTACAGAGAATAAGCAAGCAGAATTGGGAGAGAGATAGATGCTCTAAGCTGAGGAAGTCAGTTTTAAATTGGATAAATGTTTGCAAATACAGTATAGTGATGTGTGAGCATCAACAGAGACACATATTATGCCCACCCCAGCAACACTTAAAGTTGCCACTTTTGACTCCATGCTTTTCCAAACACTTGTAAACAGGTTTCTGCATGAGCATCACTTACTTGAACAGGAACCACACCCCATAAACTAATGCACATTAGATCTGCATCTGGTGCTACATTGCTTTCAATGGGATGGATTCTGATATTCATTCTATTGACCATCCTTGTGTATATTTTGACACAACTAGTTATGTATAAGTATATATTTTTAACCGAAGCTAGTGCAAACAAATCAGGGCAATAATCCTGGCAGAAAATTATGGGCATGATCCACATTACAGAGTGAGAAGTGAGTATGGAGGACAGGAAATCAGCAGTGAAGATGTGGTTGGGCATGGAGAATGCTGGCAAGAAAAGGGATTGGAGAATGCAGGGAATTTCTATCTTTTCCTCCCTTACTAAAGTCAGGAGTGTTGTAATGTAGCAGTGTTGTATGAGCATGAGCTCTCGGTTGGGAAACTGGGGGAAATCTTATTGGATGCCCCATGTGAAATGGGGATGATAGGGTTTTTTTCCAGTTTGGTGAGCCCTTATCAGCCTTTGGGCCTCAATAAGAGATCCCACCTTGTAAGCTGCTAATACCAGTGATGCTTTTTTCTGGACGTTACCAAACATACTGCTAAGTCCAATTGTCACCACAGGGGTTTCTGCAGAACATCTTGCCCTGAAGAGAGAAGTAGTTATAGCTTCTTCTAAAGAAGCGGGTATCCTCTCCATTTTGTTGCAACATTTTTAAAATCAAAGCTATTGTTGTAATGATCTTTTGTAAAGTGCCTTGTGATGTCTGCCTGAAATTCCTTAAATGATTATCAAATTGTGGAAGAAGATCAATATGTAGCACTGGGAAATGCATTCAGACTAGTTAGAAGCTGTGACCTAGATTGCACAATAGCATCAATTCAGGCAATAGCTCTAACTGCTTTATATAAATAGAGAAGTGACAAATGGGAGATAAAAGAAGACATCCCCAAATTTCTTTTATCTCCAAAATGTAGCATTGCACTTTTTTAAAAATTAAAATTCCCAGCAGCAGTTTCTGGTGATTTAATGTTCTATTTATTTTTTGTTGTCATACCTTTACAATGAGCCTATTTCAGAATAATTCTCAATGAACCCTAACTGAATCTGATGAAGAACAAAAATATTTCTAGAGTTCTTCCACTTCACTTGCAATTTGTCTAGCATTGGCAATGTGCTGAACTGTCAACCTTTGTTAGGATTTTAAAAAATGATGTCAGATTGCATTAACACACACAGCCTTTGCATGGTCTGTGCTTTATGGTATTTCAAAAAAGAAAAGCACACAGGATGTGGTCAAAACCAGTTACTGCCCACGATGCTGTTCATATTTTGTATTAGACCATTACATCATCTTCCCTCCACAGTAAAATAGACTATTATTAACAACAAAAAAGTCCTCAAGCACAAGAACAAGTTGGAAACATGTTATCCAAGTATAAAATGTTGCTAAATTGAGTTGTACTATGAAAGGAAACAGCAAACAAATTAGATTGGTTTGTCCTTGTAGCCACAAAAGGTTGATTGATCTTGAAGTCAGTATTTTTCCTGTTTAGTTGCTCATTTATCTATCAGCATCTGCTTACAAAGTTCTGCTGCTCCATAAATATTAGTAATAAAAAAAACTCCTTAGACATAGCAAATATGGAGAAAGGTTTGATCTTTCCATTTTTCATTTTCAAAACTGATTACAAAAAGCAAGCCATTGTGAACACAGCAATACTATATAACAGATTCTAAATTTTAAATATAATCGAACAGAACTATTGGAGAGATGGCATGAGTTACATACACACAAGTCTTAAACTTAAAACTATTAATTTTTGCTTCTTTGTAGGTCATTTAGCATAATTCTGTCAGGGTTTGAACATGAGAACCTAAATCAGAGACCTAGATATATTTTCTATGGTAGGTGGGCTTATTGGCCACTGTTAAGTGTTCATGTCCAACCACAGTGCGGCCACATATTTCAGCAGGCAACATCTCAGCAACACAAGTGGCTTAATAACGGAAGTTTCCAACTTTTTTGGTGTGGCAACCCACAAGTCCAAATGTATGGAGAAGGAAACAGCTAAGGAGGTTTGTCTAATTAAAAGCGGTATATAAATTGTTCAACATACAGTAAATATATGTAGAAACCTCTTGCTCTCAGGTCCTGCTTGCAGACTTCCCATTCGGGCATCTGCTTGGCCACTATATGAACAAGATGCTGGACTAAATGAGCCACTGGCCTGATTCAGCAAGGCTCTTCCTTGGTTCATATATTGTGGTGAATGACCTAGATAGCTCTATCTGAAGAATGTGGGTGTTGTGGGGGTTCCAATATGAATTAGTGGCATAAGCCACCACTTACGGGATAAAGGTCTTGTCTGCTCAGCACCCATGATCTTCCATATTATTATTTATATAAACTCTTCCTTTCTCTGTCCAACCAGTAACTGGTTGGGAATCTGGGCATCTCCGCACTTTCTTGCCTTGCAGTTCCTCCTATGCACCCCTCACTGTGGCCCTGGGATCCCCCTATATCCAAATGCACCAAGTGTGTGTGTGTTGTGGGAACTCCCCAGATCCCAGAAGTTGTCAACCAAGACATGCTTGAAAGAGACAAAAGCCACTCTCCTCCACAGAAAGAGCCGTACTAGTCACTCAAAACACCCTGTATGAGCCTGTTGTGGCAAACCATCATTTCGTCTGCAGCCAACCACCAGTTCCCAGCTGTATTTCAATGCTGTCCTGACGCATGTTAGTGAATGTTGGAAATGCTCAAGTCCTACACTTTAGTGTTTGCTTACATGAGTCAGTACAGCATCACAATACGCCAACAACACAGTTTTAAGAGTGATCATCATACCAGTTAAGGAGTGAAAGCAGTAATTACTTTGGGTTTACTTATAAAGCCTGCTACCCTTTTGCACAGGCTTTGCAACCTGCAGGTTGGAAAATACTGGCAAAGAAATTTGGAACATGTGCTTTATCTCTATTTTTAGCCAGTTACCAGGCAGCAGAAGAGGGAGAGGAAAGAAATTGCCCAATTAAATCAATTTTCCTAGATGGGTGCAAACAAACCCCTGAACTTCTCCCCTGAGAAGACAAAAAAAAAATTAAATACCGGTAGATATATCATTAAAACAAACAATAGCGTTCATTCCCTAGGCATCTATAAGGTTTACATGAAAGGTTATAATAAACCTAACACTGCTGCAGAACCACTCCACACAAAATAAAAACAGTGTCGTTCCAGAGGCTACGTTTCTACAAATTTGCCTCCAGCTTATTATTTTATTTAGAATGAGCGCTGCTAGGAAGCCTCTTTCACTAACACCCCAAGGCAAGACTCTCTCATTATAGCCTCACACCCCGCCCCCTCCCTCACGAGCCTCTCACGAGCAATGACGTCACACAGCGCGCGCAGGTGCCAACGGCCACCCCCGCAAAGCGCCCTACATAAGACACCAGAAAAGAAAGCGTTTGCTGCCCGCGCGTGCGCCCTCTTCCCTCCAGCAGGGGAAGAGCTAAAACTCCGCATGCGCAGAGAAGACCGGACTCCGCAATGCATCTACTATTGAGGCCACACCCCCGACCTCCTTTTATAGCGCATAAAGACGCTTTGGTGACGTAGGTACTGGCGGCAGTTTGAAACCTGAGGTCGCGTTGCTGTAATTGGTGATTATGGCGGCGTTGGCTGCCTTCGCCAAGCTCCCAGCAATCAACTCTGCCACTGTTTTGGTGCGTATTTATGAGACGGGGGGAGGGCGGCAACCGGGAGCGCAAACGGGCAGTTTCTTTTCGTTATTTCCCCGCTTGCTTTTGGCCGGGGCCCTGGTTGTTCTGACTTAGAAAAGTGAGCTCCCACCTCGGCCAAGCAATACGACGCCTTAAGGTTTTTTTAGCCCGCCTTCCGGCTTCTCATTGGTTCCCTTGCTGCTTTCCCGTTGGTTTTCTATTTTGCTTTTGTTGTTGTTGTTTAGCCATTTAGTCGTGTTCGACTCTTCGCGACCCCATGGACCAGAGCACGCCAGGCACTCCTGTCTTCCACTGCCTCCCGCAGTTTGGTCAAACTCATGCTGGTAGCTTCGAGAACACTGTCCTCTGTTGTCCCCTTTTCCTTGTGCCCTCAATCTTTCCCAACATCAGGGTCTTTTCCAGAGAGTCTTCTCTTCTCATGAGGTGGCCAAAATATTGGAGCCTCAGCTTCAGGATCTGTCCTTCCAGTGAGCACTCAGGGATGGTTTCCGTGAGAATGGATAGGTTTGATCTTCTTGCAGTCCATGGGACTCTCAAGAGTCTCCTCCAGCACCATAATTGAAAAGCATCAATTCTTCAGCGATCAGCCTTCTTTACGGTCCAGCTCTCACTTCCATACATCACTACTGGGAAAGCCATAGCTTTAACTATACGGACTATTTTGCTTACTTCCATGCTTTGGTTTTCTACCGTCACTAAACGGTAGAGTGCTTCTGTTGGCTTAGCTGCTGAGCTGCTTTGGGTGGAGGGTTCGAGTCCCAGGCCATGTACAGAGTTCATTTCCCCTCTCATTTCCCCATCAGTTCTTTCCCCTCTTGAGCTAGAAGGAAGGATGGATGAAATTTGAGCCCCTTATTTTAATACGTCAGACATGGAGTTCCTTAGGCTTGGTGATGGGAGCCGCATCTGCTAAAGTTCTCCCATCCAGTGAAATGGTAAAGCTGAACCACTGTTGACTCGGGTAACTGAAGACCAGCCTTCGCCAACCTCGTGCCCTTCAGCTGCTTTGCACTACAACTCCCAGAAGGTCGGCGGTTCAAATCCCCATGACGGGGTGAGCTCCCATTGCTCTGTCCTAGCTCCTGCCAACCTTGCAGTTTGAAAGCACGTCAGTGCAAGCAGATAAATAGGTACCATTGTGGGGCGAAGGTAAACGGCATTTCCATGCCCTCTGGTTTCCGTCATGGTGTTCTGTTGCTCCAGAAGCGGTTTAGTCATGCTAGCCACACGACCCAGAAAGCTGTCTGTTAACAAACACTGTCTCCCTCGGCCTGAAAGTGAGATGAGCACCGCAGCCCCATAGTCGTCATTGACTGGACTTAACCATCCAGGGGTCCTTTACCTTACAACTCCTATCATTCCTTGCCAGCAAAACTGCAGCCCAAAACTTCCTGAGGGTGTCAGATCCCGGAAGGCAGCTTAAGACAAACAGAGAGTTGGGCATAGGGCAGGGGTTGGCAAGGTTTATCTTGCCTGGGCTGGATTGGTCCCACGGAGATTCCTCTGCGTGCGCCTGCGAATTCCTGCGTCTGTGCAGATGTGATTTCCAGCGCCATGGAAGCAAGTACCCACACAGTGCTGCGCCGGTTTAGCACAGCGTGCAAGCAGGCAGCTCGGTTCAGGGGCGGCTCATGGGCCAGTCAAATGACCTCCGTGGGCTGCTTCCGGCCCATGGGCCTTAGGTTGCTGACCTCTGGCGTAGGGGCTGGACTTGAAAAATGAGGTGTGGAGGGAGATGGGGACTTTGGGGCAGGTAACTCGTTAATTGATCTCTTATTCATAATTCCTTTTTTTCCTCAGCTATTAGCCAAATTTTATTTTTCTTTAATAGTTGGTGGGAACAAATGAAGATTTCCAAGAGCAGCTAGCAGAGACAATGCTTAAGGAAAAAGAAGATTTTAAAATAAATATGTAAGTGGTGAGAGAACTTAAATTTCTCTCAAATCTGGAAACTACCATTTGAAAGATACTAGTTTTTTGTTCTCCTTTCTGTTTTGAGGTTACTATGGAACACCATTGTTCTACGGTAGTGAACTGTTTTCTACTGCAAGGTTGTTATGATGGTGGAGAAAGTGTTATGTTCTAAAACAAGCAGAATCTTACAACCCATTAATGGCCCTTGCAATACTGAGTTCTTGATTTTATTTATACATGTAGGAGCTCAGTTGGTTAGAGCAGCAAGGCTACAGGTTTGATTCGCATATAGGATGGCTGCACATTCCTGCATTGCAGGTGGTTGGACTAGATGATCCTCAGGGTCCCTTCCAATTTTACAATTCTGTTTCTGTGTCTGTTTTCTGGGGCACAGTTCACTCTGGACTCGGCAGTGGTAGATACTCTCTTCAGTTTGGAGAGCCTAAAGTGTATAGCCTTCACTAATGTAATAGTGCTGTTGCATTGTTCAGCAGCTTGTAGAGCTGCTTCCTTGGCCCTCCAGATTTTTTTAGACTACAATTCCCATCATCCCTGAACACTGGTCCTGCTAGCTAGGGATCATGGGAGTTGTAGGCCAAAAACATCTGGAGGGCTGAGATTGAGGAAGCCTGAGTTAACATATTCAGACTTTAGAGAGAGCCATTTAAAACTGCAACTGGCTTGATCTCTTATGTTCAGTTAGATATTCTATAAGATTTCTACCTTCCTGATTGAAGTGGTTTAGTTGAATGAATCTGTGTTTGTGATATCTGTTTCCCCCTTCCTATAAAGCTTTAGGTTAAATCTATCTGTTTTGTAGCCTTAACTAAAAATGCACCTTGGTTTCTTTCAGCCACTTGACAAGGTCTCTTCCTTTACCTGCAGAGAGAGATCACATCCGGCCTCGAATTGATCTGATTGTTTTTATGATTAATGTAAAAAGCAAATACAGGTATGTGTAGGAAAGATGGGTATGAAGGAAGTTCTTCTTTTAAAAATGTTAATGTCAGTGTGGCTAGAGTGTTGGGTATGGATGTGGCAAACAAAGACAGAGATGCCTTGATAGCCATGAAGCTCACAGATTAGTGTTGCACAACTTCTATATTTCAGCTTCAACTATCACACTGGGTGCTTTTTTATTTGTTTTTCAACCAGTTTTAAGGATATTGAATCTTCACTGCTACATGTAGATGCCAACTTTTTCCTTGGAAAAGTGTGCTTTCTGGTCATAGGTGGTATGTATAAAATACATTTCTACTTCCACGTTTTATTCTTCAAATGTTTTTCGCTAATTATTTAAAGCTTTTAAAGCATCATAGCTACAACTTTATTGTGTAGCTGATGCATTGCCCCAAATGTAACAGGATTCCATCTGAATTTTGCTGTTGACATTGTTTTCTTCCTCTTCAGTCCTCAAAATGGTGCACTCCTGCTTCGTTATTAAGAGATGACTTGAACCATTTTTTAAAATACAAGTTTGATCTTCTGTAGTGGGTCCGATATCCAAATTGTGGTCTACATCCACTAAAAGACTAATGTTACACAATTATACTAGAAAGCATTGGCTTTAATGTTTGAAGGTGTTTTTTAAAAATATATTATTTTTGGTATTTGAATGCACACTGAAAATAAATATGCGTAAATCACAAGAAAAATACTGTTGTATCAGGAAAAACAGGACTGAACATATATTTCTTTTTGTTCTCTTTCATAGCATGTGAAATGAATCAAATCAGTGTGGACGTGGACACTGTCTTGAAGCTGGCAGATTGTTACTGCAGCCCTGTTCTATTCTGTGAACTAAAAGTAAGAATTCTTGGGGTTTTTGCTGTGTGATTTATTTTTTTACTGTAGTGTGAACCAATACTGCAAATTTGTATCTTATCCGGGCTTGTACACTTCTTGTTCCATTCTCAGCTACTGTGGCCATTGGCACCGGCCATGACTAAAAGGACGTGGAGAGAGGTATGGGTCTGGAAAACCTAGAATGATAAACAAGAGAGATAAACAGCTAATTGTCAACGTTGTTTGACCAGGGGTCCACAGTTCCTTACTCACTGAGCTAAAATTGTGGTCATCGGGTGTTTCTTTTGTCCTAAGTATGTACTGTGTGCCTGGGTCAAGGAAGCACCCCACCAACCTTTCTGCAAAAAGCATGCCAGAGAGCTTGCTAATTTGTTCTATGGTCCTTGGCAACATATCAGTCAAACAACATCTGCCCCCTCCCCCCCAATCCTAGGAGAAGACGGGTGGATCACCGGACAACTGCTAGGATGGTGCCATCCATTTCTTCAGCTCCAATGTTGGGGAAAGGCAGGATCCTGCTTTAATCCAGTTATCCTTTAATTCCTTCCTTTCTTGCTCTCAGTTATGGTTGTGTTAGCAAACCAGGTCTCAAATACAGGCATGTTTGCATTCACCACTTTTAGGAGGGACATGGCTCATCTCTTCTTGCTTGGTTTAGAACTCCATCTGTTGTAGAACTGAAGTTGATGCTTGTTCTATTTACCCGGGACATTGTTCAGATACTTTCTGTATTGCAGTCTACCTCCTTTTGACTTCTAGCACACTGGGACAACTCCAGGCTAAGTATAAGTGGGGTAGTCCTATCTTTTAGGTTTGGCTTTAGTGACCTTTTGGTTTTTATCAGTTATATGAAGCAAATGTATATTGATGACTGTTTCTGTCTCAGCATCGGCCTTAGCTTCCTTACAACTATTAGATTTCTCTCTCTCCCTCTTTTAGTGTGAGAGTACCAGGATTTCCACAGCTCGACAGCTGCTCCGGATGCTGCAAATATGTGCTGGTCACGTGTCAGGAGTTTCTGCACTCTCCTTCAGTTCGTTAATGGGAAGTTACATTGATTACTCCAGTATCATGGAATAAAGTTTTCTATTTTTCACTTATCAGTGATTTCTGGGTGAACTAAAAAACTAAAAATGATGCCACATGTCATTTATAGTTAATAATGATACGTGTGTGTGTGTTTGTGTGTGTTTCAGAAATAAAGTTTAAATAATAAATAATACTGAATAGAAGACAGGGGCACTAGAAGCAGAGATTACATAGCTTCAAAATAGCCAAATTGGTCCAAGGACTGAAAAGCCACCTTTTGGGCTTTCTAGATAGGCATCTTTGGTTTATCCAGTATGTCTGTATGGCCTTGTGAGGGGTTTCCAATACTCTGTGTTTGGAAACTAATCAGACAGTCAAATGGCCAGCAGGTCAACGTGGAAAGGCAGTTAAATGTAAATCTATGTTGTGCTTCCAGAACTAATTGATGGGACAAGGCTTTTAATTCCAGAAATTCAGCTGCAGGTTGGCAACTACAGTTAAGTGGAAGAATTGCCTCTGAATTCTAATACAAGCATAAAATGGTGCAAGTGTCTCTTACATGCCTGTGCATTTATGCTGGTGTCTAGTAGACTCTTAGCAATTATGCTTTGTTGAGTAAAGCAGAGCCTTAATGACAATCTGCGCAAAAAGAGGATGGTTAACTTGACCAGCCCTAGAACATTAATGGCCTTTTTTATGGATAGGCACACACAGTCCAGTCAGATTGTAAAACACATCTGTTGTTTGTGCTAGTTAAAAATAGGTCTCCAGAATATAGTACTGACAGCAAAGTAGGTCATATCAGTCTAGTATCAGAGTATGGGTAGACTGAGCATGAAGAGACATGTTATGTTGAACATTGAGTAGTTGGGAAGAAGCTGCAAATAGCACAGCTCTTTTTACTATAGTACTCCTGTCCCTTCCCCGATGGGTTAGTTTTCCTACCCAAGTTCTGAGATTAATTATCCTTATTATGGATAGTTTTAGAAACATTGCTACTTCAGTGGCAAATGAAGGCTTGCCTTTTTGTTCTTGAGAGCAGGATGGTGTGCAACATATGCTTACATATGTGGTGTGTATGAAAAGGTAAACATTACTATATTACGGTCTTGATTGTGGAAAATATTTGTAGGTTAAATTCATGCAATATGGAAAATAGAGACTACTTTATTTATTATTGCTGCATTTTGATATCACCATACTTGGTCTGGAGAACAGCTGAAGGGAAGCGAGAACTATTTCAAATGTAATTAATTTCATACATGATATACAGTGGTACCCCGCAAGACGAACGCCTCGCAAGACGGAAAACCCGCTAGACGAAAGGGTTTTCCGTTTTGGAGGCGCTTCGCAAAACGAATTTCCCTATGGGCTTGCTTCGCAAGACGACAGCCCATAGGGAAATCTCAGGGACAGCGGGAAGCGCAGCGCGTCTTCCCCACTGTCCTCGGACCTCCTCCGAAGCCTGGCGGCGGGGCGGGGACACCTCCTCCCGCCGCCGCCGGGCTCGGAAGGCTCCTCCGAGCCGGGCGGGGGGAGGGAACACCTGCCGCCGCCGCCCGGCCGGAACGGTGCTCCGGGCCGGGCGGGGGAGGGAACACCTGCCGCCGCCGCCCGGCTCGGAACGGTGCCCGGCCGGGCGGGGGAGGGAACACCTGCCGCCGCCGCCCGGCTCGGAACGGTGCTCCGGGCCGGGCGGGGGGAGGGAAGACCTCCCCGCCGCCCGGCCCGGAACGGTGCTCCGGGCCGGGCGGTGGGGAGGAAGACCTCCCCGCCGCCCGGCTCGGAACGGTGCTCCGGCCGGGCGGGGGGAGGGAACACCTCCGCCGCCGCCCGGCCCGGAACGGTGCTCCGGGCCGGGCGGGGGGAGGGAAGACCTCCCGCCGCCGCCCGGCTTCGGAACGGTGCTCCGAGCCGGGCGGGGGGAGGGAAGACCTTCTGAAGGCGGGCGGGGGCGAAAGTCTTTGCTCCCCCTGCCTGCCTGTCCCGGAGGGCTTTTGAAGGCGGGGAGCAAGACTTTCGCCCCCGCCCGCCTTCAGAAGAGGTCCAGGACCTCTTCTGAAGGCTGGCGGGGGGGGCAAAAGTCTTTGTCCCCCCTGCCTGCCTTCCCAGGGGCTTTTAAATTGCCCTGGACAGCGGCGAAGTCCTCCGCGGGCCCGGGGTGATTTTAAATGCCGCCCGCCAGCATTGTAAGATCGCCCGGACAGCGGCGCAGTCCTCCGCTGTCCCGGGGTTTTAAAATGCTGGGGGTGGGAAGAAAAGCCCTTGCCCCCCAGCCTTCAGAAGAGGTCCGGGGACAGACTGTCCCCGGACCTGGTCTGAAGGCGGTTTCCCTAGGAACGCATTAATTGATTTTCAATGCATTCCTATGGGAAACCGTGCATCGCAAGACGAAAAACTCGCAAGACGAAGAGACTTGCGGAACGAATTAATTTCGTCTTGCGAGGCACCACTGTACATCTGCACAGCTATAGAGAAAAATGTAAATCGTGTGACCAAGTGGCCCTGAAATGCAAGAGGCTGCCTGTGCTGTTTCCTTGTACTGTATGTAGCTAGTGTTTTTTCCTTTGTGATTCCTTGCAGTTGTCAGTGTAACCACAAGATGGTAGCAAGACCTTTGTTAAATACCAATCATGCTCAGAAGCTTTAGGGCTAGGCTAAGCTTCCTGCTACTTATAAAACCATTGTATGTGTTGGGTATCGGATCCAGGAAACAGAATTCCTAAATACAGCATTAAAGAGCAGTTCACAAATAAATGTTTAAAGTTACAATTTCCATTTTGCTTTTATTTCACTGCTGGCTTGAATGGTACAAAAGCCATGGCAGCTAATTGGGTTTGGTCAATTATCAGTGCTAATTGGTAATTTGCTGTTATCACACTTATGTCTAAAAGGAAAATCGCATCTACTTCTTGTTAAAATGCCAAACGATTCTATCTGATTGATGGAAGCAGTAAGGTATTTGACTTGTTTACCACATCTCTTTAAATGAACCTTTTCTCATGATGGATGGTAACTTACACAAAGATTAAACAGCTGATGACAGCTTTTTGGCCTGACATGTTCCATATATTTTTCTTTAGGAATTGCAGCAACAAGCTTAAAGGTCACTACACTACATCAAGTACTATGCCATCAGCAGTTCAGCCATAAATATGGGCACTACTGGTCTAGGTTTGCCTTCATGGTTTGTAATGTGTAAGGAGCCTACATGAGGCAAGCTCTTTAAATAAAATCTTTAATCACTAGTTCAATAAATTTTGTGCCTCTATACTATAGTAAGAGGTAAGAGCATCACATTCCTGCCTTGCTTTTCAAATCTAGAATGTAGGCTTAGGTTAGTGGCGCTGTGGATTAAGCCACAGAGCCTAGGGCTTGCCGATCGGAAGGTCAGCGGTTCGAATCCCTGCTATGGCGTGAGCTCTCGTTGCTTGGTCCCTGCTCCTGCCAACCTAGCAGTTTGAAAGCATGTCAAAGTGCAAGTAGATAAATAGTAAATGGCGTTTCCATGCGCTGCTCTGGTTCACCAGAAGTGGCTTATTCATGCTGGCCACATGACCCGGAAGCTGTACGCCGGCTCCCTTGGCCAACAAAGCGAGATGAGCGCCACAACCCCAGAGTCAGTCACAACTGGACCTAATGGTCAGGGGTCCCTTTACCTTTACTGTTTAAGGCTTGAATGGACTCCAAGAAGAAGAGGAGGAGGTGTTTGGATTTGATATCCTGCTTTATCACTACCCGAAGGAGTCTCAAAGTGGCTAACGTACTCCTTTCCCTTCCTCCCCCACAACAAACACTCTGAGGTGAGTGGGGCTGCGAGACTTCAAAGAAGTGTGACTAGCCCAAGGTCACCCAGCAGCTGCATGTGGAAGAGCGGAGACGTGAACCCGGTTCCCCAGATTATGAGACTACTGCTCTTAACCACTACACCACACTTCCCAAGCTTTTATTTGACATTTATTTTTAAAAGCTGCTGCTTTTACTTCTGGACCAGTTCCCATTTCTAACAGATTTATATTGTTTGCTTCTCTTCTGAAAATGGAAATTCTACTTTCCTGAACTAGAACATATCCGGGAGGTCTCCACCCCACCCCAGTTGAGTGAGAACCTGAGTGAGAACCAGGGAACTCTTTTCTTGATTCAACATGAAGCCCTAGATTGCGAAGGCAATCTATTGTTTGGGTGTCCATCTAGCACCTGACCAAGGTGTCTAGATAAGGATGGATATGAGCAACTCTGGAGATGAGCTGCCACCGCCATCAGTATCTTCATGAAAATCCTTGGTGTCACCAAGAGGCTTAAGGGTAAAACTCGGTACTGGTAGAGGTTGTTGTAGAAAGCACCAGTGACGGGCTGAGAGCACCATGGAGATATGCCTCAGAAAGGTCTGTGGAGGCCATCCAGTCTCCCTTTCTTAGTGCCTCTGATGAACCACATGGTCTCCATTTAGAAATGATTTGTTTTCTTGTACTATTACTGTTTTTTATTTTTGTTTATTACCTTCTCTTCACCCTAAGGTCACAGGGCAGGTTACAACATTTAAAACTATTATTAAACACTAGTTTTGCCACTTTAGGTCCAAAATAACCCAAACGGCCCTGTGCTTCTGAGACGCTAAGAAAAAGAATTATTAGACCCCAGACCTCTCTTGAGGGGGGAACAGATGCTATTGCATTTATCTTCACTAGGTGTTGAATAGCCCTCATGTAATTTGGATGCTTCACAAATTGCCATGATCAAGGGGTAGGGACATAATGATAACGAAGCATGCTCTCAAATTGAATTGCATACACCTCATTCAGCATCAGATGTTTTCTCCCTGACTGGACTAATCATGGTCAGGTGGAAGAAGACTTCTGGCCACCCTTATGGAATCAGGAGGCTTTGAAATTTGAGGGTCTAGACAAAGGTAAGAGAGAAGCCTTGCCTTGGGCTAAGAAAGAAGGCTCTAAGGGTTGGAAGTCTTCCTTTTTTGGTCAACCCTGCCCAACAATTTTCTCCAGCGATTTTTCTTCATTCAGACCTCATTGGGGGAGGCAGGAAAAGAGTGGTGGTCAAAGAGTGGGACACACACATATACCCAGCACCTGTTAGAGAGGAAGAATCAGCTGAGGGTGTCCCATCACCAGTGAATTGCAGAATCCTATGTGCCTTAGGATAAAACTTCAAGAGAAAAGACAATGTTGCTCCTTGGACAACAACCCCTCTTCCACTACAACTTTAGATTGTGACTGGTTCAAATCAGACAGTTCTCCCCACTTGTACTGAGGGACCCCCAGACATGTGGATGCCAATGTCAGCATTGCCTGCTCCTGAGTAATGGCAACAGAAGCAGACCTTTTAGCCCTCTAGTCTAGAACTTTTGGAGGACAGCTGGTCTCTAGAGTGAGAAGATATCGAGACATGAACCAAAGGGAGAATCCTCTACCCCTCCCAAGAGCTAGAACTGCAAGAATTCACTCCTGTGGTGCTTGGAATCCTTGTGAGAAGAATTTGTGCACTTTGCTGTGCACTTACATTGATTATTGTGCTTAGACCATGATAAGGATATTTCCTTAGATATAAATTTCTTAAGAAAGAAGCAGGGGAAAAGGCAGGAGGTTGAAAGAAAGAGGATACCTGTTGCTGCCACTGTAGACACTGGGAGAAGCTGAGATCACATGCCCATGAAAGCCAATTGTATCTGCAACAGAATCATTTTGAGTCAGACGTTTCATCATCCCCTGAGAGGTGAAGGGCCGCCTCTGTCATTTCAGCAGGGGTAGCCATTAATCCTGTCCCACAAAAGCACAGAAGAAATTGGTGGGAATGTTGGTAATGAGTACTCATGCCAACAAAGGAACCCCCTCAACCAGACACGCTGTGTGGTTATGAAAGGCAAATGAAATAGACATAACTAGCAGGTGAAAAATGCGGTGTAGGGGAGATGTACAAGAGAATTATGTAGCAAATTACACCTCTGCAATGGCACACTGAGGACCCTGTAGGAAAGGACCTGGCCACCTGTTGGCAGTCCCACTTAATAGAGTAAGTGTGAGACCCCGATGCAGCCTTGCTCCACACCAGCTCTGAATGGGCAGGGGTCCCAAAAGATTTATGTAATGCACTTAGCACCCCTGTACAGAGAGTAGGAATGGCCAGCTATAGATGAGAAAAGGAACACCTACATTCCAGGTGCTGAACTCCCTTTCAAAGGCAGTCTTGCTTGAGATGGTGAGTGTGGGACTTGCCAAATCCAGCAACAAGCCCTAGACCTGGCTCAAATGGGGTCC